AACATGATCCAAAAATATTTCAGCCAATGCATCATGTCTAATTTCACCACTTACAATCAAGATAAGTAAAGGCTCCATTACCGCCAACTTTGAAGAGTGAAACAGTCAAATGATAGTCCTATATACCTATAAAAACTTGTATAACAGAGCTTTATCATGCTGAAACCATCTTTGTCAGATCCCCCGTGTGCATTATTAGTCATGAATACAGATTCAAATCTATACCATGGACCAGACTAATTACCCTTCCAGCCTCACTCTGGTTACACTGATTTCAATGGGAGAACTACAAGATGGATGCCCCATGATGTCTATAAAATTGTTTAACATGTTCAATAAAAAGTAACTTCAAGCATTTTGATTGATCAATGTTCAAGATAAATGCCAATATTATTTTGAAAAAGACAATGGAAATTGTTTGTATTTGAGCTGTGGGGTCAATCATCCATCTGTTTCCCTATACGGATTAGGCTTATATTAACTGCTGGTGGTAAATTACAAAACACATTGTAGAAAAGTACTGTCTGGTAGAGAGATTTAATACGAAGCAATGCTAGTTGATTGTACTTGTATCACAACTTTTAAAACCATTGTTTAAAAAGGTACTGTTATGAGTAAAGATGATAGGTGCATAAACTGAGTTAGAAACTGAAACAAAACAAAAATACTTTGGCTATATTCATGAAACAAAATATATACAGAGACCGATTAGAATTTAAAACTAACACAGCATGTTTTCATACAAAAACCATCAGGTAATAGATTTTACACCAAGTTGATGTGTGCTCCTAAGTGACGTAATCAAAACCAGTATTACAAAATTGCAGTGTCTTTAATAGTGCACAATTTTCTGATATCTCTAAACTAAGGTCCATCTTTCTTACAATTTTCGACTGATTTCGTTTATTAATTCTAAGTTATGTCAATACAGTGACTTCATTTTTTCATGTTCATTTTAAGCAATGCTCATAATAACAAGAAGTGAGTTGAATCCGGATATTAACACAGAAACGTGGTGTGTACTTTATAAAGAAATCATACCATGGTCACTTTAATATGAATTGTATAAAACAAACCATTTTCACTCTAATTTGAATTGTATAAAACAAACCATTTTCACTCTAATTTGAATTGTATAAAACAAACCATTTTCACTTTAATTTGAATTGTATAAAACATACCTTGGTCACTTTAATTTGAGTTGTATAAAACATACCATGGTCACTTTAATTTGAGTTGTATAAAACATACCATGGTCACTTTAATTTGAGTTGTATAAAACATACCACGGTCACTTTAATTTGAGTTGTATAAAACATACCATGGTCACTTTAATTTGAGTTGTATAAAACATACCTTGGTCACTACAATTGGAATCGTATAAAACTGGTCACTTCAATTTGAGTTGTCTTCGAGACACTCTAACGATACCCCAAGATAAACAATTCCAGTGAATGTTTCATTACCATTTGGTATCCTGTGGGACTATTTTAACATGAAATGGATGACAAAATCAACAACAAAGTGAGCTACAAACAATTCAATTTTTGAAAAACAAACAATTTAAGGTGATATCAGGCCCAACTACAAAAGCTGGCTGTCCACAGAAATCTAGCCATAGAAACAAGCATCATATAATTCTGTTATAAAAATATACATATAAAATTACAAATAGGAAGTTACCCTGTGTAGTACAAATAAATTGGATATATTATATATCCAATTTATAGCATTGGTGCTGTTTATAGCGTTGGTGCTGTTTATAGTGTTGGCTTATCAACGCTTTAAAGGGAAATCATATCACTACTCATTTCCAAATATATTTGAAATCAGTGTTTCTTATTCTAATCAACCTTTGGCATGAAAAAAATTGATTTATAAACAAAATCTCAATTTTTTTTTATATTTCTAATTTCAGAATTCAAATAGTTCAATATGCATAACTATCACAAGTTGTAATTCAGTGCATTCAGTTTGGTTCAAAGTCAGAGTAACTTTCACATTTCAAACTTTGTCTCTTGTCTTTTTGAAAATGTTTTGATGTTGAATTATTTGCAAATACTAAAAAAAAGACATTCGTTGTCAATCGAGGGATATTCTTGAATTCATAAAAAAAAATAAAACAATGGACCATTGTAGGACATCTCCTGAACACCAGTGCAATTGTCCCACTTTAATCAGTTGAAGGCAGCTTTACATTATTGTCCAGACTATTCAAACAGCTACCTGAAGATTCAACATTTGTTCTCTCAGAAGATTGTTCAGTTCTTAAGATACATTTCGATCACAGAACAATGTTATTTCTTATGTTGAGTAGACCTTTTAAATGACTGTACTGTCTATTATTTTGAAGATTAATTCGTTTTACACTTAATTCTCTACATGGATATTTAACTACCCCTAGAACCAATCTAAGATTACACTCATTCGATCATATACATTTATTCAATAAATCTTGATATATCTTGCTTAGCAGTCAAGCATGGAGAGTGCTGATCTACAGACAACTGTCTTTAGTTCCAAGGACAGATCACTGAGGGATATGATGTGGTTGGGATTTCTCCTTTAACCCTACTTCCGAGCAGGGGTAAAAAAATCCCGGGGAAAAGCTTTTTCCCCGGGAATTCCCCGGGGATTTTTTTGTAGCGTGAACAGACCGACCGAAATTCCCCGGCAATTTCCCGGGGAATTGCCGGGGAATTCGTCTAGTGTGAAAGCCCCTTCAGTGAATGTTCCTGGATCCGGGATCAGTTCACTTTGCCTCTGTGACATCCGTGGCATGTTGATTTGTTTTTTGTTCAACATGATTTATTGCACACACATCCGTGTTTCAGTCTCGGTACCATATGTGGCACCACCGATACAAGAAAGTCATAGCTGAAAGTTCAACAGGTTACCAAACCACTAGCCTTTCCAATGGTTCAAGGGACTTGAACCTGAGATCACTGTATATGGTTCACTCTTAATTTTGCTTAATTTTGTATGCTTGTAATAAATCAAGGAACCATAATTTGAAAACAAAAACAGATTCTCACTTAGAAAATTGAGTAAATATACACCGACTTTTGTTTCACGAAACTCGAACAATTCATCGAAATAAGAGTGTCGTAAGATTATTATACATTTTTAAGCCGAATCGCTTAGAAATTAAACAATAAGCATTAATTTAGCCTGAATGTGCTCATTAAATGTGCTCTGAACAATCAACGATACTTTCCTCACTTTTAATGTAACTTATCCAGCAAAAAAAAGTTTTACAGAAATTAGGGTGCGAAACCTTAGATCACTTTTTTTGCTATGTGTAACTAGGTTTACCTTTCATTTGCATGCGCGCTAACTTAATGGCCACCGTGAACACACGTTGGCACACCATCACATGTTGCTTTCCTAGCCTGTCAAACTCAGGCCAGTATTGCATGTTAATTCATACTGGCTATACACCCAACAAATCTTATCCTTATTCAGTACAACGCGAAGATGTATCTACCTACCGCTGATGGATTCTAGATTTAGTCGGGCTTGCTTTAATACAGTCCTTATCAGCTATCACTTCAATTTGTTTTCTTAAAAGCTCATAATTCTAAATTTATTCCAAAAGTGTTAAACCCTAAGATTAATATTGTCCTTCTGTTTAACTTTTACTTTTCACCTTTTGACCACCATCAGTTTCTATCATGTGACACTTCCTTCCGGTTAAAACCGGAAGTACCTTAGTTTTTAAAATTGGCAGAAAATACGAACTTGCTTTCAAAGATGTGAGTGTCTGCCTAGGCTGTACTTCAGAAATATATTACAGGTGATGTCATCAATTGTCAGAGTGCCCTCTAGCGGCAGGTTAAAAAACGTCAAAAACGCATTTTCACTTGATGTCTGTGGCGAAGTTTGCGGTATTCGCTTCAAAATTAATGTACATGATGACCTTAAAGCAGACAAGACATATGCGCGAAAAAAATTGATTACGTCATCAGATCGGAAGTTACAATAAAAAGACCTTTAAACCTTCAAAAATCAACCGTGATAGATATAATCAAGATTGGGCACAGTTGAAATAGCTCTTGAAATTTCTGGTAATAACGTCACAATGACGTCATCAAGTATCATATTGCAAGCAATCAAAGATTTCTAGATTTAATCTTTGAAAATCAATATAAAATCAAATGCTAAAGATTTGATTTTGTTTTTTATGGCAATCGATACAATATTGCAGGGTCTTCATTTTTGGTATTAAGTGCAAAATCACTTGATCCTTCCTTCCGGCCGAAACCGGAAGTGCCTTATAATTTGAAATTGGCAGAAGATGCGAACTTGCTTTCAACGATGTGAGTGTCTGCCTAGGCAGTACTGTACAACAAATTTACAGGTGACGTTATCAAATGTTAGAGCGCCCTCTGGCGGCATGTTGAAAAAGTCAAACATGGATTTAAATATGCACATTTTGAGTTGATGTGTGTGGCATGACGTGAACACTCGTCCTAAGACCAACCCGACCAACCATATAGGCAACTCGGGTTGGAACACACCATTTTGGAGAGCCTGCCCTACATAATATGGCGTGTCAAACGTTGCGAAATTCAATGTTTCACAACATATATGTTTGATGTTCAATATGTGTTTGTTATCTTTTACATTTATGTGCGATGTTCAATATAAGTGTGCGATGTTTTTCATTATGTGCGCGATGTTTAATATATTTGTGCGATGTTTTTGACTTTCTTTTTTAAAAATTTAAAGCAAATCACACTAATTTTCACTCAACGAATTGGCAATTACTTCATCCCCCCTTCTGGAAATGTTCATCAATAGAGGAAGGTAGGAATTTGTAATGGTTTCAGGGGGGAAAAAACTGCTCCAGGTATGCCGAATAAACAAAAACTAGCTAGTGTAGTGTTGCACGATGAAAACAAACCATGGACAATACACAGCGCAACGTTCCAGCGCAGCACAACCGGCCGTACACACACGGCGCGGTAAACACACACCATCGCGGTCCTCACACATACCTTTGAAGTTTGATATCATCCGCCGGAAAATCGGAACGGAATTCCGCTTGTTCTTGCCTGTCATCCACCGTGAAATAGATCACTTTGGTCGACATGGTACCTGGAATATCCTCCTAGGTTTCCCCTCCCCCAGTACGACCGTAAGATCCACGGGAAATACGGCAGAATGTACCGGTTTTTTTGACAGGCGAACGTACTGCTTCAGCGACAAACTTGCAACGCTAATAGCATGGCTTCACTTGTAACTAGGCGCCCAAAACAAGCCCAACATGCACAGGGGAAATAGCGCAAGTCGATGGCATAAAGAGCCCACTTAGGCGCGTTACACAACACTTGTTTAGGTACGTATCCGGGGATGAAAGTAACAGGTTGATAATTGATTGGTTAGGGGCCATTCAGAATTTTCAATGTTTTAAAATTTCGACTTTTTTTCCAAATTATTTTGACCCACCCACCCACCCACCCCTAATTTCGATTAATAAAAAACTGAACATGTACATGTACATGTACATGCACTTGCATGTACATATACTTGAACATGAACATGTATACCCCTGTACATGTGTGTCTAGTTCAGTGATGGCGTGAAGTTGTCGGTCTTCCTCTTTTGCACTGGGCAGGTGAACTTCAGTTTTCTTGTGTTTTGCCAGCTGATATGCTGTTGGGAATGACAGGTTGCAGTTTTGGAAGCGACAAAGATGACCGTGGTTTTGTCGTTTTCTGGATGAGGTGGATGACATTGTGACATACGAGGGTATGCCTGTCACGTGAGGTAGCTGAGAAAAACATTCGCTTGTACCCCCCCCCCCCTCCCTGTTTGCAGGGCGGGGGGTACGAGCGAAAGAAAAACATCAGGTTTGGGCAGACATCACATCACAGGCTGCGGTTCTCGTAGTCTTGGAGTCCAGTGGTTGAATAGTCCAGTTTTTATAGCGATTGGTAATCTACGCCCGCGGCGTGTTATAGAGCCGATCTAGTACACCTGGTACCCTGCTGCCTCTGCACGGCCTAACCGCTACAAACGCCCGGTGTCCAAGTCTACTGAAAAACTACCTCCCTCTCATGCCACAGTTGGTCTATATACACGTACATGACGTACATGTACAGTACATACAGGGGACGAAGTTGGAAAAGAAACACGCATCGCGATATCGGAACGCTTGCGCGTAGTTCAGGCAAGTCAAAAGATCTATCTTTCTTTTCCTTTTTTTATCTTTTTCCATGGAAAGTGAATTTCGATTTTCAATTATTGAGCTTGACCCACCCACCCACAATTTGGAAAAAACATCGAAATTTTAAAACATTAAAAATTCTGAATGGCCCCTTATCTTGATTCTGTTTCTGCATTCAGCCTGGATTCAAGTCATTTCATTTGATTAGCTGATGGACTGGGGTGTCCAAATGAGATGGGATAAAGACCATTGTGTAGAACATTTACTACACCTTCAGACTCTATAGATTAGTTTTGCAAAAAGAAAGTGCTAGTATTTTCAATATGTATGGATTGACTGGTAATTTGCTTTGTTTTTGACACCCTGTAGTGTTCTGTATTGTACACATTGTACAAAAACAATGAAATATAGAACCGCCCCTTATCCGGCAAACAGCTCATCATAACGGTAGATAGTTGCGCTGTAAATAATTCATTTTAACACCTTATGTTGCGATAATGCTACTGCTGTAGATAACTCCAAACTGGAGGCTTACTTTAAAGACAAGAAATCAATAATCGATGTTCTTTCGGGAACACTTAACATGCATTGTGCTGTGACTTAGTAGGCATATAAGGCATCTACGCGTAAGAGCGGTGTAATGGAGAATATTATATCACAGAGGCGTAACTGCCAGGGCGAGGGAAGGGGTTGGGCACGGTGGGACCGAGGCCTGTGCAACCCGGCTGTGATGGGAGGGTCTTTTTTTCACAAAAAATTGACTATTTTTTTTTCTGCTGGACTTTTTGCATACTTTAAAACGAAAGTCTTGCAATTTTAATAATCAAATCAGCAAGTTAGCCTATATATCAGTAAGAAGTTCTGTCAGAGCAACCGATATACTTATTGTACAGTTTACAAACAATTTGGGATGGGTCGTCCAAACTTCTTCCCCGACCCTTAGCCGAAAGCCTATGTGCCACCCACTTGTAGTACCCCCCCCCCCCCCCCCCCAAAAGAGAGAACCCAATGAGGTCCCAAGTTACCCTATCGGATGTTACGAACAGTGTAAGGTTCTTATTTAAAAAAAAAAAATCAGATGCATTTTATTATCAACTTTTATTTGGTACAAGATTTGGAAAATTTTCGGAATAACGTTGGGTCTAAAAACTGTTTGGAAAAAAAGAAAATCACAAGAGGGCGCTAGAACGACACTAAGATCTTGCAAAATGGCAATTTAGAAAACACGACACTGTCCAACGGCCTACAACAAAACAAAACCTTATTCATATCATTAAGTAAAAGTGTCCCTCTCAAAATTTCCCTGGAATTGGGAAATTAATAACTTCTGGTTTTTTTTTAAAGTTTTGTCCAGACGTTTATCCTTAAATGAAATAAGTCTGAACTTCTCGAAATAGCTTTATGATAAAATACTTTATTCCGGGAAAAAGTAGCCTAGGCCAATATAAAGATAACAAAAGAACCATTGAAATTAACCACAAAAGGATACATTTATAAGTGTATTACTTTCACAGTGTGCCCCTTTTAAAGTCAGCAATCGTTTTCTAGAAATATTTACAAGATAAGCAGTTTTTATAGCAACAATAATAAGCCAACCTATGAATCGTGTAAAAATAATTCGACTAGTACGTTTGTACTTCGAAGATATTGTCTTCAAAAAACAAATGACCTAGATGAAATTGCTTTTGCGAATACATAGTTTGACAACAATTAGGCCTTTTCAGAAATTCTTTCATGCCGACATTTTGCTTACATATTTTTCTCAAACATTTTGTTTAAATTTCTGGAATTTGTGATTTAAAAAAAAATATGAATATGAATTAAGAAGTAAGAAAAAAGCACAAGCCAAAGTGAAAAGACTTTCTCCACTTGCACAAGTTACAGCTTTTAAAACAGAATTTTGAAATCTAAAATGATAAGCAAACAGGTGTGCAGAACAGAGGAAAAAGTGAAAAGTAACCAAATCTTAAATTGTGAAGAATAAATCATATAAGGACGGTAGCTAATTTTTTTTCTCTCACAATACATGATTAATTCCAATAGTTTACATTATCTCAAAGAGACCTAATTGATTTTTTTGGGGCCAGAATTTTCCTCCGACTTGTTGAAATGACATGATGGACTGCAGAAATCGTCTCTTTTAGTAGCCCCTGGTGATTTTGCTCACGCATATTAATATCACGGTCACGGTCACGGTCACGACGCATGATGCAAAATCAGGGGTCACGGGCCGTACGTCCGTACCGTACCCGATAGATGGCGCCTTTTAAATCACCTGTTGGATCGCCGGCTGCTATATGCGTTATGCTGCATCTCAAATTCTCATCTCTCTTTGAGTCTCTCCCTTGTTTCTCGTCACCTGTTTACCCTTCGATTTCGTAAAACGAAGTGGCTATCGTTACGGCACTCGTTGTTTAGCGCCCTCTACGATATTTTTTTGATACGCACGCAGGTATATAATTATTTGTTTCCACACGTTTTGTCGAGTAGTGCGCCAGCTCAGCCGATAGAGAGTAGGATTTTGCACCGCGAGGTTGTGGGTTCGAATCTCAGTTTTGCACTCGAATTTTTTTCCTTTTCTAACCTGAGGCTTTGGAGGATTTTTTTTTAAAGGGAAATAAAGTCCGAATTTCATAAAGTTCAAATTCACTTTTTTCCTTCTAATTTTATATTTTCTTGTCATGTTTTTTTATAAAAGTTGCCAGGTTGCAGTCTACCGTAACGATAGAAAATGGGAAATGCGTTACGGCTGCCGTAACAATAGCCACTGCGTTCATAAAAACGTTCTGGTGCCCGTTGGTACATGATAGATCATTAGTTCGTCATCAGCTGCTCTTGTCAATGTCATCAATGTTGAGTGTGACTGTGATTGATGATTTTGGCATGTTTGGTAAGTACTCGGACTCCCTATTATCGCGGCATCCCTATTATCGCGGCATGGGAATTTTCTCTTTTTACAGTGTCAAAACTCCTTTAAGTGGCGATTTTTATCCAGTTCACCAGTCATCAAGGATTTTCTACCAAGTTGTATAAAAAGGACGATTAAAAAATGTTGTGTCTTTCGGGACTTTTAACGATTTTAATAAATATTAACGTTTTCCAAAACTTGCAAAATTTTCCCTCACCGTGTCTGCTAAAAGGTACCGTTTATATTTTAACATAAATCTTTAATTGCGCTCTGTCCATGAAAGTTCCATTGTCTGGTTCCCATTCTTCAGCTGCAAATGTAAAATGAAGTCGAACGACGATATTTGCAGCGCGAAATCGCAACAACTTTTACGGGATCAAAATAAGCACCGCGCGTTAGCGAAAATAAAACGGCACACCGTGTAAAGTGAATGGCGCCCTCAATCGCCGATCAGTAGACTTGCCTCCGGGATTTTGTTCTCCTTTCGGGGGAAGGGCAGGGTCTTAAGAAATCATCCTGCAGACATTTTGTCTTTAATCACCTTGAACGTTACAGGGAAAATATCAGACTTTATTCAGGGGGTGTTTTGGTCAAACATAAACTATGAACAAAAAAGTTGGGATCATTATAAAAACCACTTCCCGCATACCGCGATAATAGGGAGTCCACCTCCGTTCGCACACGCCGCGCAGGTCTATTTTCACAGGCATCGTACACGGAATAAACCACACACCCCGTCAGATTTTTTATATTAATTTAAAAAGGAAGAGTTATACTACACATAAGACAGGACAATTCTGGAAGGTTAGTGGGCAATCTCTATTCCGAACGAGAAACGTGATAAGTACCGCGATAATAGGGCGTTCCATCCTACTCCTAGAACTATGAGGCTCCACGTAGTGGAGCTCCACTACGTGGACCCTCATGGTTCTAGGAGTAAGTGTCTAGTACTCCTAGTCCTTAGTCAGTGTATAATCATTGTCGTAAAGTAGTTTCTCGTCCGGGCTTTTTGAGAAAAAAATGAAGGCCCCCCCCCCCCCCATGGCGGATTTGGAAAGATTGTTCAATGTTGGGCATCCTGGACATCACTTGACACTCTGTGTACAAACCCTATGGGACTGGTCTGAAAACTTCCAAGTTTTTTCTCAGTAAATGCTTCCATTATTATTTTTCCCTGCTGACTTGACTCAGTTTTTCAGGACATCATGTTCATTGCTTTTTGATGCTCAAAGGTCACTGCAGGGATATAAGTGATGTCCATATATGGAATTCTTCCTGAACATGCTGAATGTGCAACCAACGCCACTTTTTGGTTCAATCAGGTCATGATATTGCAAAAATGTTGAAAAGACAGAGACTGGGAAACATTTCCAATTTTAGGAAATACAAAAAAGTTCTTTCCTCTCCATACTAGTCTTTCAAGTTTCATAGACTTTGTACACAACCGCTGAAGTGTTGTTTGGTTCTTTTTGCAGATTTTCCAAGATGGCCAATGTATTCTTCAATTGTTTTACTCTTTTACATTTATTAATTAGTATTGAGTATTCCAAATTTTCGGAATACATTTTGCTTAGGCCAAAAAAAAAAGTTTCTGGTAATGCGCGCGTCGCCGTAGCCATGCGCGTCGGCAAAATGAAAAAAATTTTTTTTCATTGAAAGATGATGTCTCAAAACCGCCAAACTCACTGGTTTGACTGGAATCCTGCTGCTGCACAATTTTAACCTGTTTTTAGATGGGGTTATGATCGAGAATAAGCTTTATGTGGCCTCTCTGGTCTCCCATAATATTTGCACTAAGTTTAGTCGGGCACCATTTGCAGTCATCAGCCGACATTTTGAAGCCAAAAAAACAGGTTAAAAAAAAAAAAAGCTGCGTCGCCGCACCACTTTTTGGGCAAGCTCCATACCAGAAACCGGAGACTTTTTTTGTGGCCTAAACATTAATATGTGACTATTTATCCATCAGCCGACATAGCTAATAATGGCACCAATCAGTGGTGTAAAATTTACCCTTATAATTTAAGGCTTTAGAAGCTAGTTGGTTTCTTTATTTTGTAAATTTGTTTTCTTTTACTTTATGTTTCTGTTGTTTGTACAGCTTTTAATGCATCTTTTTCTACGAGCCAATTGTTCAGAAGTTGAGCAAAATGTGGCCAGCGATGCATATGTATTCAGGAAACTCCTTGATCTGATAGAGCCCAGATCTACGAGTAGCAGCAAGTTCATACCAGGACCAAATGTAAGTTTCTAGTCTATGTGTAATAATAGTGGTGGATATTTATAAAGCGCACGTATCCACCAGGACTGGTGCTCAAGGCGCTACATCATTATTACCCCTGCTCATTGGGCACATAAAACATTCCAAATACCATCTCAGCTCCCTGGGGAGTATATACAGCTTGATGCAGCCTGTTAGGCGCAAGGAAGCTAATTCAATCACAATAACCATCTCTGCCCTCACAGGTACCCATTTACTCCTGGGTGGAGAGAAGCAATGAGTGACAAAGTGCCTTGCCCAAGGGCACACGCACCATGACCCCGCTAGGACTCGAACCCACAATCTGCAGCTTTACCCGCAGACCACGAATCAGTGCCCTTAACCACGAGGCCACAGTACTCCACAGTACTCGTGTGTCTTTTCTTAATCTGTTTGCAAGTTTCAATCACGGTTTTGTTTTAGTTGAAAATTGACATCAAATATTTTACTGGATACAAATTCTTCTTCTTCAAATAATCCACAAAGGTAACCTGAGTCGGTGCATTAAAATAATTTCATAAGTTGAACAAAGAAATTGGGTTGGTGCAGGGTTTGAACCTGTGACCTCAGACTTGACTGGCCGTTCCAGTGCTCTACTAAGTGAGCAATATCCAGCCCTCTATGTTGACATTTTCCCATTTTGTAAATGTCTCTGTTCAAGGGGCATATCAGGCTAGTCAGAAGCCATATTCAAATTTTAAGAATATTATTTTTTAAATAGTTGGATGTTTCCCAATTATTGTAACAGGGTGAGCTGTGCATACTAAGTGATAGGCACATGGAAGACCGACGGTATGAGAAGCGTGACGATCAAGGATGGTGTTGTTGCGGTCTGTGCAATGCAGGGTCCTACGCCAAGAAACTGTGTAAATGTGGTGGACCAAACGGAAGCCCAACAGAATTCACAGAGTAAGACAAAAAGGGGTCCATTTTTTCCTCAGAGCATCGACACTGGACTTTCAAGATTTAGAAGCTGTACTCGAGTCAGTACCTTAGCTTGTCTCTGTTCAAATTATATAGAAACAAGCGTGTCTAAGTGGAGTCTAAACTTTGTCAAAACTTGTACAAGTTGTAGTATATCTAGATGAATCCGGGCACGCGATCACTGTACCCTCACGAGGCCCCCTTCAATGGAGAAATCACTGTGCATGCTATTGTACAAAGCAACATATGCCTGATGATCTTAACACTAGCTAGTAGCTATCCTTTCGCCATTGAAGGGGGCCTTCATGAAGAATTGAAGTGTGCCCGGGTTTCACTGCATCTTTAAGATTTGGTTTAAGAATTAGCACAGAGATTAGAATGTATATATCTTGCCTTGTTTTTTTTCTTTGTTTTTTTTTTAGCTGTGTGGTTGTTAAACAGGGGATCGAGTACATGGATAAGGCAAATAAATGCTCCCAGCCATATCTGTGCTCTTCCAGTTGTGGCAACCATCAGAGAAAGGTAAAAATAACAAACACATTTATGGCATCTCAATAATAATCCTGGAATAGGTGTAGCCTACATGTATACATAAAATTTATGTTAGTCATTTCTTGACTAAGCAGAACTGGCAAGGTTTAAGCAGTAAGCAAGCAAGCTACATGACTGTCCAACCCATGAAATCTTAGGTGCTTTTCACTCTTTGCCAAGAACAATATTTCTGTGCTCAATAAATTTGGCCAAACAGCTTCAAAAAATAACTCCAGCGATTTGTCTTCCCTGACCAAGGTGGCTGACTGTACAGCGAGAATTGACATAAAATGCGAGTGTGTAGACGGCTGGTACAATGCTTATCCATCGGAGGGCAGAACTGGTCCGAGAGAATGTCGACCACTGCCACGCTGCCCTGCTGGTCAAGGCCAAGAACGTCGAGGCGGCGGTAAGAACGCTTAGGACAGTTGTAGTTTCTTCCATGTCTGTTGCCTCTTGTTGCCCTGGTTCAAACCTTTTATTATTTACTTGTGACTGGACTTGTGATCGCATTACGATGTGTGTTGAATATAAGAACAAGTAAAATTCTCTGAAGAAATATTCGAAGTTGTAAGGCTCTATAACCTTCTCAGCATATTCCGGTCTTTGCTTTTGTTTTACATTTTCATTCACAGGTGAAACTGGAGAAATTGTCTACACCTGCCAACAATGCAGGGAAGGCCTTTTTCAACAATTCAACAACAGCACAGCAACCTGCCAACCCCACAGAGTCTGCCTAGTCAAAGCAGGGTCTGCAGTCGCTGATAGCGTCTGCGTTAATGATGAACTACAAGCTAACATGTCGTCGAATGCCACTGGGGAGCCCTACTTTCCAGAATCTAAAGGAATTGGTAAGGTTACTACTTGCTGGGTATAAATAGACAAATCCGGACACATGATCACTGTGTCCAATGGTGAAACCATTGTGCAGGCTATCGTACAAATCAACTGTTCCATGACGGACTGATGATAGCTAGCACAATGCTTTGGTCATGGAAGGGGCCTCCAACGATAAAAGTGACAGCGTGCCAGAACTGGTCTAAAGGGTGACTGTGAAGTCATATTTATGGCAGAGTCATAGTTTAGTCAATCACATGTCAGTCACATGCCAATCACATGTCAGTCACAAGTCGATCACACATCAATCACAATTAGTCAATCACATGTCAGTCACATGCCAATCACATGTCAATCACATGTCAATCACATGTCAATCACATGTCAATCAAAAGTCAATCACGACACTCGCAAATCACAAGTCAATCACAAGTCACTCGCATGTCAATCACATGCCAATCGAATGTCAATGACAATTAGTCCATTCACCAGACAGGTCACAAGTCAGGGGACAAACAGTGAGCATAAAGGAATGTCTTTGTCACACCACATTTTATTTGACATGAGACTCAATGACTTGTGATTAATTGACAAGTTGTGAAATCTTGTGGAAAATGTACCTAGACAATTAAGAACAGACTATATATAAGATAGTCCCTTTTTTCTTTTGTGTTCCCTGGTACAGACACGACCACGGAAGTGACACAAACAGAACAGTCACAGAAAGAGACCAAAGGGTTGCCAACTGCGCCCCCTGACACTGGGAGCACACAGGATGCTCCACTAAGCACTGATGAGCGCAAACTTGAGTCAGGTAAATAAAGTTTAAGAAATCAGTCATTCAAAAGTCACCAAGATCTTATTTGAACCCAGACGTCATAGTAGATCAGTCTTTTTTTCAAATGTGACAATAGACATGTCTGTTGCAAATAATTACGATTCGGGGGAAGTTTAGAACCCTGATAACATCTCCCCTCCAACTCAGTACCGTGTATGGGAATTTCAGTACATTGTGCGTACTTGTTTGAAATATGCATATTTCCTGTATAACTACTGTACATCTGATCAGTTGTTGTTCGTGTTCTTTTATTTTGTGGCAGATATTGGGATGTGTCCAGCAATGTACGTCACTATCGGGGCATGTGCTTTCAGCTTGGTGCTTTCCATAATCTTTGTTGCCTACTGTGTCTATGTCAACAAGTATAAAGGCCAGACATACAGTTGTGCTCGTGTCCACTATGATCCCTGCAGACAACAAGTTGGATTTCCTCCAAACTGACAAAAAAAGTTGGTATTCATCTTGAGTCATTCCATCCATTATTCTCTTCTGTCCATCCATATTTGCCTTAGTTAGGGCCCGTCTCAATTCATATCTGGGACAAGCTCCGGACAAGTTGCAGGTAGAATCGTTCACTTTGTCCGCAAGCTCTGCATTTGTCCTGGGCATTTTCTAGGGAACTTTTCATAAGCTATTGCTTGACTTTGCAAGTCAGCGTTTAGAATCCTGCGACTTATACCCACTAACTTGTCTAGAACTCCTTCCGGATGTAAACTGATGAGACAGGCCCTTTATTTCCATGGCCTTGTTAATCAGGGAGTAAGTCAGGGACGAGATTTATCAGATTTTTTTCCCCAGAATTCAGTATTTTTTATATCCCTTCTGAAATATGTAACTCCTGAGATTTTACCATAAAAAGTTGTTATTAAATATATAAGTTCATGTAGAACAAACGAAAAAGACCCTACGTTGTTCTGGGCCCTCGGCAGCCCCTAAACCTTCTGCCGATTATTTCATGGATTGTTCATTTTCCCTAAATCTCCTTCCATAAGTTGATGTAGATTTGAATCTATTTCAAGACACTTGGCTTTAGAATCGGGAAAATATAAATTAATTCAAAGTACTACATGTACCTTTGGAGTTTGGGCCAAAATAAAATATTTTTGGTTAAAAACAAAATGCGTAAATAATTATATCAGCATTCCACTTTTATATAGGATTTGGTAGAACGTATAAGGGGCTTGAACAATTGTACAACCGTTTTCTTTTAAGGTGTACATAGTAACAGAGTCTGATAAGAAATTTTTGAAAGTTTATTTCAGTTTTTATTAAGTGTAAGGCATAGCAATATCAAAATAATCAAGGTACCATTTAATATAAACTAGCTATATCTTTCCTTTTTAATTTACAAATTGTTGGCAGTTTCATCAAACAAAATTTGTAAAATATAGTTTATATATTCTTAGCATTTTATATACACATTTTGTCTGATATTACTAGTACTACTGTTGAGTACTGCATATCTTATCTTTCAGTGCATTTTCAAGCAACCTACAATGTTTTTCTACAAATGAAATCTACTTATGGCCAACTCCGTATCTGAAATGTATATTTTGTCTTACCAAAATTGTATAAATTAAAAAGTGCCTTGCACTATCACTAAAAATATAAAATGGCAATATATGAATTTTGAAATAACTTTTTAAGTATTTTTCTGTAAATCTACCAGTATTGTCAGCATTTAGGTGTTCAAAGATCATGCTAGCCATTTCAGAACAAACATAATTCAGTTAAGTGATATTTTTTAAGCTGCTTATTTTAAGGCACATTTTATACACAGCATTTAGTGACTGAACTGTCACGACTTATTTTCCCGCTTTGTACTTTTATAGCTTGTAAGGGATGTGTCTTAAGCTTTTAAAACTGCATTACTATTTTAAATTATAATATTTTGAGTTATAAAGGCTAATAACCTCAAGCTCATTTATATTTATTGCCAAAGATATGCAAGCTTAATTTGCAATGTACTTTATATACATGTACTTAGGTTTTTAGTCAAATGTTAATAAAAAAAAAATGTTTTTGTTATATAATTATGGTGACTGAAAAATAACGCAATGTAGAAGCTAGAAGTTCACATTAGATTTTGAAAGAAAATGTTTGATTCTGTTTGGTTCTTATTTTCTGCTTGAAATACAAGACAGGGAAATCAACTTACCGTAATTTTCGGAATCAAAGCCGTGGCTTATACATTAATTTTGCCCATGAAAATGTTTACTACGGCTTATACACAGGGCGGCTTATACACTGAGCCTTGAAGAATAAAAATAAGATTTAAATGTGTATTAAATGCACTGGAATAAGAAAAGATCTGTTGCTGAAATGAATTATCAATCGTTACCAGACTTGAGGTACCAGAAAATCATTAACAAACAGTGGGCCGGGGACCGGCCGGGCCAGCCGGCAGCAACTCCCTGTGTTTATTTTTCATCGTCAATTTCCATATTTTTTTTAACGAGTATGGAACGTAAATGTTTTGATATAACTTTTGTGGCCCTTTTTATAGCTTTCGTAGTGCAAATGGAACTGGTCCAGAGCTTTTTGACTTTAGAATTTGGAGGCCTTACAAAATTGAAACCGCCGTCGGTGCAGCTTATACGTTCGTGCGGCTAATATGCAGACGTCAAATTTTATTTGCAGATTTTTTCGTGCTGCGGCTTATACTCCGTGCGGCCTATATTCCTAAAATTACAGTATTTACCATTTACAATGTTTCTTGACATAAATGCTACGGAAGTGGCTTAATAAACAGCATGTTTGTTGTGAGAAACACTATTTGTCCAATTAGTTGTAATAATTTCTGTGGGCGGCATTTGCCAAGTGTTGACGCAGCGTTTGGCTTTGAAAATGAATCATTACAAAAAGGTTTACTATGCCACTTTTACCAGAAGACAGTCCAGCTTTATATCACAATGCACTCGCCAATTGTTCACTCTCCATTTTGGCTCAATTGGTTTCTTTTTCTTCTTCTGCTTTTCATTTAAAATATTACTGTAACTAAGTAATGTAACGTTGAGAAAAATCTTGCATCTTACTTTAGAACATGAACATGAAAGCAAATAATATTACAAAAAAAACATTAATCTTTCAATAAGTTAAGCCACCTTAATTCCATCTTATAAAAGTTAAGCAACATTAAGTACATTTACACAAAATCACAAGCATTAATTGGCACCTTGACACAGCATGAATAAAAAACCTCCTTTGGCAACCCTGCTAGTCATGCAGAAATTTGACTGTAATACTTTTGCTGATCAGCAGCAGCCACATTAAGTACATTTATACAAGTATTTTGTGTGATGGGTATTAATACAAAATGAACAAGGGTCACTTTTTCGAAAATGCATTAAGCACCTTTTCATACCATGACTCCTCATACATAAAATAAAAAAACTTCCTTTTGCAACACTACTAGCCATGCTGAAGTTGACTATTATACAGTGGAACGCCGCAATAACAAACATCGTGGGATCCACAGAAAGTGTTCATAATAACGATCATTACCCTAACCCAACCCTCTTTTGACCAATAGTGAAGTCATCCTGCCGCATCACGTGGAGTGGTCAAGAAAAAACTTTAGCAACGGGTGGTTTTCCCTTTTATTCCTTGGGGAAATAATAGCCATATATCACTCTTCAACATTCAAACACGATGTAACCATGGGTGGTTTGATGGTCAGGAATTAAAAGTGGCCCAAACAGTGTTTAATACATGTACAACCAGTAGGTTGTTTTGTTAATCTGTTGACTTTTTTCAACAACGATGTTCGGTACGTTTTGTACATTAAAACCGTGAGCCAAGGATGATGTTCGGTATAGCCGAATGTTCGGTATAGCGGTGTTCAGTATAGCGACGTTCCACTGTACTATCAGCAGCAGCCACATTAAGTACATTTATACAAGTATTCTGTGTAATGGGAATTAATAAAAAAATGAACAATGGTGGTCACTTTTTCAAAAATGCATTAAGCACCTTTTCATACCATGACTCCTCATACTTAAAATTAAATTAAAATTAAAAAAAACTTCCTTTTGCAACACTACTAGCCATGCTGAAGTTGACTATTATACTATTGCATTTCAGCAGAAATATATACATTTGCACAAAGTCGGATAAAGAAATCAGGCAAAAGGGGCGTTGAGCTTTTAAATATGGCATAAGCAGTGGCTTAACAACGGGAGGGGGCAGGGGGCAGCTAGGTATAGGGCAGAAGGGAAACGCATGCCTTTTAAACATGTGGATAAAGAATGAGGTGGTTGAAGCTATAAATAATCATACCTACATAAAGTCATGAACATACCTACATGAACAAGTTCAAATGTAAATGTCAATACATATGGCTCCATTTTAAATAATAACTTGGACTTTGCTCTATACACCAAATCACTGAGCACATGTAGTTCAATATAAAATGCCTTTGGTTTCATATTTTGTTAATAGCCCATATGTTTGAATGAATGGCTACGCTGTACATGACACCAATATTTTTTTTGGGGGGGGGGGTACAAACAGACATGGTTCAAGTTTACTAATGTACGTTTTTGGGTTAAAAAAAGTTACCTCGTCTAAAAATGTTGCTTCTTTTAAAGGCGATATTTGTGTTTGTAACCCTGAAATTGTGTCATCACAACACCCTTATTCACTCAAAAAAACCGGCCTATTGAAATTAAATTACATGAATACAAATATACATATATACATGTATATGAATACTCTGATATTCAGTAGCTTGATTACTAATTGCACATTCCTCAAAACCCTAATTTTCTGAGAAAAACAACTCATGATGAGATGATGGATTAACAAATACCAGGTTCACAAGTACCAAAGGAACAAAAAAGAAATAACCTAAAATCACAAACACTGAGTTATCACACTCAGATTAGAAGATCTCTGACGTGAATCGCATAGAAAAACACCACTCAGCAGTGAAGAAAGGACATCACTTAGTCTGGTTCCCTGTCCCCATTGTCATTCGGACTTCAAATATGGGGACAGGTAGCTAGCAGTGAACCGGACTACATCAGGAGGCATTCCTCCTGATGTATGTAAATTATATATACAATTATGCGTGACGTGTCTGAATCTGATTCTCGCCTCTTGAATTCAAAATCACAACGGTTATGGTTGCGCGCAACCAGCCTATTGCGAAATGGGAATAGGTTGTGCCATAAAATGTGCAATTTCCGAGGTGATGAGCCTCGATTTTTGCTGAATTGGAAAGTGTCTCTGGCAAATAGCAATAAAGAGAACGAAATTACTGTTTAGTATTTAAAACCTGTGCAGTTGAAATGCTTGAAAATTGCCCTCATGGAGACACATGGAGACACCGTGTACTTTTTTTGGTAAGACAAGAGTGAGTTTTTTTGATAATCGTGAGTTCAATCACCGTCCATGCACAAAGCCAAGCAGCGATTCAAAAATAAACAACCATGATGTGCGCGAACGCGAGCAGAGGTGATCCAATCAATGGCTTTAAATGGGAGCTAGCTACCGGTCCACATATTTTCATGGGGGGGGGGGAGAGGAAACAGTCTACAGGCGTGCAACTTGGAAGAAACAAAAAACGAGGAAACTCCAATCTATACAAGACTTTGTACAGTTTTTTTAAATTTTTAATGGCACTAGTGTGAAGTGAAAAAAGAGGAAATCAGCTGATCCGAGGAAAAGTTGCATGCCTGAGTCTAGGATATTAATTTAAATAAATTAGAGACACCAGATCCTCTGAAGACCCTGAGTTCTTACTGCTACTACTTGGGTTTCTCTGCCTTTTTGGGCCTTGTTCTTGTTCTGAAATACAAGTATAACGAAAGCTCATTATACACTCTTTTCCTTTTAATTTCAAACAATTGAAAATAATTGTCAGTTTTTCAGAATTGTTTTTTTTTCACACCAGCTAAAATTTATGACTGCAGCTTTATGGAGCTGCAATTTGTTACACACACAATATCATTCTGTAAAAAATGGCGCCCAATTATGTGGGGGGGGGGGGAGAAACACATCATCCTTCTTTTTGGGGCCCACTGTTGACACTATTTGGCACAGCCCACGAAAATGATTAATGTGAGTGTCACCCCCACACCCTCCCCTTGCTAGTCATGTCATGCTTTGTACTCCAATGTTGGTGGTTCATTTGTTGACCGAGTCTCTAAATGCCGAATGGCAGAAATTATTATTGTCATCCCCCCCCCCCCCCCCCCCCCCCAGTGGTGAGATATGGTCAGCAGCTCTGCGAATTGTTTGACTTTCATTTTCAAAAGGGTTCACTGCTAGATGCATAATTCTGAGGATTTACAAACAAACTGTATTCTAATTTCTTACTTGCTTTCGGAGCACTGTGGTCATCCGGGTTCATCTGGAGCATGTCAGGGCTGCCATCCCTGCTGCATTGGTCAACTGCCTTATTGCCATGTTGGCCTATATCCACAAGTACTGCATTCTCATTATCTGAAACGAACATTGTTTGTGAAAAAAACATGCCACTAGATAGCCATGCAAATGTGACAGGTCACCAACGAAATTACACGTTATTGAAACTACCACACGCTGGATTCCAGAAAAAGATAAAAAAGAAAAAGAGTAATATTTATCTGATAACATCTGAAGCTTTATTGGAATGGACCTATTACACAGTGACGTAACGCTTTGTTTACATGTGCGCTATCCTATGGGAGCCAAGTGGGATCACTTGTGACACAAACCCTTTTATGCCATATTATGTCACTTCTTGCAGAGTCATGGTGTTCAGTATAGGGGGACCAAGAACACTCTCAAGAAGTCTATGGTCACTGACTGACGACTGTCAACACTGGACTGGGACTGGACACCCCCTGGGTCCCCACTCCCTCCCACCTTCCAACCCATTCCACTCCTGATATGATTTTCAAAGGGTCTAGAATCTCATGGCCATCGCAAGGTCTCGGTTTGTCTCAGTAATAGAGAAAGAGTGGATGAATCATCTTCGGACTATTTAACCACATGGACTCAACATTTTGAAGGAATGACTAATCTTTTCAATCTTTCTTCATTGCTGTTGATGCAGCCCTTTAAATTTGTTCTTCCCCCTCCTCCTGGCTCTATACTGTCTCATCACATTGAATCCATCCACATCCAAATTCAGTTCATCTGTTCCCCTTTTTAACCATGCTTGCTCAAGTTTCTTTACGATTTATAACATGTGCAAACTATGCGCAGAATACATACACATACACATACCAAGCTCTCTAAATGCATTCTTATTTACAAGCTATGTGCCCTGTTGCATGTTGTTGGAACAAATTTAAAAAATAAATAAATATTTGTGATTTAATTAGTTACCTTCATTTATGTTATCCATATTAATGCGTACATGTTGAGGCGCTTCACCTGAAAGTGAAATACAAATACATGTACACTGTAGAAGGTAAAATGATATTTTATAAGCATCTGCTGTGAAGTTATCGGGAAATGTTACTATGGCAGTAGTAATAAAAAAAATGGCAACCTCCGATGAAAGTCTTACATCAGCAGGTAATCTTGCTTTGAAACACAGACAAATGGCACGCACACATTCAGTGAGTCGTTCTCTTTGAATCAAATCATTCGTTATTAAGGGAATAAATGTGTGTTCCGAAGGTATTATAACATTCTGTTTAAAACCGGTGTGAGTCTGGATGGGTAATTATCATTCATCCAGACACACACCGGTTTTAAACTGAGTGTTTAATACCGACGGAACACATATTTATTCCCATTCATAAATACCTTTTTGGTAAAAAAAACAATCTTTTCGGTCCAAAAATCAAAACAAGTCAAAAACTAGAGTTGTTAACCATTTTGTTCAACAATTTGCTTCATGTTTTATGAAACACCCCTCTGACTTTAATATGGAATGCCCCTCCTCAATTGTGTGCGCGTCGCGCATTCCACCTCCATGGTCGCGCATACTGCGCGATGTCCTGCAAAATGCAGCTGGGCTGGTGTAGTGTGAATATCGGACTACGAAATATGGCGAGCGATACATTCAAGGCATTTCATGCTGTGTCCCAAGTAACGTCACAAGACCATACAAACAGATGACCTACATAGTACCTGATGCGCTAACCATAGTCAGTCTCCTGTGAAACCTGTTTTATTCAATCTTTCATCGATCGTACATAGGAAAAGTGCCCACTCACTGTAAATTTGAATGCTTTTATCACCTTCGGACTAAATAAAACTTAGCAAATTTGCTTCGCATGGGTACCATTATAGGCATATACCAAACTTCAATCAAATGTATCATTGCATGGCTCATATGGGGGGAACTGGGGAGCAGAACAGTTTGCTAAAAAAAAATGTATTGTAAAGGAAGGTCTTACCGGCATTGTCATCACCACGTTGGTTTTCAGTACCAAAATGTTCTGCAAGAAAATAAAAACACTAAAAATTGATTTAACACAACATACAGGGCCATGAGTCATGCAGCCACCATAGAATTTTACACTTTGGGTGCCATTTTTTAGTAAGACATGGAGCAGGAAACCATGTTGTTAACCAGTGCACGTCGGATGACGTGTGTACATGCAAAGGTTTTGTAGTATAAGGAACAGATGACGGATAACACGCAACGACCGAGGCCGGAAATGTCAGGGTGTGCTACCCGCAGATGACAGCCTGAACCCGTCTGGCATCGAGGTTTGTGAAAAACGATCCCGCGCCTGAGTCCAGTCAATGTCAACATTTTTTGGGTTCTGGCCTCACCTGAACTTGGTTGCCCTGAAAACGACCTTTAAATTCAAAATCAAGGATGGCATGTACCCCCACTATATTCTTATCTCAGAAATGATAGATTTAGCGTGGTGCCTGCTATTACCAAGAAATGCCTTTCAAAAGTAGTTCTTTAGACTACAAGTGCATACTTGCATGTCAAGACATCATTTCACATAGGCCTACCAGGAATTAATGTGGCACTCATCAAACCACCATGGCCACAAGAAAAAAATCACAATTAAAAATCAGATCATTTGTAATCTACGTATAATGGTCAACAAAAAATCAATGAGCAAAGATGCAAAGGCTGAGACTGAATTCAGCCAGTTTATACTAGAAAAAACAAGAAGAAGAATCAGTCTAAAATTATACTCACCTCTAAACCAGGGGAAGTTATTCAACAGGTAAGCATATATGTACTTGGAACACACAAGTGTACTGACAACTCCTGTGACAACTCCAACTATAAAAATGCCAATCACCACGGAACTCCAGAAGAATAGATGCCATTGATCTGTAGGATGCACTGTTGGTCCTGTGGCATTTCCTGTGACGTATGTTCCATTCAACACATCTAAAAATGTAAAGGGAACATGAGATTTATGAATAAAAAAATAATTTCAACAAGTTATGTGCAAGTCTATGGCATACCGACAACCTCAAACCATACAGATCCTCCCACTCAAATGTCACAAGCTCTTTTTAACTATCTAGCATAATAAGTGTACTTTTATCAAGGCACAAAATGTACACTACATGTCTTTCATATAATAAAAAATAATATAATAATAATTTGGGAGGCTAATCATCGTTACTCGCAGCTGAGAAGCTGAATTGCGAAGGACGCGGCTACAATGTGGTCGAGCCGCTGGCATGTCAAGGCGCCTCCATAGCAGCGGCAGCCAGCCACATTGACCCATATGTGACCCATATATATGCGTTTGATTTTTCCGGAGGGAGGAAATGGAGGGATGGAGTAGTATCACTGACAGGTGATTTACTACTGATCTGATTTGATAATGGGGGAATAAGAATAAATGATGTGAAACGGCACATCTAACAGCCGTAGTGCACTCAACTAGGAAATTGAGTGCAGAAACGGCCTTTTTTTTTCTTCAGACTCCTGTACATAGCATTTGTACACGTTTTCATCGTGCATGGCACTTTGGGCACTAAAATCAATCCGATTGCTTTTATACTCGGCACACACTTAGATGTGTGCCCGAACACTGACGTCATCATGACGTCATCACGAGTCATGTGACGTCACATTAAATGTGCATATTTTGAAGGCCTATATCTACAGAACTACAGGTCCGATTGAGTTGAAAGTTGGTATGTATCTAGACCGGGATGTAGATAAAAATTGCAGTGACGTCGACGTCATCACGTGACATGTGACGTCAAATTAAAGGTGCACTTTTCTAAGGCCAATATCTACAGAACTATAGGTCTGATTCAATGGGTCATTTTTATTCTCGGCAAAATGTTACATTGTCTGTTTGATTTAGCATGTTCTTCTGGAGCCACTCTATAAATAAGTAGCTACATAAATGTACTTGTATTTCAAGAACACTTGTTTGCTACAGTTCTTCACAGGTAATGTAGCTATAAAATACAACACATTTAATAAATTTCTTGCCTTCAGTAATAATACGCTCAAAACCCTTATCACAGTGAGGGTCGGGTTTACACTGTTCTTCCGATGCCCTGTAATAGCCGTCTCCACATTTACATACTGTGTCAGTTCCATGTAACCCACACTGTACTTCCTGCAATACACAACAAAAAGAAAAAGACACAATTGTTTGAAAGCAACATCACAATTTATTAAAATAGTTTTGCATGCTATCTGCCTCGTGCAGAAGTAACCCCCCCCCCCCCTTTCCCCAGTTGAAAAGAAAGAGGCTGGTGGGGAGCTATTAAATCAATACGGTTTGAAAAAGACATGGGAGAATTCGCACTAAATAGACTCTATGGGGATTAACTCACCAACTAAACTAAACTAAACTCAGGATCTCTGAATGGAAGAGTCTCGAGGAAATTCTATTAATAGAGACCAGAGACAAGATTTTAGATTTTAAAAAAAGGGACAAAAAGGAGTTTATTTACAAAAACTTTTCAGACTTAAGGAAACTAAGTGAAGAAACTTAATCAAATACCAAAATAGAAACAAAAATTTAAAATGTAAGGACCAAAACTAAAGAGACTAAAGACCAATAACCAACTTAAAACCAAGACTTAAATCTAAAACCAACACAGTGTGTAATATAATGGACTTTCCAAGACACGTTGGTAATAATCAATGACTCGAGCAGATCAGATACACAAACATATACATGTATGGCAAAAAAGGCGCACCCAAGAAAACCAAGGGAAAGAGAGGAAGCTCACTAAAAATACATTTCTCTCTTCACTGCCGCTGTTCTGCTACTGAGGGGTCTGTGGCCTTACAGGGTGGCAGAGCAAATGGTCTTATCAAAGGGACGGGCCCTAATTGCATCTTATTTCATGAGCAACATCTGCAAGTAAATAAACTCACCACTACCCAGGGATGATTACATTTCCGGCAGTCAAAGCCCTTGGTGCAGTTGTTTCTGTCAGGCATCATTTGTTCACCTACATTCACAAGTCTGCAACTGCTCAAAAAGATATAAAAGTAAATACAAGTTAAAACTTCAAATTTAAAAGATACCACCCCACAAATTTAAACACAAACAAAAAAAGCATCATTTTAATATAACAACAAAACTTTTTGAAGGCATGAATCGAGATCATTTTGCTTGGAGGCAAGAGAGGTGCAGATGTAAAAAAAAGAAGTTCACATTGGTTAAAAAAAAGGGGGGCAACTGTGAGTAATTTTTCCTCTTGATTTCGTTTCAACTGTTCCTTTAGGCATTATTGCAACTCAAATCCAATTTAGCGATCATCTATTAAGTAAAGGACTAGGGGTTATTATTTAACTTAATGAAGCTAAATAAAATGACCTCGCTAGGCTAGTTTGATCATGGTAGTTTGAACATAGACTGTGTTTGTCCGTATGAACGCCTGTATTTCAATCCCGTAGCAAAGGAAAGACCATTGACCTGACCTATGGGCTTTGTGCTTGACCGAGAGAGGGCGCATTTTTAGCCCGTGTCCGAATAACCTGGCTATGGTTGGAAAATTACACAGGTGCCAATGGAAACCACTGCAGTCACTCCCAGTAGACCCATGTGCTATTTCCAACCATAGCCAAGTACATACATGACATACCGGGGTATGTACAAAAAAAATGTATTTATGGAGGCCCAGAAGGGTTTGCTACATTTGAGGCACATTCTAGGCGGATTATTCAGGTCCTTGTGGATTGGCAGGTCTGGGTTGGCTTCAATACATGTACGTCCCAGTTCTTTCAGCATCTGTCGTTTCCTGCTTTTGCCTGGAGGATTGATGTGCCAGGGTACAGGGAGCCACTGGGTAGGAGTAGACTAAAGAGTACCTGAGATAGTTCTCATTGCTGAGTTCAAGATAGTATCAATTCATTTGGCATTGCAGCTCTCAGCACAACATGTACACAAGGGCAATGTTTGCAGTGCGTAGAGAATGAGCACTTGATCCCCAACTAGTACCTGCCAATTTGTGGACAATGTTGACCCTGGTCTTCAACTTTTCTGACGTCTTTTTTAAGTGTCCCTTGGATGTGAAACTCCGGTCAAGGGTAAAGTTCCGAGATACTATGGAAATTCCTCATGTTTGACTGGTTCGCCACAAAAGGAGACTTGGAGCTCTGTCCTAGCCAAACGGTTGCTAAGTCTTGGAAGGATTTGGGCGGAGGCGCCAGAAGGTGAAATATTCCTCAATCTTCGTTAGGTCCCATGTTAGGGTTCAGTCGAGGTTTTCAAAATCTGCAGCTTGGGTGGCGAGTTCAAGGTCATTAGCCTACGCAAATTTCATTGAGGCAGTGTCTGGCGTGTCGCTTACATACATGTAGATGTTAAAGAGCATTGGAGCCAAGACAGATCCTTGAGGGAGGCCATATTAAGCATCCTCAAAGAGCTCACTTGGTCACCAAGTGCAACCCTGAATCTTTGACTGCTGAGAATGGAACAGAGGACGTGCATGATAGCTTGGCATTTAGTAGCTATAAGCTGTACAGTTCTCACACTGCAAAATAAAGTGGTGTATTTTGGTGTATACAGGGTTAATAAACAACATTCACAATAAAAAGGGGACTTACTCTGAGGGTTCTAAGTACCCTGATGAGTTTGGATCACACACGCAAGCCCGATGGAGAATCTTGCCGCGAGGACACAGGTCGCATTTGCAGGAATTTCCACTCTCATCAACATGGTCATAAGTGAACTCTCCAGCTTCTGCATGATCTTCACGGAGAATACACATTTGACCCTGAAACAAATAGAAACAAATAACATTTGCAGCATCATCCAATCTCAGATCAAAATAAAAGTACTCATAAGATGGAATTTGCGTTGGGGACTCGGGGTGATGCAAATTATTAATTAATTTGCACCACCCACCCCGATGCAAATTCCATCTTATGAATAATTTCATTGCGGTACCCGCTGCTACATCCGATTTGAACCAGCCAACTGATCCCGCAAGCTCAGTGGTTCAGTGGTAAGACGTCTGCACTAGAAAGCAGGAGTTTGTGGGTTTGAGTCCTACCCGGGTGACTTTTTTTTCCAGCTATCACTAGGGAGGTAACACACTGGCTATACAGTGTTTGTACATCGGTGAAGGGCAAAACCTAATATTGAATTTAAAAGTAAAAGTATCTAACATGTCTAATGTGCAACGTGCATGATGACATGTATATGTACAACAACAATGGCAATCATGCCAAAAATAAAACAACACAATCATGCAATGGTTCATTAGGCTATAGTGACAAATTAAGTGACAAACTGAGGCAATGGGGAATATCAAACGATAAGTTAATCACTTGCTGTTATTGATTTGGCATGACTATGGAATGCAATAATGAGACCCCTAATACAGGGTGAGTAAGAAAAAAGGGAAACCCAAATGGCAGGACCAATTATTTAATAAAGTTCTGCATGATGAAAAATTACTATCAGTGAATAATAACATCTTAGAACAATTACTTAGTATAAATTTCTGGTCTACTAAAAAAAATTCAATGTCAAACCTGTATCATTCAATTTGTGGCTAAATGTAAAACTGTTTACAAAAATGGTTTAGGGTTAACATGGTTAAATTACAAATGTATTAGATCTGTTTATTAAAAACACTGACAAGATTGCTTCAGGATACACGTTTTACATGTACCGGTATGCACATTTTTCAATGTTCATGAGACATACTTAGAACAACATGCAGGCTAGTAAAAATGCCTACGGGCTAGTAAGAGTCTGTTTCAGTAGCCCGGCTGGCTATAGTGAACAAAAACTATTAGGTCAAACCCTGGTAAAGAGTACCATGGAGTGTTCTTATTCATCCATGATTACGGTATACTTGACATCCTCCGCACTGCTCCAGGATGTCACTGCCTCTGCCTCAGCCTATTGACAGAAATAGCCGGAGGATTTTGCAGGATTCAGGCAGTGGTTATCCCTCCATGGACCATATTCAAGAAATAATGGAGGAATTTGCAGGATTGAGGCTATACGCTATTTTTCCATGAGGCCAATTGGAGGATTTTGCAGGATTGAGGCTACATCCTAGCAAAAAGGCTTAGGGAGTTAGGGTTTATAAGACATCACATTTTGAATGGGATTGCTATGCATTACATGTACATCAACAAGACACAGTGATTCATGAAATTTCCGTTTGTATAAGTACCGGTATTAGCACAAAATAAAGCAAAACAAATCTAAATAAATCTGTGCATTTTAGAACAAGTTAGTATTTGATTATTCAAAACTGCATTTGACCAAACATTCAATTATTTGAAACTCTCTGATCAAGATTTACAATAATGCGCCAGCTGCAACGTACTGCATGCCATGCCAGTCAAAAGTTGCACGCAAAGCGCACCAGTTAATATTATGGGTTACTGGAGTGTTTTGCAGTAAGTACATGTATCTTCAACCTCGTCCCCAGTGCTTACTTTATTTCCAACCGCGTTTCCAATAGTAAACCCTGGATAGGAATCTTTCTTCCTGTATCCTGATTGGATACCGCAATTGGCTAGTAATGGATTTTTATCGCGTACTTGGTGCTATTATTCAAAACGTGCAGTACGTGTTTTCGCGATCATTCGTCCACGCCTTCTCGAAAATACTAATTTCCTTTCCAATTTGCTCATGAAATATGATACTGCATGTTGTCTGGATAAGATCGTAACAGTTTGATTTCAAAAATCGTGTTTTCGTAACTCACGACGTGCTCGCGCTGCTACGAATTGACTCTGTTTTTACCCCAGACACCGCATACAAAAACAAACGCTAATGTGTAACGCATATCCAGGCACCAGACTGTTCCTCATTTGCATACGTGTGCAAAAATCTTGCACATGTAAATGATTCAATACCAGGGTGAGAGAGCGGGTAGTGATGGGCGCGTAATGCTCGACACCCTGGGTACGAGGTTGATGTATCTTATAACTGTCAAGGGCAATAACTGGATGCGTACGCCACTTGACACCCTGTGTACAAACCCTATGAGACTAGTCAGAAAATGTTTTCAAACTAAATGCTTGAGTATTTTCCCCGTTAAATTTTACTTTTTAGGACATGTTATCCCTCTCTGATGGTTGATGAGTCATTGCAGGGAAAAACTAGTGGCGTACGTATGGAATTCTTTCGCATTAACCAGCAAAAAGGATGGGAAAATGAACCGCCATGGCAAAAAAAGTTACCATCAACAAAAAACTGGCATTTGACAATAAAGTACTGCAGCCTTAAAATTAAAATAACATCACAGCAATTGTGTATATTTTATATGTGAGCGGGCTATCACCGAGTTACGGGGAATTTTTATTGTTAGGCAAATTAGGACCAAGTTATGGGGACTTTCCATGGGCATCGTGGGGGGGGGGGGCAAGGGGGTGCTTCCCCCCCCCCCCCCCCAAGCAAAAAAAAGGGAGAAACAAAAAAGGGGGGAAAAAAAGAAAAACAAAAAAGGCGTGAAATCATATTGTTGTTAATAAATAATGGGTTGGGGAGGGAAATGTCCCTGCCCACCCTCGAAAAAATGATCAATTGGGAAAATGCTGGAAAATATAGGGATTTTGGGAGAAAAATGTGCTTTGCCCCTCTAGAAAATATCCTGGCGACGCCATGGGACTTTCTGCTGTCCCCACAGCATCTTAGTACCACGGGACAAATCGTGTGTAGTCCACACAGTTATGGAACAAGAACGTGCGTACTGTTTTGTTTTGTTTTTTTATTCGAATCGGCAAAAAGCTATTCGCATTTGGTTGATGATTGAATATTTGAGTTTTCTATATTACTTGGCAAAAAATTGAGGAGGTGCGGAAATAGAGGGCGCTGTTGGAGCTACCGCGGAACATTTTGGAAAAAAAAGATCGACGCGCGCGCTGACCAGAGACCAACTTATTTTTTGTTTTGGCCTTACTTGGCAAGTTTGCACCAGTACATAGAACGTGATGTGAGCAGCTGTCATCAATGCCTACATGTTAGTGTTATGAAAGGTGATATGATGACCATCACAATTAACAATGTGAAAACTAAAAAACGGGGGGGGGGGGGGGGGGGAATTCATACAAGCGGTTAATTAACAAAACAAAAAAGACCTCATGCTAATTCAGAAATTATTAAAGTAGATTTACATTGTACCTTCCAAGAACTCCTGATCTATTCTGGAAAACATTCCTGCAGAATTAAAAGTCTGATTTCTTTATTTTGTCAGTTTTAAATGTTGCAAAAACTGCATATCTTCTGCATTACAATGTAAGTTTCACCCCTTGCAGAACTACACGTACATTTGGGGCAGTAGGGGGCAGTAGGGGCCTACTGATCGATTGGGGGTTATGATGAAGAACACCAATCATGTCGATGACAAGGAGAATGAATGACCTTCAAAATTATTTTGAAGAATAAGAACATGCACAATCACCTGAATCCATACAAAGGAAAACTCTAATTTTTCAGTTGATATTCTCCCACTCTAGAAGTACATGTATTCTTGTTGATACCGGAATTGGGACCCCTTTATGGAGGCCAGGCCTGCCAGTGAATTGACACAAAATCAAAATTAGACAAAATTAGACCCAAAAAAGACATTAGCGTTCGAGTCAGCCCGTGTCGAATGAACACTCGCGCGTACTCCCTTCGTTTGCAGACGGGCATCTTTGTTACATTCTCAGCTGCGTGCACGTAATTACGTAAACCCCTTCCCTATGGAAAAAACACATTGAACAAGAAGGGCGTACATGTAAATGTGGAAAACTGGGATTTTCGTTTTCACGAAGGGACGGACATCTTAACTAATTAATTTTGGCTAATTAACCACTGTGTTATCTATAATTACTGGGTTTAAATTGAAGTTTACCTATCAAAGAATTATGTCAAGGTTTCATTATTGCAAAAAGTTGTTGCAAAGTAGTGGTTTTGCAGTTTTAAAAACGGAGAAACTTCTCTTGCGATTATCTTGATAACAGTTTTTCTTCAAAATCCACACAAATGCCTGTCCCTTCGTGAAAACGGTGACAATTTGTGAGGTTATTTCTAAACTATGTCAGACCTAGCTAGTACTTTTACATTGATATTTAAAACAAACATCAAGATGATATCTCTCAGGGTTGATTTTTCAGGAATATTCAAAGGAAAAGAGGTCTTTTCATTCTAATTTCTGATCTGATGACATCATCAATTTTTTTTCCGCGCACAGGTGTTCTGTGCATAAAGGCTATCATAGATATTATTTTAAAGTGATATTACCGCAAACTTTGTCACAATAAACTAATAATTCTGTGTAAACATTTTTCAACCTGCCGCTAGAGGGCGCTCTAACATTTTATGACATTACCGGTAATTATTTTCTTAAGTAAAACCTAGCCAGAGACTAACATGATCATTGAAACTATAATGCAAGTTTACATATTTTTCCACTTTCAAATTATAAGGCACTTTCGGTTTGGACAGAGAGGAAGGGTCACGTGATTTTGCACGTAATATAAAAAATGAATTAAAACCCTGGATTATTCTATCAATTCCCATAAAAAAGCAAAATCAGATCTCTCACTGTTGATTTTATATTGATTTTCAAAGATGAAATCTAGAAATCTTTAGTTGCTTGTTATCTGATCCTTGATGACGTTATGACGTCATCGTGACATCAAATGCTACCAGAAAGCTTGAGAGGTACCGGGTATGTTAAAAAGTTATTTGAATCAAAAATCTGGAATATAGCCTATATCTGTTGTGGTTGATTTTTTCAGCAGTCTCTTATTTAGTTTTAATTTAAGGTTTAAAGGTCTTTTTATTGTAACTTCTGGTCTGGTGACGTCATCAATCTTTCTCTCCCTCAACTTGTTCTTAGCATGAAGCTGATTAGTATACATCAATTATAAAGACACTACTATGGGGTCTTAGTCTGTGCCAGGTTTCATCAAGATTGAAGGTTGTTTATTGTCAAAAGTGACCCTGAAAATGAAACATGTAAAAAGTCTATGGGATTTAATTAGAGGAACATGGGTGAAGAAGACGAAAACAAAAAATCAGAACAAAAACAAAGGCTTTTTGCCGACGAAAAAGCAGTCCTTCATTTTTAAGGAGCGCGATCGCGCAGGCGCTCCTACTGCGCTCCTCGACTGTCTCGAAGGAGCGCTAAAAATAGCGCTCCTCAGAAATCCAAAAGAGGGCTCGTCAAACACGGGAAGTTTAAAAATAGACTTATGTGATAAAAACGCAAAGGATTTTAAGTCTTAAGCTACACGTATTTTTCGTTGGTATAATGCCCAAACTCACGTTAATATGCCGCTGGACATCGCTAAAAATGAACGAACACCGAGCTCGTACGTACTGTATAAGATGGTGTGTGTACAGCGGTTGTATACTGTGCGTGCACAATCTGCATATCGCGTAGAGCTGCAGGAAAACACGTGGGCCCGTACGTGCAAGTGCAGCAATGACTGGTTCCCGCTGCGCCGCGCACTAAGTCCCAATGAAGGCATGATGAAAATGCGGTAACCAGTCAATGTAATAGTCCTGCGCGGTGCAATGCACTGCCTGCCGTACAGTGTTTTGCGTGCAGGCTGGACGGAATAGACGTCGTAAAAATGCCAAGAAAACAACAATTGAGAAGGACGATCTTTGCAAGCTTATTCACAAAACTTGATCTCTCTTGTCTGTGTATGTATTTCCCGTGTTCATGAATTTATTTTGAGGAAGTTTTACTGGTATGTGAAGTGAAACGATGCAGCGTGTTTCACCGAAATCCTATACCGTGAAACGAGTCTCATTGCCGGCCCACCACACACAGTGCATCACAAACGCTCGTACTAGTGCGAAGTTCAGATGTTGTCAGCCAGTTTCTCGTCGTGACTAGCATTGTGTATATGGCATACTTGACCTGCATTTTCCGTTATTTTTAAGATTATCGACGGCAGATATTTTCGATAAAACTTAAGGCAAGTTTGTGTCATTTTGAGGCCCTTTTTGTGAAGCTTTCGTAGAGCAATTGAAATAGTTCAGGCTGAAAATTTCATATAATTTTAACGAATCTGAAAGCAATTTTTCAGTTGCTTTATGTGCCGTTTATTAACTCTCCATTTTCCAAGTATAATCAAGTGATGAACCAACTGACACCTGTATTAAAAAATGAAAGCCTGAGCAGTAGTCAAACCTTTTATTAATCTCCATTTAGTTAGTTTTTTTAAATAAATTTTACCTTGTCTTACAGTTACAAAAACAAAAAAAGTAACGCAACTTGAGCATATGTTATTATGCAAAAACTAATAATAATGCAGCCCCTTGAATAAATCCTTATATTCAAAATAAAACAAAAACAATGGTAACCCGTCGTTTTACCGCTGTTTATCCGTAGATTTTAAGGAGAGCGATTTGCTCTCCTCGAATATTTGAGGAGAGCGATTTATAGCTCTCCTGGATTTTCTTTAAATGAAGGACTGAAAAAGCCAATAAAAAGTAGCTACGGTCCGTCTTGGGTAGCAAAACTAAATACAAAATGAAGAACCGCCGCACGCCAAATTAAGCGAGTGCTCCCCCCCCCCCTCCCAGCCACTCTGTTGTAAGGAATGCCTCCCCCAAACTAGTGCCCATACGCCTAAATATACATGTACTGCATGTTCATTTGAGGATTGAGTACTGATTGAGTCCACAGATCCTTTGTTAAGACTTTTTTAAGAATGGCCCAGGAATTTAGATACCAAACTAAAGGCACACCAAAACCTAGGTGGGGAAGCAAGGCTGGCCCTAGCCTTTCGCCAAGGCCATCATGGCTTGAACCGGCATTATTAGACGGAGCGGCGAAGCTGCGAAGTGACTGGAGCGGAGACCACACGTACGATCGGCAAAGCCACGAGGCCTTTTTCAACTTGTATTTCTCGATTTTTTCTGCCCTAAATGGGTAGCAAAATTCCAACCAATCAACTTAACATTCAAACAATTGGCTATTGACAAAAAAAGACGAGAGCTTGGTTTGCTTAAAATACACGCATTACCTTTCGACCTCTTAACGATCAAATTGCATACTTACATCAGGTCCTTGGGAAAACTTTGAGCCCCTGTCTGCACCACATAACTGCAGCATCCCACACACAAATAGAACCTTCAATTAAAACAACATTAATAGTCCGATCAATTTAAGTTAAGACCTAGAACAAATTGCAATAGAAACTATTCAAATGTCAAACAACTTCAAGTAAATACACGGACAACATGTGAAAAATCTAATTCTTTAGCATCATTTTGAGCACTTTTAAAGTTAAGGTCCCGGTCTGGGTTTTCTCGGGCTATAAAATGTTTATTATTCGAATTTACTGTTTCTAATACTCAAATTTGTCCACCAACTTCGGTTTAGTGTAACTCCAATGTTTAATTTCATCTTTTGTTGGACAATTTCAAATTCAGTTCAAGAAAATTCAACCATTATGAGCACACATTTTCGTCCCGGAGTATTCGATTTCGTCTCGTCTACGCCAAACCTTGTTATTCAGAAATCAAATTAGTCTAATTGATTTATATAAGAAGAATTTGATCTCTGAATGCTGCCATTCGGCAACAGCTTAGACGAATTTGATCTGTAAGGAAGGATATTCTCGACCCAGTGAGTAAAGGGGGTGACCAAACTTTGAAATTGAATGGTGAATGACTAAATTGCTAAATTTGTTAAAACCGTATGCAATTTTTCACGAACGAAATTGAATTTTGGATTTGGTGAATTTGAATGGAAAATGTTTTAAAACCTATGTACATGTATATTAGTATTACAATGCATACATTTATCCAAATTAACAATTACATGTAACAACATGTGTATACATACTTCTAGAATTAGAAGGCACCTCTTCTAATTAATATACACGTGTAATGATGTACATGTATGACAAATGTACAGCGGCCCTATAGATTGTTACAATACATGATAAGAGTTGTAGCTAGCAGTTTAAACTTTGACTCCGAGTAGAAAGTCTATCTGTTTTCGAAGAAATCATCAACAATTTTAGTAGAGAATCCCACAACAAAATGAACAACATTCATACTGGGTGCAGAAGAAAATGTTTCAACCTGATGCCACTTCCGCGATTGTGTACAAAGTCTAGTATAGAGAGTCAAGATTTTTTTTTATGTATTTCCTAACAAAATTGGAAATATTTCCCAGTCCCAGATTCATGTCTTATCATCATTTTTACAATGAACCTTCATTGAGATGGGGGTCAGACAACTCGACTATTGACATGATTGAGACAACTCGACTCGGGACAACTCGACCGTTGAGACAACGCGTCCGTTGAGACAAGTCGACTCGCAATTTTTCGGGGGCGAGGCATTGGAGGCGCTAGTACATTCTGCGGGCAGGATGGTTTGGTGCCAGGGTTGTGTGCATGCCACAGATTATGTGACTTTTTACCCGCAATGCAAATATTGATGGGCACTCTTTGTGGAAAATACCACGCGTGCTGCTATAATCATGTACAACGTCTCGCACATCGTGGTTGTCTCCATACATTGTACATGTCAAAGTCGAATTGTCCCAACGGTCGAGCTGTCCTGAGTCGAGTTGTCTCAACGGTCGAGTTGTCGCACCGGTCGAGTTGTCTCAACAGTTGAGTTGTCTCAACAGTCAAGTTATTTCAATGCAACGGTGGAGTTGTCCCGAGTCGAGTTGTCTCAATGGTTGAGTTGTCCGACATTATGAGATGATATATGAAGAACCGAAAAAGGTAATCCTTACTTTTAGGACACCTCTATTTCTTACAAGTTCTGTTCAAAACAGACTTTTGCAGATGTCTGTCCAGTACCAAAGTGACTTTTGCAGGCTAAAGCAGTCTTTTTCCTTCTTATAAACTTATGTTAGTTATAATTTTGAAAGCACTTTCAAAGAAAATGTGACTTTCCTACCTTTTTTCGCAGTCAGATGTGCATGTTGTACATGTAGTTCTCACAACTTGGGCCAAGTTCGGGCAAGGACCATTAGTCGACTAGTGGTTGATTTGTGACGTACCTTACGCCTGCGCACCGATAGCGACGTGCGAACGTCTCTAGTCAAACACTGGTCAAAATGTCATCGCAAAACTTCTGGATCCTGGCTCTCTGCTAGCGTTATGAATGCGCGCGGCTATTGGTTACCAGCGAAGCAACCAACCCCAGTAGGCTGGTTCCAAATAGTCAACTAGCGTAGTCGACCACCGTCGACTAGACAGAGTTCGGGCAAACGTTAGTTAACCATTGGTCAACTATAGTCCTTGCGCGAACTTGGCCACAGTGAAAGCCCTACATAATGAAAGCCCGATGCTGATTGGCTGCTCAAAAAAATAAATAAGATGTTTATTTTTTATCAGCCAATCAGCAACGAGCTTTCATTGCATTGAGCTTTCACGTTTGCCATCTTGGTTTTTGAGTCTGAAAGCCCTACATAATGAAAGCCCGATGCTGATTGGCTGCCAAAAAAAATAAATAAGATGTTTATTTTTTATCAGCCAATCAGCAACGAGCTTTCATTGCATCGAGCTTTCACGTTTGCCATCTTGGTTTTTGAGTCCGTTTTCTGGTTGTCATCGTCGTCTTTTACCCCTGAATTTCCCTCATAAATCAATTAAAGCCCTGCCCTCTTTCCACAAAATTAAACCTTCTGATAATGTCATTGGTAATTGTTCAGATGTGCCAAGTATCAGAATGTCAATTTTGAGTGTCATTATTTAGTCAACTGTTTCGGTGAGTCTTTCCCTTCCTATATAGGAACGGGGTCCTAAAAGTAAGGATTACCAAGAAAAAAGTGGCGTTAGGTTGCAACATTTTTTCCCTGGGTGCTTGTATTTCCGAAGACTCTAATTGCAAAAAAATGTTGCAACCTGAGGCCACTTTTTTCTTCATAATAATCATATATCAATTATCATCTCAATGAAGATCATCATTGCAAAAATGATGATAGAAGAGCAAGACAAATTGATGAATCTGGGACTGAGAAATATTTCCAATTTTTTTGAAATATCGCGGAAGCAACATTTTTTTCCCCTCTAATTTACCATGCGCACTTTTCACAAAAAGTAATAGGCATACTTACGAAAATTGGCAGATACCGCAGATAATGCATGTTGAGCATGTTGAATCCCTGAGTTGGCTTTCTACAATTTACAAAAGCTAAGAGTTTTAAGACAAGTTTGCACTGCAGTCCACCGTCGAGTCGTCACGTGCGTCTGCAAGGAAAAACCTCGGAGATTGTGATTAATATAAAGTAGGCACATGAGATACTAACTAGTAGTAGTACTACAAATTCTCGGGGGGGGGGGGGTGTTTTTGATATTACTACACAGAGTGAGTACACTTTCTCAGAAACCAAACAGACATGAAAGAAGCCGCAACATGGATATATATGGCACGACGCATACATTTTCCAATCACGCATACGCTTGTCGATGTCCGTGCCGGTGGGTACCAAAGGGCGCCGCAAGCGGCGCTATAGGATCTTTGATGGACAGTCCGCTAAAAAAATTAAAACAGGGAGTGCTTGCTCATCGTCGGGCGTCCCTAGCGTTGGATAGGTAAAATTCTTTGGTAAATAGTGAAGATTGTTTATAGCCTGAGCCCGGTTCATACTTCTTGCGAATGGACCGATCCAGTAAGCCCCGCCCACTGCGCACGTGGGCAAATTACCACGTGCTCCTCTCCAATGCCACGCTGCATTTTCCTGCCGCGCGCATCATACGCGCGTGCACGCATGTCGGACTTCTGTGCACGCACGTCGGACATAAATCATGGCTGTGATTGGTCAGTACATCATGGGGCGGTGTTTACTGGACCGGTCCATTGCGAAAGCGAAGCGAAATTTGTGACGTCAACCATGGAGGAAGGAATGCGGCGTGAATTTCGCTTCGCACATGCTTTCGCGCCATGTATGAAATATTACGCTAAGCCTAATGAGCTGACTGTGATCGTACAAAAAAAAGCAGGATTCAGCAATAGACCGCTTGCAGATGCGTTCGATAATCGACGCGCGAAGGCGCGCAACGCCATGTTGTGGGACAAGCGCATATCTATCCATGCACATTTTGTCCCACAACATGGCGTCGCGCACCTTCGCGCGTCAATTATATGGGGGTGCATAGCAACAGTGAACAATTTCCTTAAGAAAATCTTTCCACTTTTCACATGTGTATTATTATTTATGACTTTTTCTAAACAGGTTGTTTTTAAGTGAACATTTTTTGTGTTAATTAGTCATTAATTTAATTCATTAAATTATTGATGACTTTAATTTTTTTTCTCAAGAATGTGTGTATTTGTAATTCTACAGCGCTTGTGATGTCACAGTGCCATGTAAAGCGTTTTTTTTTATAATATAAATTATCGTTATACCGTAACAAGCATTATATTCATGTTATGAGCAATGGGAGTTTGTGGCATTTTGATGCTAAAATAAAAATGCGATATTTTTTTCAAACCGAAAAACTTGAATCTGATTTCCACATTTGAATAACTTCAGGAAAGTTAGCAATCGCCGCTTGAAAGCATCAATGCATGCATGCCAGTGGATCCCACCCCCCCCCCCCCTCGGGCCCCCCAATCATGGAGGAAGGAACACCGTGCCCCAATGCTACATGTATGATTGTATTCAGCTAAATCTCAACATCTTACTATTTTCACTGACGGTTTTTTTTTATCCCCTTTTATTCATTTATTCGTTCATTTATTCCTATATGCCTTCATTTATCACATTATAAAGTGTTTCTCCTTCAATGAAAATCCCGCTCGCAGGGCGGGGGTACGAGCGAAAGGACGTAGCCACACACGCGTTTACCTACCTGACGCTAGGGGCGCCCTTTATTATATGTCTATGATCTATCTAGATCTATATCTCCGGCCCCATCCGGTTCGTTAGTGTGACGTCACCTCCAGCACTTTCTGCACCGTTTGGAACCGGAAGTTTACGCAGTTCGAGCGTTTGCAGCCAATGGACGCTAGTAATCAGTGGTGCGTGCGCGCGTGTATGACGTTTTTACCATAGATCCTAGAGCGCGCTCTAGGATCTTTGGTTTTTACTAACGAGCCGGATAGCGCAATTTAATGACGTCATAGTGTTTCATAGGGGACTGTACAAAAAGACGCCCAGTGCATCTCCCCAGTTCAAGGATCTTTGGGGATTTAAATACCGCGTAATTTAAATACATGCGGTTTCAACCATGGAGGAATAAACGATGTCTTTCATAAGGTACAATCAAGCACGCAGTAAGAAATCTGAGTGAAGCAATATATATACGAGTATAAGGTTGACATGGTCAATTGTCTTTATTTATCTTACGTAAGGGTTCACATTACATTTAAAACAAAGTAAAAACAATAAACCAATGAAATATTTTGTGACATAATTTACAAAATTTATTTTCATCATGGGAATGTGATTAAAATCATTTGCAACTCCCCAAAATGGGTGAAATGTGCTAGTTAAAATGTATGAATGCAAGATATTAAAAATTCTGCCAGTTGGTAACAGCCACTGTAGGGTTATAGACACTATTCGTCAAAATTTGAGAATGAAAACTACCAAAATAGGAAATATTCCACCCGACTGTGATATAATTATACATTTACAGGGCGAGTAAAAAAAACCGAAACCCAAATGGCAGGACCAAATTTGAATGAAGTTTTGCCTGTAGCACTTTCAAAATCTAGGATATGAAAGCCCAGTCATTAAAGGGAATGTACAACATTTGCTTTTGCTGCAATTTTCAGAAATAAATGGATTTGGAGGAATAGTATGTTATAGCAAATATTGTTAAAATGACTTGTTTCATGTTTTGGGCTTGTAGATGCTGGAAAAACCAAGAAAACCAATCGTGTTCTTGTAGTCTGGTTCCCTGACCCCACTTAAGATGAAACGGAGCAATTTATATACTTTGGAATTGTAAAGTCAGAGCATCAGTCTAGGCAGACTTGTACCCCTTCACAGGTGTGTAATCATTGCAAAGAAAACGCGGAATAACTAATTATGAAAATGTTAGGAGCAGTTTTTGAGAAAAAAAAACAGTTTCCTCCAACGCTTTGGAAAAATATCATTTTTCTTGAAAATAACAGCACACCAAGAGCCACAATTTTTCAGATACTTTAGACTGTCATTCCCTAACAATCCAGTAAGGTATCTCGTGATAATCTGATAATTTCGTTTTGTGATGTTTGAAAACGTTGTATCTTCCCTTTAAGCTTTCTTTTAGTAAAAGAATCATTCAAATCACTCATGTGCTCTTTCAGCAAAACGAAAACAATTCTCATAGGGATGCATGTGAATTGTTTTTGTTGAACACGTACCTTTTTTGTGATCCGTGGACAGAACTTTAAAACGGTGTGTGTGTGTTCAAAATTCTATAACTTGAAAAGTACATGAGTGATTGGAATGATTGTTGCACTAAAAAGAAAGCTCATTGGTTAGGCTTTCATATCCTAGATTTTGAAAGCGCTACAGACAAAACTTCATTCAAAAATTGGTCCTGCAATTTGGGTTTCATATTTATTTTTTACTCACCTTCTAGTAGGATCCAGCATCCTGTGAGTAACTTACACAAGGGTTTACCCATTCAAAGTAGCCCTCTCCTATTGTGTCTGCAATACTTCAAAAGGCTAATTGAGCTGGAGCCGTAAGGCAAAAGTGTAAATGAAGCCACAATTTCTTCAAAGTCCATTTGAGGGATTGAAAGGATATCTGCTACCTTTGGCTATTGGGGGTAATCCGGTGGATTATCCTCGCATAATTATCCGTAAAAGTCTTCATAAAGAAATAACTAATTATTCATAAAAACCACACATATATGAATGCAGTCAGCATTCAAAAATTCTCAATTCTTGTGATGCACATTAATGCACACTGAAGCACTACTGCTTTCTATTCACGTATTAAAGAGTGCCCTCACATCGCAATACAATAATACTATTAAAATTGTATCCCAAAGTTAGTAACTGTTTTCATTTGTGACCAGGGACCTTGACAAATATAGATTAACTTGTGCCAAATTTTTTGTAACTTTGGGATACAATTTCAATTGCAAACATTGAGTACATATCTGATGATAAATTTGGTTGTAGAGTGTATTTGGTGTATTTAAAAGTGGACATAAAACAATCCCAGCAGCAGTATTATTTAATTTATATACAGATTACCCTGTGTCGGAACACATACAAGACACAGAAAAATGCACTTTGATTTGAAAAGTTGTTACAAAGAGGACAGTCCAAATGGCTGATCCAGATGCAATTTTTGGCGCTGGACTCGACCTAATTTGACCTGAGGACCCTCGTTTTGTTTCCGTCTTCCTACATTATATTTCATCGATCCATGCAGAAAAAAGGGAAAACAGACTACAATGTTGATTTAATGCAGTTGTTTCCATTCCTACTTTTGGGCATTTTTTCCTTACGGGGGCAATGCTGCACCCCCCTCCCCCCTTCCCCAAAGATCCGCCAGTGGCCAGTTCCAACTCGCATGTGTTGGCATGGTTGGCTTGTGCGTAAAGCACTCTCCTCTCACCACTGTGGCTCTGGTTTGTTCCTGGCTTGGACCACCAGAGTAGAGTTGTGCACTGGTTCTCTCCTGCGCCACGAGGGTTTTCCTCCGGGCCTTCCGATTTTCCTCCCTCCGATCACTCTTTCGATCTCTGGCTGTGCTACGTGTTCATATATGGGTCGTTTTGCTGGCTGCCAGAGGTACCTTTACATGCCAGCAGCTCGACCACGTTGTAGCAGTATCCTTCGCAATGCAGCTTCTCAGCTGCGAGTAAGGATGATTAGCCTCCAAAACTATTATTGTGTGGTTCTATCCTGCCCAATAGTCCTCAAATCCTTGTGACTATACTTATACATGTCATAGTAAAATATGCCATTTTTCATGCAATTTATGTACAAAGTGTAGATGACGTCCCCCTGTGTTACCTCTTCCCTTTAGCTGATTGGCTTTTCTCTGATTTCACTTCTAGTCTTGTGTTGCTGGAAGATGGCTTGGATAGTGAAACACCTTGTCTGTAAAATTTAAAAAAAAACCAATAAATGTAAACAAAAACAGAAATGACACAATCCTAATTGGATGCTAATAATATACAAATAATGAATGTTTGTGAGTGCAATGGTAGGAATAATTTCACGAGGTGACAGATGGAATGACGAGGTGAAGCTGAGTGGAATGGAACATTCCATCTGTCACCGAATGAAATTGTGAGACATTCATTATTGTTTTTAAACAAAAGAATAAATCCTCGTCATCTGATGGTTAGGGCTGCCAAAAATGTGAATTTGCAATAGAATTTTCCATTTGCTGTAAAATGAAACATCTATTTTAGCGGTATGGCCATGCCATGCCTTAGGATGAAAAATAATTCAATGGCACGTAGTCAACAACTCACCAATTAGATGACTGGATTTATTTAGGTGCTGTATAAATGAAAACGAACTGGCAATTTTTTTCCATGGGATCATCTGTTCTGCCCAAACCATCTGACCCAGGGTAATTTAATCCTATTAAAAAGCAGTGTGAACAGTGTGCTAGGGTCAAATGGACCACTTTTTAATCCAGTGTGAACACTGCTCCAGTGGAGTTTTGACCTCTGTTCTGCCTTAACAATCTGACCCAGGGTAATTTTATCCTGTTAATAAACAGTGTGAACAGTGGGCCAGGGTCAAATACATAACTTGCTATTCCAGTGTGAACACTTCTCCAGTGGAGTTTGACCCTCTATTCTGCCTTAACAATCTGACCCAGGGTAATTTAATCCTGTTAAAAACCAGTGTGAACAATGTGCCAGGGTCAAATGGACCACTTCTTGATCCAGTGTGAGCACTGCTTCAGTGGATTTTTGACCTCTATTCTGCCTTAACAATTTGACCCAGGGTAATTTTGTCCTGTTAAAAAAACAGTGTGAACAGTGTGCCAGGGTCAAATACATAACTTGCTATTCCAGTGTGAAAACTGCTCCAGTGGAGTTTTGACCTCTGTTTTGCCCAAACAATCTGACCCCGGGTAATTCCATGGATCCAGTTAAAAACTAATGTGAAGAGTGTGCTAGGGTCAAATACACAACTTTTTAATCCTGTGTGAACACTGCTCCAGTGGAGTTTTGACCTCTGTTCTGCCTTAACAATCTGACCCAGGGTAATTTAATCCTGTTAAAAAAACAGTGCTCCAGTGGAGTTTTGACCCTCTATTCTGCCAAAACAATCTGACCCAGGGTAATTTTATCCTGTTAAAAAACAGTGTGAACAGTGTGCCAGGGTCAAATGGACCACTTTTTAATCCATTGTGAACACTGCTCCAGTGGAGTTTTGACCTCTGTTCTGCCTTAACAATCTGACCCAGGGTAATTTTATCCTGTTAAAAAAACAGTGTGAACAGTGTGCCAGGGTCAAATACATAACTTGCTATTCCAGTGTGAACACTGCTCCTGTGGATTTTTGACCTCGGTTCTGCCTTAACATTCTGACCCAGGGTAATTTTATCCTGTTAAAAAACCAGTGTGAACAGTGTGCTAGGGTCAAATGGACCGACCTTTTTGAACTCACTGTGAACACTGCTCAAGTGGAGTTTACCAGAAATCCTCTGTTCTGCCCAAACAAACTGACCCAGGGTAATTGAATCCTGTTAAAAACCAGTGTGAACAGTGTGCCAGGGTCAAATGGTCCACTTTTTAATCCAGTGTGAACACTGCTCCAGTGGAGTTTTGACCTCTGTTCTGCCTTAACAATCTGACCCAGGGTAATTTTATCCTGTTAAAAAACCAGTGTGAACAGTGTGCTAGGGTCAAATGGACCACTTTTAGATCCAGTGTGAACACTGCTCCAGTGGAGTTTTGATCCTCTGTTCTGCCCAAAACCAAGGGTAATTCAATCCTGTTTAAAACCTGTGTGAACAGTGTGCTAATTGTAGGGTCACATGGACCAACCTTTTTGAACTCAGTGTGAACAATGCTCAAACTTCTGTTCTGCCCAAACAAACTGACCCATTGGTAACTGAATCCAGTTAAAAACCAATGTGAACAGTAATTCAGGGTAAAACATAACTTATTATTCCAGTGTGAACACTGAATCTTACCTGGAATCCTCCTGACTTGCAGCTGATCCCATGATCCTCTTCCTAGCCTCCGCATAGGCTGCTTCTCTCTCCGCAAGGGATTTTGTCTTTCCCTAGAAATGGTAAAAGTACAATAATGATTAAAAAAGAGTGATGAAACTATAGGACACATAATATGAGAGCCAAATTCTGCACAGTGATATTTCCATTCTCAAATTGGAGAGGGGGGGGGGCGTAAGTTAGAGGAAGAGAAAACAATTTACACATTTACTGACATCCACATTTGGAAAGAATGTTGCAACCTGACACTGCTTGTTTCTTCATATATCATCTCAGTGAAGGTCAGTCATTGCAAAAATTACGATAAGACATGAATCTGGGACTGAGAAACATTTCCAATTTTTGTTAGGATTTACTTAAAAAATGTTCTTGACTCTCCATAGACTTCGTACACAACCGCCAAAGTAGCGTCAGGTTGCAACTTTCTTTCCCCACATTTTAAAAATCTTATCAATTCTATATACTGTTAAATTTACAAACACTGAAAAGTTGGTACTGTCATCTAAGTTCATCAGAGACAAGGTGTTGAGGAGGGGGGGGGGCAAACTGAAGAAAGGGGAAAGGGACAATTTTAGGGGGGGGGTGCACCTTTTGTCCCTATGTTATGCCCCACATATGGGTACAGCACCATTGTAGTTGGGAGGATCCCAAGTTGGGAGGATCCCAACAACAGTTAGGAGCGTTCCGACTTTAGTCAGGAATTGATCATCGAGACTGTCCCAACTATAGTCAGGTCCATTGCCATAGTTGGGGCATAACACCTCTGTAGCACCGCCACTGAGAATAAGCCTCCTCTATTTGGACCAGTAGTACTACACGTAGCCGGAGTTACCTCAGCCCTATATTTTATCATTGGGTTGTTGTAATAGGACCCAATGATAAAATAAAAGGGCTGAGGTAACTCGAGCTAGACCAGTACCATGGTTTGTTTGGATTCCCTGTCCAGATCTCCATTGGTGTCGGATCCCGGCTGTCTCTTGAGAATCTTGAGCTGCGGTTGGTATGCTGTCCTCGTGGAGTCTTCCTGTAGCATGATGGGTGCTTGCGCTGATTGTCTGTCCCTGTCTCCTGCCATCTGATGTGATTTCAGTTGCTTCTCAAGACGTTCATCCAATGCCTGTGATAACCAATGGCATGAAAGAAAGTATTATCTTCATTTAATAAAAACAATCGCCATGATGCTCATGTCATCTTTTCACTTTTAGTTTATCAATTTCTAAAAACATTGTTTTTAAAGAATGATAACTAAAAAAGGCCCAACAAATAAACTTTCCCTTTGCCCTTTGGAAAATAAGTGATTGTGAAAATCAGAAAATGCGCAACATCAAAAATAGGTAGGCCCCTAGGCTTGGAATCAATTTTATTTAAAATCTTAATTCTAATCTTAATTCTTAATCCTTTGCCCAGATGATGATACTACTCTAGATTGTCATCATAAAATTATGTTGACATGGTTGATGTGAACATGGTGAATGATGCTGATCTTGATATTGATAAATTACAACGAAGTGGCTATCGTTACGGCACTCGTTGTTTAGCGCCCTCTACGATATTTTTTTGATACGCACGCGGGTATATAATTATTTGTTTCTCCACGTTTTATCGAGCAGTGCGCCAGCTCAGCCGATAGAGGGTAGGATTTTGCACCGCGAGGTTGCGGGTTCGAATCTCAGTTTTGCACTCGAATTTTTTTCCTTTTCTAACCTGAGGCTTTGGAGGATTTTTTTAAAAGGGAAATAAAGTCCGAATTTCATAAAGTTCAAATTCACTTTTTTCCTTCTAATTTTATATTTTCTTGTCATGTTTTTTTATAAAAGTTGCCAGGTTGCAGTCTACCGTAACGATAGAAAATGGGAAATGCGTTACGGCTGCCGTAACAATAGCCACTGCGAAATTACAAACATCTCAAAATAGCCGACAAGATGCATGATGAAATATACATAACTCAACTGGCTTCATCAATTCTAGGCCGATTACCGAATTTAATAACATTAGCCCAGTATTTAAACTTAAATGAGCAAACAGTAAAAGTTTAAAACAGATCAAAATTGTAAACATGGAGAAAGTTCACGTTTTAATGGGGGAAAAAGGGCCCTTTTTCGGGGGCCGGGGGGGGGGGGGACAATACACAAGTTTCCAGAGATCTTACCCCACTGTCCTCCATCTCCTCCCAACTCCCTAATTCATCATCTTCTGAATGATCACGATTTCCATCATGATTCAAGTCCATCATGGTCAAATGGTTTTATTTAGCCGGCTGACAATAAAAATGATGGTACTTTGTATGTAGAAGAAAATACAATACTGAATCGAGAACGATAAGCTGAGGTACCCGACTAATATGTTTGTTTTTCAAACTACGACTGTTTACTGGCTGATAAGCGATTGTATTTGAAACAAACTGTACTTCTGAAGATCGACACAAACTGTTTCAATATTTGAGAATGAACAATAATTGTCTCAATTTACTCATTTTTGAATTCCGAAAAATCAATCTTCTTTTTGTGATATAACTATAATTACAATTTTGGACGCAGAAAACAGCCGTCTGTGCGTCGAAGTTTTTGGTAAATTCTGGTCTGGTTCCTTGACACTGTTACTTTTTTATGTATTTGGCCATTGGTGGTGGTGGACGAAGGCCGCCTGGTCTTCTTCGCAAAAAAAAGTCGTCATCAAGCATCACGAGTGTGATAATGTCGGACAACAGTGCAAAAGAAGATGCCCTTTTGGATGTGATTTTCAACCCTTTAATGCCGGCTGGTGGTGAAATACCACACGTCAGCCAGGCCGATGAGACACAAGGTTTGATTGGTTCTGTAAAGTTGTGATTTGTGTGCGATTTATATTGCTAAATTGACGTGTTTGTCATGTTTGTGAAGACAGATAACGTGCAAAAAAATAATTAACAGGTCAGGGACCGGCCGGCCAGGGCCGGGGCCGCCCGGGCGTAGCCCCACTAGTGTGGCCGTCGGTATGCTGTTCAGCGCAGCATACCGACGGCCACACTAGTGGGGCTAGCCCGGGCGCGGCCGGGCCGGACCGTCGACCCGCGGTACGGTGCGGGGGAGCTCGGAGGGGTTGGGGGGGGGGGGGGGGAGTGGGCGGGGCGCAATAAGAGGAGGGTTTTTTACAATGACAGTTCACCATGTTCACATAATTAAAAGACATGAAAGCAACTTATCTTGTGTGGTTTAAATTATATTGTTTATTTATTATTAATTTCCAGATGATGATGATAACGAAGCTTCTAACGAGGCCAAAGAGTTGGAGCTTCAAGGAGTTCACAGCGCAGAAGCAGGAGACGTGAATTCAGCCATTGATTTCTTCAATAAGGCTGTCCAGGTTGCACCACAGAGGGCGTCCTGCTACAATAACCGAGCCCAGGCCTTACGTCTGAAGGGGGACGTAATTGGTACGCACACCCCTGTGATAATTTATGTGATAATTTGCCAGAGGATCCCCCCCCCCCCCCCCAATTTCAGAGTGGAGTTCAAAATTGCAGCAAACCAAAAAAGAATTTTGTATCAACTCATGATACTCAGCATTGTCCCAATTTATATCTACCGGTATTGTTTAGACAATCCAAACTGTAGTTTTGTTCATTCCAACTATGGTTGCGACCTCCATTACTATAGTTGGGACCTCCCTTACTATAGTTGGAATCTTGCCAACTATAGTTGGGACTGTTCCAACTATCGTTTGGATTATTGCTATGGTTGGGGCATAGCAGCAACATCTCAGTTGAACTTTGCGGGGTTTTTTTCATATTGTTCAATTTTTCTTTATAACAGATGGAGTCATCACAATTTATTTGGATATTAATATTGTCTAGTTGAATCAATTCTCAACAGGAGCTTTGGATGATCTGGACCATGCCATTGAGCTCAGCAGGGATCACGGTAAAGCCGCCTGCCAGGCTTACACCCAGCGAGCCCTCATCAATCGACTGGAGGGACACAACGACGAAGCCCTCAACGACTTCAAGATGGCTGCAAGTCTAGGGAGTTCGTTCGCCAAGTCACAGGTCGTCAGGATGAATCCTTACGCTGCCATGTGTAACCAGATGCTCACGGATGTCATTGGACGCTTGAAGGCAGGGGAGTATCAAGATGGCAGTGATGAACCCCTGAACTAACTCCCGTGGCTGACCTGAATCCTCCAAAATCCACCATTGTTCAAGAACTCACTGCAACAATCTATTTATGGACTTTTCAAAAGGGGAATCAGTCCCCACATTATCTTGCAAAACCCTCCTGGTCAATTTTGACAAATCTGGGAGCATCGGGTTTATGGTTTTTCTGCAGGGTGTGAGTGGGATTAAAACATTTAAGTCTTAGTCTTCATACTTTCTGAAATATTCAGTGTTCATAACACTTCAAATTTACACAGAAACTTGTTGGATGGCAAATTTTCAATGTTCTAGTGCTAATCAAACCACACAACCTATGAATGTTCAATGGAGATAATATACGTCTGGTGTTTTATTTCTTCTTCCACATCTGTTGGATGTTTTAAATGTGTAATTTGTACAATAAAATAATTATTAAGCCAATAATACAAGTCTGACTTTGAATTTTATTAAATTGTAAGATCTAAAACAACGACAAATTCAATGTTTATAGTTTTATGTTTATGTTAGACATTGGTGTGGGGAGTGTTATGGTTTGTTTTGACATATATTCATATCTAAATACTTTTTTTGATGTGGGATATATTTCAACACAAAAGACATATTTCAGCCAAAGCAAAGCTACTGCTAGGGTTTCACTACTTTCACAAAGTAAAACCAAGTCTTGTTTAACATAGCAAAGTGTTTTCTGACAGACTCTGAACACCTAAATTGTATTAAAATTGTTCGTTGAGTTTATGGATTGGAGTCTAGTACATGTACATGTATCTTCAATGCATGAAGTATTTTGAGGTTTTCTTGAAACCTTTCAAGTTTTAAACAACATTCACAATAGTATTTATGTTTGCCTTTATTTCATTTCCATTGTAAAATATATACATGTATTTATTCTAAGCAATAAAAACCACTTGGAAAAACACTTCTTTTGTTGAAGTCATTATTTACAAAATGCATGTAGTTTGTGTTTTTCAATGAGTAATTATATTCTTTAACCCTCCTATTTAAGAGGTCACAATCGGTCAAAATTATCTTCCTCACCTCCTGGCCTACTGTGTACAAACCAATGGAGGTCTTGACCAATAGTGACCCAAGTAATAACAAGGCTGACAATGCATGTTTTCATAGGAGAGTTAATCAATAAGTTACCCCCCAATAAATTTTTTTTTTACCGATATAAAGCTCTGTGACCATTTTGATGCCCCCCCCCCACCCCACCCACAAGTAATTCACTTGAACACGTATGCTTCAATTGCTGACCAAGGGGCATCAGAAATCCAGTGACAACCATTAATACTTTTTCCCACTGAACACACTTTCACATTTCACAGCATGCGATTTCCTCCATATTAGTTGCCATGGTTTTTGCCAAATGACAACATTTTTACACAAGATCCCCCAACCCCATCCTCTATAACATAGTACTGTCTCGTAAAATTCATTCTATTTTACTGAATCTCAAAAACCAAACAAACAACTTGGTTAATAGATATGTTGTGCCCATTCTTGAAAATCACGCATTCTCGAGAATGGGCATGCACATTCTTGAGAATGTGCAAATGGATCCTTGCTCAATCTTGGCAAAAAATAACTCTTCCAGATTGAGTGCACATTCTTGAGAATGCGCGACAAGATAACGGTCTTGTCAATGCCGAGCACCGGCTGCGCTTGGCAAGTCTAGCTGAATCCTCGTTCACTGATTCTCAATAATTAAACTGTTGCAACGCAAGGCGCTGAAAAGTAGAGTGGATATGATAAGTAAAGGCGTATTGATATGGGGGGGGGGGGGGACCGGGAAAAAATAAGAGACATAATAATACTAGTGCAAAGAATTCTGATTTTTGGGATAATAAAAGCGGGGAGGGGGACGTAAGAATGAAGAATGTGAAGAATGAGAATGAATACTGCGACATCCCATAGTGCTAATGCTATTTCCCATTTAAATTGCCACCAATTTATTGTTCACACCCCACCATAACGTCGCAGAGCTGGATTCTATCTAGTCAAAAGAGCAATTTTGGCAGCTTCTGGACATCGTTTTTTTTTCGTGGCACGCAAATGATACATGCAGGGACTTGTAACTTGTCTAGCCTAAACAAAGCACTTCCCGGACTAGTTCCCAGTCCTCCGTTATTACAAAACTTCCCATAGTGGGCAGAAAAAAGCAATAATAACAGGTTTAATTTGATTCAAATTATCGTAGTTATACGAGTACAGAAGCATAGAACATTTTCTTTCCTCTTTATATGAATTGTTTCCCTTTTAACCGCTATACAATTCATTTAACATAATTATGTCGTGCAATGTTTGTTAAGATTGGGCAAAATTCATAAATTGTGCACGTGATATTCCCACCCTATCTTAAGAATGAGCGCTCATTCTTAAGAACGCGTGCTCGTTCTTAAGAATGGGCGCTCATTCTTAAGAATGCGCGCCCATTCTCGAGAATGCGTGATTTTCAAGAATGGGCACAACAGATACAAAACATGAAAATTAAAGTGCACACAATTCTCAAATATACAAGCATGAACTTCACAAATACAAATATGTGATGAGATCAAGCTAAATTAGTCATTTGTCGACCCTGGTCAATTTTTTTTTTAAGTTTTAAAAAGAGCACAATCTTAGCACTACTGATGTAAAAACCGCATGCTGATACCATCTTTAGTTAAAAAATAATGGAAGTCGGAACACCAAGGGATGTGATGTAATGATGCGATGAAGTGGCCCTATTTTGGCCTGTATCTCCAAATGAAAGTTTCCGACAAATGACTCATTTAGCTTGATCGCATCACATACGATAGTCTAAAACTATCACGGTCAATAAATGATAACAGTTTTGTACTGAAAATAATGATTTCAAATTCACAATACGACTACAAATTTGATAATCTAAAGCTCTATGCTGGTCGATGAAGATAATTTTGTACTAAAAATAACGAATTTCAACGACATTTATACTTTCTGGATTTCTGAACAGGACGGCTCTCTGTGCTAGAGGGTGAGCCATTTCCTGTCTCGGTCTTCGCGCGATCATACAGTTTGAGCAAAGCCGTGGCCTCTTCTGATCTGATGAGTTCGTTCAACCGTTTCTCACAAGCATCTTGGATAAACTGGGCATCGTCCTTGGACTGATGCAGCAAGACTTGAAGTTGGTTGATATCTGAATCGGTTACAACCTGCAGATTGGGGGGGGGGGGGGGCAAGGAAAGAAAAATGCAAAGTCAGATTCTGAAAATCAAAATATGTATGAGATGACAACACAGCTACAATGTATGTGGAACTAAGCTCACAGCCTTTCAACCAATAAGGTTACCAAAATGCACAATCACCTCGATTTTTTAGTGCAAAGTCAAGTGAAAAGGATGCAAAGGAGCATGGTATTATAAGAGTAAGTTTTTGGTTGCACCAAGTGATTAGAAATTGGTTTTGCAAGTTTTTTTAGGTTCTAAAAAGAGCTAGGGAACACAACATTACGGACAATATGCTCTGCCCGTCGTCAGGAGACTGATGGATTCCAACAGGTAGTGAGTAGTTATGTAGGGGAACTGGAAGTCTGGAAGTCTGAGGGTGGGGACACTAACACTTTTGAGACCAAGCTGGGGCATGGTACCAAACCAGAAGTGGCTTGCAATTCTGTTTGCTAGAGCAGTGGCTAATCTCACTGAGAAATGTGAGGTTACCCATTAAAATTGAAACTGGAAGTACAATGTATTATATGAGAAATATTGAGCCGCCCTGAGGTCAAACCTTGCAATGACACAAAACAGTCAGCGACTGACTTTTCAGGATCAAGCTGCAGCAAAATTAAGATGATCGGCATCAGTCAACAATAAAAAAAAAAAACATCTACAGTGGTAAGAGAAGAGCATTGTCAACTTCTGCACTGCGATGGAACGTGTCCTCAACAGGCTAGAATCAATCGCAGTCAACCTGTTGTTGGACATCGTCATCCCATCGTGGGTGAGGTGAGCATGGTTGCAAAATGCTGCTTGTTCCACGATAATCACACAATTTCTCAGAGTTGTGACTTGAGCATAACTTTTGTGCTTGATGCTGACAGTTCAAACACAGCACAAGCAAATTGCAGGTCGACCTGAGGCCGGCTTTACACATCTACATACATGTATACCTCTAAATCCATCTTGGGGAGAAAAGCCATCACCGCTGGATTTCTGGCGATTCTTTCAGCGACCCTTGCTAGATGGTTGGAGGAGTCCGAGGGTCCAGCCCCATCCACCTCCACTAACCCTCTGGTGTCTTCTGCCAGTGAGGTAGAAGCTTCAAGAAGAAAAATTGAAAAGTAGAATTAAAACATGCTGTTTTAATAAACACGGTGTCTCTAGCAAATTTGCTTTGACATTTTTCAATTCTCTGAAATCCACTGCATGATGAAAAGTAAGGCCAAGTACAAACAAAAATTCTCATCCCTGCCTGCTTCCTTTTCCCTACCCGCCTCATTTTTTTAGGTTCTTTTTAAAATTTATTACACTTACAATCTATTTTGCAAAATACATGTACATGAATTGTCAATATGTTATCTTTTCATTTGTTTCCAACAATATTGCACAATTTTGTGTAAGAGAATCAAGAAAATGGAAGGATCCATCCGCCATCTTGGAAGGGGAAGGGGGGGGGAAACCAGTTGAAAAACAAATAAACAAACATTAACAAACAAAAAAGACACACCTCCTTCATTTTTTCAAAAATCCTGCACAGGAATTCTTTTTTACTTTTTACTTGGACTTAAAGGGAATGTACAACATTTGCTTTTGCTGCAATTTTCAGAAATAAATGGATTTGGAGGATAAGTATGTTTTAGCAAATATTGTTACACTGACTTGTTTCACGTTTTGGGTGCGTAGATGCTGGAAAAGCCAAGAAGACCAACCATAATCTTGTAGTCTTGTTCCCTGACCCCACTTAAGATGAAATGGAGCAATTTATAGACTTTGGGGAATTGTAAGATCAGAGAATCAGTCTAGCAGGCTTGTAGTCTTCACAGGTGTGTAATCAATTGCAAAGAAAATGCACACGAACAAAATATAAAAATCTAGGAGCACTTTTTGAAAAAAAGCCAGTTTTCTCTAACGATGGTCGGCCGACCAGCGTTGGAAAAATACAGTTTTTCTTGAAAATGTCAGCACACCAGGAGCCACAACTTAACAGGGTGCTTTAGACTGTCATTCCCTAATAATTCAGTAAGATATTTCATGATAATTTGATCATTTCATTTTTTGATGTTTGCAAATGTTGTATCTTCCCTTTAAGGCACTTTTTTTATTTCAACTTCAAGATCCAAGAAGCATCGAGACTCGCGTCCCTCCAAGAAGCATCAAGACCCATGTTGAGTAAAGGTGACGGGCTCTACCCTCTTCAACCCTGCAAAAAGCCTCTCAAACCTCCTGCTGTCATTTAAAGGAACCGGGACGTTATGGTTAGCATCACTAGAAGAGCAGACGAAATCCCGCAATTTAAAAAAAAAAATAATCAGCAACGTCATTGGTCTCACCTTTTGTCCAGTGTTGGCCGTGATACACAACCATGAGGACAGTGTTGTCTGGCAACGTCTGAAAATACTCCTCATCTTCAACCCTCGTGCAGTCCTCCTCAAGAACTACTTCAAATTCCTCACTGCCGGTGATGGAAAAGTGGTCTTGGATCTTTGTTCGAAGTTTCTGTAGCGTGGAGGCAACAATGCCAATCCTACAATTTCTTCTTACGTCACAGACTTTCAGAGGCTTGGCTTGGGCGGGTGCAACTGCGGGCTCTGGCTTCATGAGCCTTAGTTTTGAGCCAAAGAGCAATGAAGAAAGGGGTCGTTGATAGGACACTCCTATTTTTCCTGTTTCCTCAGTGTCTAGTCTTTGTCTCTTGGGTGTCCCGCCAGATGTTGCTCCTTTTGTAGGATCGGACTGTGTTTCTGCATCCTTTTTCTCACACTTTGTTCTGGGTCTTTTACTCCTTCTCAATGTTGTCCGTTCTGAAGGATCGCTCTCCTGTGAACTCATTGTCTCAGTTTAGTTACATGAAGACACGCTGAAAAAACCCCAGACAGTGTCATATTAATTAGTTAAAAAGTAAAAGTAAGGCTGTCATGAGCCGATGTGGCTCATCAGGCCCACATTCCTTAAGCATGAAACAACTGAAAACATTTCTATTCCCCCTGGATGGGGGGGGGGGGGTACATTTGATAGGCACATAGAATTTTAACTTTGAAAACAAATTGTGTTTTCGTAACTCACGTCGCGACAAATTGATTCTGTTTGTACTCTAGACACCACATACAAAAACAAATGCCAGATTGTTCCTCATTTACATAGGTATCCAAAAAAAATTGATATGCAAATGATCCAATACAACGTGGAGCCTCATAGTTCTAGGAGTAGATGCAACAGTCATGTTGGAAAGAATGTTGCAACCTGACGCTATACTTCAGCGGTTGTGTACAAAGTCTATGGAGAGTCAAGGAAATTGTCTAACTATAAGCAGGTATTTGACTATTTCCTAACAAAATTGGAAATGTTTCTCAGTGCCAGATTCATGTCTTATTGATCATTTTTGCAATGACTGACCTTCATTGAGATGATGAAGAAAAACGCAGCGTGCCGTCAGGTTGCAACAATTCCTTCCTCCATGCATCCGTGAACGTGGCTTGTAAACTACAACGCCACGTTCACGGGTCTACCTCCATGGTAGCACTGAGAAACTTTTTCAATTTTGTTAGGCAGTGTATATTTTGCCGGAGACGGCAAATTTTTAGTAAACGTTAGTTTGCCGGATATGCACTGAACATGCGCAGTTACTGTTTTTTTGTACTTAAACATTTTCCGATGACAAGTTTTAGTTTGGCTCCATGCCAAAATTATCGTTGTTACCTCGTATTCACAAGATGGGATTCAGACCATTTTATAATTTCGGACTTTATTTCCCTTTTTAAAAAAATCCTCCAGAGCCACAAATCTGAAAAAGAAAATGTAATACTCTGCAAAAAATGTTTGAGACATGTTAATATAATAAAAGAAGAATATTCTTATTTATTTGGGGATGAGACAAAAAAACTTTAAAATGTGGTGCGGTCGGAATCGAACGCGAGTCATCCCGCTTACTAGAGCCTTTGCTTAACCATTACACCAAACGTGCTACACAACGTTTGGTGGGAATTTAATACATCTTATAATTCAGCCCTATTTTAAAGAGTACAGCGCCCTCTGTTGCTATGGATTGCCGCCGGCAAACCTTTAGTAATCGTTAGTTTGCCGTCATTACCTCCGGCAAAATATCCACTATCATTTTGTTACAAAATAGTCAAATACCTGCTTATACCAAAATAATAGTTAGAACATTTTCTTGACTCTCCATAGACTTTGTAGTTGTAGGCCTACAGTTGTACACAACCATGAGTGATTCATGACAATAGAGTTGAACTTGAAGTTGAACTTTGAAGCGTCAGGTCAGGTTGCAACATTCTTTCCGTCTTTCCTATTCAGTCAACTACGAGAACTTAATAAATCACAATTTGTAAATAATATGTCTTAATTTCTCAAGTCAATGCTAAAAAAAAGAGTTACATTTTGTCTCACACTCACCATGGAGGTAGAATTAGACAGTCACAGTCACACAAACATGACAAAACTACGACCAAAATAATGATCACGACATCGCGTCCAATAAAGAGCGCCACCTAGCGGTACGGTATGGTACGGGTCATGTTATTATTACAGCATGCATGAGCCGATACCGTACTGATATCTTTGATACTTTTCAACCAAATGTCATTTGGCCACCAAAAAAAAGAGAAAAGTCTTTCTTTAGCCTGAGGTCGATCATGATACACTATTTAATTAGCCATTATATATGGACATATACCACTGTTTCATAAATTGTCTTACTTGTGACGCAACATTTTCAATAAAAAAGCGGGTCGTCTTCTTGAACAGTCATTCAACAACAGTAGTCTATCATTCGGTCGATCGATCACATATACCAACTCCCAGTTGCACAGGGTCCTAGAGGATTAGTCTCCCATTGACACGGCGGTGTGTTAACTATGCTGTTTCAGAGAATTGCCTTCTTGGTACTTCTTCATCTGCTGCAAGCGCACGGGCAAGATGGTAAGAACCTTTTGAGGATAAGGGGGGGGGGGGCAATTTCCAGGAAATAAATTACCTACGTGAATATACCTGGACTTTGCCATCAACTACATATGTTTTTTAGTTAAAATTAGCGAAAATTGGGATCTGGATTCCTTGGTAAGAACAATATCGGTGTTGCGCCAACTTGTACGAATTGTAAAGGATATACCGAAGTGAGTTGCCCGATGGAGTTGTCTCACACAAGGGTATCAATCACTTCTCAAAAGTGGAGGGGGGGGGGGGCGACATACCAGGTGATCAACATAATGCCAGCGTGGGGTCCGGAACCGTACGTAAGGGCCCCAAAAATTGTTCGAATTCTAGACGCGTTGTACGTGCAATCTGAGGCAATTTAATTCTGACCACTTCAACAAATTTTTGTGAGCAGAAGCCTCATCTTGGAATCATTATTTTTGAGTTTGGAGTCATTTAATAATCAGCTATTCTGAGCTACAGAATCGGTATGTTGGCTACAATTTTTATTCGGGGGCGAAAAAAGTGTGGGGAGGGGGACAAACGATTTAAAGTGGGGGGTGGGGGACTTGTCCCTCCCGTCTCCCACCGATTGACCCCATAGTTTGACATGAAATGCGTTGCTGACATTTTGTTTCATGATGACTTTTTTTTCATGATTGTAAGTGCTGACTTAAAGCTTACTCAACAAATTGTTCTCAGTTGAGGGGGGGGGGGGGGGGGGAGGCCTGGAGGTGACCGGTGGGGTTCGGGGTAGTGGGGCAGGAGAGAAACTTGAGTAGGCCCTAAAGGCTGCCTTAAACATCAACATTTTTTGTTGGTTAGGGTGAGCTTTTTCAGTAAACAATCGTTAATATAAAATAAAAATTTAGTCCTTAATCAAATTAAGCATTGTGTTGGTCTGATGAGCGCTATGACATGTCTGTGCCAGACACGTTTTGTACTCAAACTAAAAGTGTGCTTTTGTCCTCTTCAACAATTATTTTATCATTACAGAAGGAAGTTGCAAACCTGGTTCCCTGCACTTTTATCAATACTGCTTTGCGACTGTCGCATCCAGTCACCAGGGAGCATGTTCGGAGTTTCAAAATGGCGCACACCCAGTCATCATTCGCAATGAAGAGACACAACAATTTCTCGCGAGTGACTACCACACTGACTGGGCCGAGTTCGGTGTTCCTAATATCAGTCATTACCGCATAGGTCTCAATCAGACCCAAGATGGCGGACTTGTGTGGTGGGACGGCACAACAGTGGACTACGCACTCATTTTAGAGGACTCGGAGCTCTCGAGCGAGGTTTCATCGTCATCGTCGTCATCTGCCTTTAGCAGTACGAGTCCGGACGAACTGAACGCGGATTCACAGTCATCTGCCTTCAGCCCACCTCTGGACGCATTGAATGCGGACTCCTCGGCGTGTTTTGCATTCAGCATTACGGACGATTTCATGTGGATACGTTACGACTGTGCGGACGAGATTGGAGTTGGCACTCTCTGTCAATACGGTAACTAATTCGCTACATTTTATTTGATGAATAGTGAATAGTGTAGTTTCTCAACATGTTCAACACAGAGAAAGCTAGCAATAGGCACCAGGGAAGGAATGTAGGCTAAGGCACAATGGCCATTGTTGGGTGTGTACAAAATGTGAGTCATTCAAAGTTTCTATAGTTTCTAACAAAATTGGGAATGAGTACAATTACTGACGTACTGATCATGATCATCATTAATATTGAAGCATGATTGCACGTGCCAAACGTGGACTTTAAGGCGCCAGAATCCGGCTCGTTAGCTGTGACGTCATCTCAATTCAACCATGCGCACCCCACACGGTGTAGTAGCATGAATGCAACCTCGTGCCCCGTGGGTACGATCTTGCAGCGCCATGTTGTTTCCCATCATGCCTTGCGCGATCGTGTGAGGAACGAGCACGCGCCCCTGGAGTCGAGGCTGGCATGAATGGAACCCGAAGCTCACGCAACTCGAGCGTTTATCCAACGGGCGCTAGTAATCAGTTGTGCGTGCGCGTGTATGACTGTTTTTACTAAAAAAACGAGCAGGGCTAATCCATTCTCACCATTGGCAGCAGCCAGTATTGGGTCCCAGGAAAAGTATGATAGTACTCGTTGATACATCATCGCAAATGAGTGGCGGTTTCCAGACTTAATAATTAAACGGGGATTTCAGAACATTGGGGGTAATCAGCACAACTGCAATCGACCCCTTGCACAGTGCGCCCTCACTAAAGTAAGGACATACAGTTAGTCATTCATGAAAGATTCTAATAATAATAATAATACCGAAGTCTTATACAGCGCACCTATCTACCAACAATTAGGTACTCAAGGCGCTGGAAATTATGTCTATTATAGAGACAGGTAAATGAAGTACATGGGAAATATGAGAACCATTATGTAGCACCTTTATAATGGTTTACAAGGTGTTTCTGGCCACTGCCAGAAACACCGGGGCAAACCCCTTCTATACTTGTATATTATACAGAGGAACGAAGAACTGCCCTCTAAAAAGTTGACCTGGAATCCGGCCATTTTTTTTAGACAAATTGATACATTTTCGGGTCTAAATGACTCGGACACTTCTCTGTTTCGGGTCGGCATGAATTAATCCTTGGCAAAGTGTCAATTTTGACCCGGAAAAATGTCGATTGTGAAGTCCAAAGAGTGTGAATTTTGCCCCGAAAAGTGTAAATTTTGACCCGAAAAGTGTCAATGTTGACCCGAAAAGTATGACTCCGAATACAACTCTGATGCCGGTTGAAAACCCGGGACTTTTTTTTAGAGTGTGACCTCAGAAATGACGTCATGCAGCCGCAACAAGGTGTCCGTGATAGTGTTTCGGCTGCGTCTCAGAAATAAAACGCATTTCATTCCTTTCCTTCATTTTCCTCTCTAGAATGTGTGAATTGTTACATTGATTGCGGAGAAACCAGTGTCTTCACCGCACCTACCGGCGCTTACGAAACCTTCGAATTTGACGAATCCTGGGGCCTTGATGCGGAAATCCTTTGCCACTGGACGATACACCTGCCACAGGGAAAGTTTATCGAGTTGACATTCACGAGTTTTGACATTGCAAAGGAGCTCGACGGAGATAGGTGTTGGGACATTGTGGCGGTGGTGCCCGGCGGAGCACCGAGTTGGTTCAACCCGCTACTGGATGAGGTCGCCCTGGCCAGGGGTTCTGTGGTTACAAGCCGCCTGGTGTGACCCTTACCAGTGTGTCCACTCTCAGCATAGTGCTGGCCACGGGATATTGGGATATTTCGTACGGGTTGCAGTTCGAATACGTCACCAAAGGTAATAGGCTAATTCAGCTCTCGCTTTGCCGCATAATTATCTTGCACGCTTTTCAGACATTTTAAACCGCAATTTAAGGTGCTAACTGTCCACATTAGGTGCTAGCATTTGCTTAGCTGCTGCTCTTCCTACGTAGTCGTAGATGACCATGGCTTCGTGGTCTAGGGAAGAAAACGGTGGGTCCGGAGGTGGTTAATGAGGCCAACCCGGGCCCGGAAAGTCCTCCCACACGTGGGACACGTGTGGGCTGGTGGTGTGTTGGTTGGGGCTGACGCTCTAGCCTTCCTCATGGCCTGTTTCTGCTCCGCTGCTGCACTGCGGTTGGTTTCAGCTGCAAGCGCTCCCTTGGTAAGCATGCTGCGCCAGGTTGGACGGTCGAGGGCAAGGGCTTTTCAGTTCCCTACGTTGAAATTCAATGCTTTGAGGCTTGACTTGAGGGAGTCTTTAAACCTTTTCTTAGCATCTGCTTAGCACATACCGAAGTTTAACACTTTAATTGCTGTTTTTTGTGTTTTAGGGGGTGTTTGGAAAAGGCATTTTTTGGTCTCCAAAACTTCTTTTGCAAATTTCTTCAAGGTGTTGCTTTAGACTTGGGCTGAGACGGTTTTGTGAATAGGGACTCGTTTATCGGTTGCCATCGTTTTATCATTGTCTAAAGCAGCGGAGTTTCTACTTCTTTGAAGATATTCCTTTATAATAGTTCTTTCAAATCCTGTGGCCTTGGTACATTGGTAATTTCATGAAACTTTAAGTTTACGCAATAGAAAATAATGTTTGGTACCTATAGTATACAACAACATTTTACTTGTTGGAATAATTTTTTGTTTGTCAGGAAATTATAACGTCGGTTCGGACCTTTAATCATCGAGGAATAATTCTACTGATCTTGGCACAACTTTAGAATATTGGGTTTTTTATCTGCAGATATTCCCGGATGCTCCGTTGGCGCTGCAATTATCGAGCATAACTTAGCCACGTGTGATGCCGTCGAGTACCCACGGGCGAAGTTCGCCAGCCTGGACTTCCCAAACCTTACCCCGGCCGGTCTCTACCACTGGACCATCCAAAGCGAGCCCTTCACATTCACTAGGGTCAGAGTCATCGAATTTAACCTCCCTGATCCATTAGCCGTCTGCAATCTGCAGTACCTCCGCACTAACTTTGACAACCAGAAGTATTGCAACGCCAATCCCCCACCTGCCGTGATAGAATCCTACAGCAACGTACTGAGCATCGATCTCTTGATGCTTGACATTGGGCGTGGTAATGGTTTCCTGGCTGAGTACGAGGTTGTACGTTACGCACCGACGTCGAACTTTTCCGTCAGTTCGATCCCTGTGGACGAGGATAATTGGTACCAGTACAACGATTTTCTGTACAAGTTTTTCGAGGAGAATGCCGCCTTGAATTGGCTGGAAGCAGAGGGTTTGTGCAGTGAACGCAGCAGCCATCTTGTAAGTATACATAACCAGCAGGAAGCTGAATTTCTCCACACCATGCAGCAAATTGTGTGGAGGGTGAATCGCCCTGCTACTCACATTGGTAAGTTTGGACTTGTCGACTATTTCTACCCCTAACCCCCCCCCCCAACTCGGCCATCCCACCCCACCGCCACTAAACAAATTAATTATTTTATTAATATTAGGCCCCAAAAAAGTCTCCGGTTTCTGGTATGGAGCTTGCCCAAAAAGTGGTGCGGCGACGCGGCTTTTTTTTTTTTTTACTTATTTTTTTGCTTCAAATGTTGGCTGATGACTGCAAATGGTGCCCGACTAAAGTTAGTGCAAATATATGGGAGTCCAGAGAGGCCACATAAAGCTTATTCTCGACCATAACCCAATCTAAAAACACGTTAAAATTGTGCAGCAGCAGGATTCCAGTCTAACCAGTGAGTTTGGCGGTTATGAGACATCATCTTTCATTGAAAAAAAACTTTTTCATTTTGCCGACGCGCATGGCTACGGCGACGCGTGCGCATACCAGAAACCGGAGACTTTTTTTTTTGGCCTTAGAGTTCCTTAGTAGATTTTGTTAATTAAATGAACACATGAAGTATGAACTGTGGGATCCTATATAAAATCTATATTCTCTGGTCGCGAATAACCTATTGACACATAGGCTACCATAATTAACACAATATTTTAATAGCTCCCCATGTGAACGGCTCAACCATGGAGCTATAGCTCCATGGCTCAACTAAGTCCTGTAGACGCGTCGTGTAACTATATATAATGTCTTAGGTAATTTTGATATTAATTGATTTAAACAAAAAATCGCTCAAGGGTGCCAAGGCGACAACAGCCGGAATACTGTACTGATCTACAAAGCAGGCGCGGTTCTAGAACCAATATTTTTGGGGGGCTAGCACGGTGGATCCAGAATTTTTTCAGGGAGGCGTGCTGAAATGTAGACCGGTTATTTTTTCCAGACACTTAGGCCTCCGAAAATAAATAAGGGGGGGGGGGGGGGGGGCTCATGCCATATTCTCAATGGGGAGCGCCAATAAAATCCTAAAATCATTCACACTATATTAACTAATGCACCCTTGTCACGGCTATTTCTTCTTTAGGGGGAGACCGTTCGCATGTACATCACAATCCTTCCTTTTTTTTTTTTACGGAATTTATTTTTTGGGGGGGAGGCTAGACAAAATTTAGGGGGGGGGGGCTTCAGCCCCCCTAGCCCCCCCCCCCCCCCCCCCCCCCCCCCCCCCCCCTGTAGAACCGCGCCTGCTACAAAGTTGTATGGGCCCAAAATTTAATACACGCTCCCGTGGTCAACCTTGGACTAAAATACTGAGTTGTTTGTTTGTATTTAAATTTTAGGACTACTTTAGTTCTGCGATATAACGCAATAGTTCGGCGAGTACGGCGATATAAAGCAATAGTACGGCGAGTATATAACGCAATAATTCGTCGATTTAACGGCGTTATAACGCAAAATAGTACGGCGATTAAACGCAATAGTACGGCGATATAACGCAATAGTACGGCGAGTATATAACGCAATAATTCGTCGATTTAACGGCGTTATAACGCAATAGTACGGCGATTTAACGTAATAGTACGGCGATATAACGCAATTCGGCGATTTAACGCAATAGTACGGCGATATAACGCAATAGTATGGCGATATAACGCAATAGTATGGCGATATAACGCAATAGTACGGCGATTTAACGCAATAGTACGGCGATATAACGCAATAGTACGGCGATCTAACGCAATAGTACGGCGATATAACGCAATGGTACGGCGATATAACGCCGTAAGAAAAAGAGAGGTGCGCAACGGAATTGCCGAATACAAGCCACCGTAGAATCGAATGCTCTAAAATGTTCATTTACTTCTGAAAATCGGTCATTCATTTTCGTCTGAATTTGAGAATCGCTTTAAACACGTACACGCGTTTCATTTTCGCTGCATGGTAGCGAAAATGAAACGCGCGTTTCAAAGCGATCCTCAAATTCAGACGAAAATGAATGACCGATTTTCAGAAGTGAATGAACATTTTAGGAAATTGGTCGGAAAATCTATATAATAAATCCACCCTAGCAACGATTAATTCCAACGCGGTCACTTTTACTTTATTCAACCTCTTGTTTTCTCTCATACACGGCGTGGCACGTGGGGTTTGCTTGACTTAATTTTGAAAGATGATATTTTTCCCTGAAGGACTGACGGCAAAATCCACGACGGGTATTTTCCGCTGGTCTGATGGCAGTCCTATGGTTTACACCGATTGGATGCAACTTCCGTAAGCAGATTGGTTTTGTTTCCCTGCCTTGAAAATAAAGATGTCGAAATATCAGTAGAATATACTCTCCTGGTACCCAGAGAAAATTTGTACAAGGTCATATTGGTTTCACATGGATTTTCGTCATACCAAGTCCCACATTTTTTGTTGCGGTATTAATGCATGCCCCGTGCTTTTCAAATTAAGAATTGTCAGTTGTTTATTATGTTTTGTATTAGCAAACAAAATATTCCGACTTGGCCTCCGCGACCCTCTGCAGAAAATGAGCATCAAAGGCATATTTCACAAAGTGACTCGCCCCGAAAAAGCCGAGTGGTTGCCTGACAGCGCGCCAACAATTCGAATGGTGTGAATGAATAATTCAAGACCTAATGGTCGGTGGATTTTGTTGGTTCGAGGTCTCATTCAAAAGTGATTAACTTTTATATTGCTAGGAAATCAGGCATTGAAAAAGAAACGAATCTATTTTCGAGGTGAAACTCAAGCATGGGGAGCGCATCTTTAATATAGGATCAAAGAACATTATAGGAACCTGTTACAAAAAAAAAATTGTTTCCAAGATGTCCTGATAATGATAGAATTTCAGGCATTATACTTTTTGGTAAAGTATTATAAAAGCGGACAAGGTGATTCAAGGTTTTTCTGATAACGGCGGTATTACTTTGGTTCGTCAGTGAGCGTCAACCTGACGGAGATTTAGTGGAATCCTGCACCATGATTGACATGACAAACTACAGGACTACCGCCCTCTGGCATGACATCCCCTGTGCCCAAACTAGAGAGAGTACCTCCCAGTATATCTGTAAGAAACCATCTCCGGGTAAGAATCCGTATGGTATACCGTGCAAAAACTGTAGTGTTAATTTAACACCATTCGGTATCAAAATAGGACAACAACAGTAAACTTTAACACCAGATGGTCCTATATAGATACCAATGGTGTGAATTTAACACTGCAGTTTTTGCAGTGTACAAATAATGAATGTTTGTGAGTGCAATGGTAAGCATAATTTCATATGATCGACGATCCACCAGTCAGATGACGCGGATTTCAGGCATGGTATAAAAAAATAATTCGGAATCTGAAATAGCTCACCAGTATGTCCTTCAAAGAATTTAACTACGGCAAGAGATTCCATTTGTTATTTGATGGAAACCAATAAATGTAGACCCCGGCAAGGCCAAAATCAAAGGACCCATTAATTTTTACGAGAATTAAAACGGGTAGGTTTTACAATATAATCAGAAAAAAATGTTTCTAACACGAAACCTATGTAAATGTTTGTAGCAGTGCATGCGGTTGTGAATCCCACAGCCACATTCCTAAAAACAAACCCCCAAAACAAAAGACAGAACATTAATTTTGTTCATATAAGGCCAAAAAAATAATAAGTCGGTCTCTGGTCAGCGCGCGCGTCGATTTTAACCATGCGCGTCGATCTTTTTTTTTTTCCAAAATGTTCCGCGGTAGCTCCAACAGCGCCCTCTATTTCCGCACCTCCTCAATTTTTTTTCCACAGAGCACCAACGAATGGGAAATTGCACCAAGGCAAATGATCGAAAGCACCAAGGCAAATTATGGAGGACACCAATGTACACGAGGACACCAAAAAAGCAAAATAGTACCCACCTTGTATGTACAATTCAAGCTTGAAGGAAAAAAAAAAAAAGCAAAAAAAAAAAAAAGAAAAGCCGCGTGGCCGCGTCAATTCCGGAACTTTGGTCTGACCAGAGACCGAATATTTTTTTTTTTTGGCCTAAACCAAGTCTGTTTCGGTTCTTGTGTGTGATTTTCTCTTAGATGCTGCACCACGTGAGAGAATAAAACAGACTGCATCTAAAGGTAAGGACGTCTTAAAAACAACGCTTTATTACGTATTCATGCATGAAAGAGGGAAAAATAAGGGTTGTTTTAGCTGCCTCCTGGTCGGTTTAGGTTGGCGTCGTAAAGACAATGCAAGCATTTTATTACAGCCATCATGTTTAATGAGGCTCTCGTTTATTTTGCTCGTACGTCGTGCTGGTCAGTGATCAACACACTGCATGGTACCATTAAGTTCCAACGCGTGATCAAGGATCTCGCAACTTGTCCAGGGTCATCTCCAGACCATTATTGTCAACGTTTTTCTTGCACTTTTGAGCGCAGGATAGACAAGGATGCTGCTTTTTCAAATGAAATCGAATTCGAATTTATTCAAATCTAGATTTAGGACTCTTCTTGTCTTCTCCTGTCCTGTCTGTTTGGGAATGGATTGGGGTGTCGGTGGGCTTGTGGACTTCCCCTTGATTTATTTTTTAACCTTCCCTCGACAAGACCACACAAACGTGTGTTCACCGTCGATCGTGGACGTCCGATTGTCCCTCTTTTGTTTGTACTCTTTAACTTTTTAGGAAGACTCCTATAGGTTTTGTACACGACCCCAATCGCGGACGTATGCTGGGAATCAATATGCTGACGATGTTGTTCTCATTTGTTCTCTGGTATTTTTCGTCCACGGTTTGAAAAGATGAACACGTACACCTATACTCCTTATAACATTTCTCATTATTTTGTTACACGAACTGTCACGAAGTCCCTTATTGTTTAGCATAGATCTTACAAGTCCTCTTCCGCCCTTCCTTTTTCGCTTAGACAGAAATTGAAGCAAAATTCCCGCATATTAATTCTTGCCTTATTTCATCAGATACCGTTATGGAATGTTCGAATAACTTCAACTTGATACAGTGTGGAAACCAAGAATGCACGCACAAACTCTTTGGATGCACTAACGGTAGGTCAAACCAAATTATTGTGTTGCAGAAAAAAGTCGCGTTTTATTTGAAGGACTTCCTGTGGGAACAATAAATTGATCTGTTGCGTTAGAATTGCGTTAGAATCCGGTATACAAACAACAATTAGTGTACAATTATTTTGTCTAAGGGGCGTGGCTAACTCACAAACGGCGATGGGTCATTTGATTGTGATGAGCTATAGGTTAGTTTGGTTTCTTAACGAGCCGAAATGTGACTGTATCGATGTCTGAAACAGGCGTCGATCTGTGACTGTGTCTAATGACCTATCGCCGTTTGCCAATTAGCCACGCCCCTGAGACATTTATTTAGTTTTGTTTGTCTAAGATTTTGCGCGTTCCACGTCCATTTGTATTTCATGTAATTGGACAAAATTCTACTGCGATAGGTCAATTGTCAGCTTGTTCTTGTGTAGTTATATACTTTTCGAAGATCTAGCCGGTGACAGTCTACATTCGACCATGATTTTCTTTAGAAACAGAACGAGGCGGCAGTAGCATTCCAAGCACTTGGCAAAAGGTCACGGCACTGGATCCAGGTCAAGACGCATGCCCATCTTCGTTTTTCCAGTGTGGAACGGGCGATTGTATTCCTATCTCGTTTGTTTGCGATTTCGTACCACATTGTATTGACAGCACAGATGAGAAAAGATGCGGTAAGAATGAATGTACATTAATAAATTAGGTTTGTTTTCTCAGAAAGTTATTTGAGTCACCTGTTCTGTTTTCAGTCTTCTCATACGTAAAATTTCGTTGTATCATTATATAAACTTGTGAATAAAATGGCATGATAACTACATTTTCAATTCGACGCTGTTTCTGTAATGTTTTTCTAAATGTTGTCAAAATTTCTCCATATCGTTAATCTTGTAGCTCTGATCGCACCATGCAATTGCATTTTTACTTTGGCGCATTTTTTTTGCTCGTAACTTTTTCTTGATTGATGTTTTCGTTCTTCAGATTATCGGAACTGTACCGACGGTGAATTTCGCTGTGACAATGGCCAGTGTGTTGAGGCTTGGCGTCATTGCGATCTTACAGTCGACTGCATTGATGGAACAGATGAGTCTAATTGTGGTAGGAATTTGGACAAGGACATCATTTAAACGTTTATCATTCGGATTTACCGTTTCTAATATTCAAATTCGTCCTTCAACACCGATTTAGTGCACTTCCAATGTTTAATTTCGTCTTTTGTCAGATAATTTCAAATTCAGTTCAAGCAAATTCAAACAATGAGCACACGTTTTTGTGCCGTATAGCATTCGATTTCGTCTCGTCTACGCCAGACCTTGTTATTCAGAGATCAAATTCGTCTAATTGATAATCATGAATTAAAGACGATAATTGATAATCATGCTTAGACGAATTTGATCTGTAATGACGAATATTCTCGACCCTGTGACTAAAGAGGGTAACCAAACTTTGAAATTGAATGGTAATTGACTGTATATTGGGTTTGTTAAAAGCGTGTGGAATTTTACTCGGACGAAATTGAATATTACACTGGTAAATTTGAACGAAAAAAATGTTTTAAAATAGCCGGGATAATCTACACTAGAAGCTTTTCATCAGCTGAGATTAGTTATTTAAATCGAAAGTACATTTTTAACATGACACAACGTTTCGGACACTATGTTCTGCTCGTCTTCAAAGATGATATGATTAATGAGTTCTCATTCAGCACCTTTGGTGTCAATTCTTATGGCGGTTTGATAGAGTTTACATTTTGTGTACGATGACTCGGACGAAAGTAATTCTCGATATGGCGAGTCAGTAATGTAATTTCGAACGTCACAGTGTTTATTGTGCTTAATCCGTCTTATTAAGGCATTTGATTTCACACTCACAGCGTTATACCATTTCTTACAGATGAAAGTGCAAGTGGCTTCCGGTGTTTTGATGGGAGGTTTATCCCTCTCGGCGCAGTGTGTGACCGTGCCTATGACTGCCAAGGAGGGCTACATGAAGACGAGGATGGATGCCCGACCTGGGGAGACACCTGCGAAACGAATGAAATTCAGTGCAAAAGCGGACTGTGTGTTTCTGAACAACATCGCTGTATTTATGACATCGATAAGTATGGATACGTGACCGGCTGTCCTGACGTCACACATCTTGGGGACTGCGGTAAATAGTCTGGCGCCATCCCATTCATTAATTAATAAAAAAATACATTCAGAGAACTCGTACAACTAAATTGCCAACTCGTGCACATAAGGCCCATACAATGAAATGCATACCTGCAATGCACGTTTCCAGTCTTCTGTAAAGGTTTTTCTTATATGTATATGGTTTTCATTTGTGTACAATTCTCACCTTTAAAAAAGACAACCCGATCGAGTTTTTACAAGTCTTGCTCGTGAATTGCAGGTTCGTTTGCGTGTCCAGAGATGTACTTCCACTGTCCTGAAGCCCACTGCATACCGCCACGGTTCCGATGCGACCAGAAGACGGACTGTCCGCACGGTGAAGACGAAATAGACTGCGGTAAAAAGAAATAAATCTCTCCTTGATTTTCGAATTCTGAAAGTTGCCCCGTGCTCTTCAACGAATCAAACAATTGTTCTCTGAAGAGTTTTCAAGTTAGATATTTTGGGGGGCTTTTTGTTGGGGGGGGGGCAGGGACTGCAGATAACTTTAAAATCTGTGTTTTTGACAAGACGTCGAGGTACGGATTTTCGTTCGATTTCTCATTCAAAAAAGAAACTTTTGTATCAACAGAATGTGACAATTCCAACAACAAAAAAACTGTTTGGTGTTAAAATTATTAACGCACAAAAGGGAAATTGTGCATAACTTGCATTTATATTCTTTAGTTTGTTGTTCTTCTGAAACCATAGAGTTACAATGAATACAATTTTGACACCGTGCAATCATCATCGTAGATGATAAAAGTCTGAAAGACTTTTTGTTATTTTAAAACTAATATCAGATGACTACACGTGTCCTGGTGCATATCGCTGCCACGTTGCCAGTTACTGCCTACATCTCTCCAAGGTTTGTGACTCGGTTAACGACTGCCCTGATGGGGATGATGAGCTGTTCTGCGGTAGGTCCGATGGTTTCTTGAAAGATTTTTTTTAAGGATTTTTTTTTTGATCTCAACATTGTCTTTTGAAAAAGCAATATAATAACAGTTGAGTAGTTCAGAATAAATGAAAGTAAAAGTACAGATTTTTTTTCTAGTTTTGTGTGTGTTTTGCTTTCCTTTTTCCACTTATTTGATTCCAGAATAATGACATAGGTTATACCTATCTTTGGGAACCATATACAATTTACACGAGGACGTTTGATAATTATTATTGCCGCCAGGAGGTTATGTTTTCATCGGATTTTGTTAGTTGGTAGGTTGGTTGGTTTGTCTGTTAGTAAGATTATTCAAAAAGTTACGGACGAATTTTCATGAAAAAACCTGTTAGATTTTGGAAGTAATCTGGATCTGTGTCTGGATCCAGGATTTTTTTACCATTGATGCGAGTGATTTCTTTTGGTTGTGCTGACAATATGGCAGGGAATTGTTTATTGCCTTGGCCGAGGTTTGCGCTCTCTTGGTGCTTTCTAGTTGTACTAGCAATAGAGCCTTTGCACAAAGCGGCCTCACTGTGGGCAGGTCATTGCTCCTCTGTAAAACGCATGATTACACACTGCGTACTTTTATTGTCAATGAAGTATAAAAGAAAAACCTAAGTATTTATCAAAGACGCAACAAAATATTTTTCTTTCAATTTCGAAATCCCATTTCACTCGCCATTCCTGTTTGTAGGTCTGCCGTGCCCAGCAGGATGTGAGTGTACGGGTCTGGAATATGCCTGCGACATCAGGGGCTATCAACTAGACTCCAGCGCTGAAATACCATCCATAGCACGAAGCATGTACGTGATTCCCATTGGTTGCGTCAAAACACTATTCATATGAACGTCGACTGTTTTGTTGTGATGTAGAATGTTACGACTTATGTGCTTCTTTTGAGTATGAAATGCCTGTTGTTACCAGGGGGTCACGGTTTAGCTTAAGAGGGGGTCCAGCTCATACCCGGAGCTGGGTTTAGCAGGCAGTTGCTATTTTTTTTTTCGGCATGATTTTCCTACGATTGCGGCCCAAAAGGTCCTTTTTTACCCCCCCCCCCCATAGATCCGCCTCGGGTGACGAGTTTTGTGAATAAGGATTTACAAATTTAGTTATTCGTTATTTATGTTTAGTAAAGACTGTCCGTCGTATGCAGACTTTTCTCTTTGCATTTGTAAAGGTTTTATCCCTTTTGTTAGAAAGCAATCTGCACTTTAATTAAGGTGCCCTTTTGTGTGTTCCATTGGCGCATTAAACTTTAGTATACAAATCAATATTAGATTTTTTCCTATCAACAATCGACCCCCCTTACGTATCTTATAACGTAGATCAATGTGAACAGAATCGATTTCTTTTTTCCATTCCCCGTTGATCAGAAAACTTGAAGGGCAGCCAATCCGAGACGTTGAGGGCATCTTACGCAGGGGACGCAGGACCACACTCGGAATGAACGCCGAGCTAGACGAATGGTTTCCGATTAACATGAGTCGATATCACATGCTGGCAAAACTGTAAGTTGCCTCGAATATTTGTTATTTCATTTCGGTTTCATTTATATTTTAAAACCTATTCGTCTTCATGACACTGAATATAACAAATAAAAGACATGATAAAGGCCATTCGAGGCAGCAAAACACCAAAGTCATGGTTTGTAAGACGCTAACCAATACAACATTTCGACCAAAAGCTACCTTTAGGGCAGACGAAAACAACAAAATCCGAACACAAAAAAAATAAGAACAAAGGACTACGATGAAGATCAGAGAGGAGTAGATGGTTTTCAGTTGAAAATGTAAGATATTTAATTTGTAGATGTTATTTCCTATTCAAATCATTTTCTTTGTAGAGAAATAATCTCAGTCGGCATTGATAGCCTACCACGGAGGATTTTCGACCAGACTCCAAACCTAATTTACATGTAAGTACCTCGACTTCTTGTCAAGAACAAGTTCTAATAGACTTTTTAAAATCAGTTGTGCAGTGGTATCACTTTAGGGACGTACGGCACCTGAATCAGAATTGCTTATATTTTTCAATTCAATTGGATTTATGCAGTGTTGGGTCTGTGAACTTATTAATATGTTTGTGATTGATGTAATTCCAGTGTTTCATTTCTATCCCAGCGATCTTTCCGATAATAACATTGCGACGTTGCAAAGGGGATCTTTCCAAGGACTTGACTCACTACGACACTTGTAAGTTATAAAAATATGCCCATTCATAGTTTTGAAATTGCTCACTTATGACAATCGCAATTAGGAAAACTGACGACATTGTAATATCGCTTCCTCAGAATAAGGCTCTTATTTATTAAAATATAAAAAGGTCGGTTGGAATTTACTACTTAATTCAGGGCCAGACAATGCGCTTACTGGAAAATGTCGTCCAGAATGCCCAAAACAAACGTGCAAAAACTATATGCTCCACAAGAAAAATTATAATCATTTCAACTTTCCAACCCTTACACTTTCGTTCTTCCAAACTCAACTTGGTCTGAAACCACCTACACAAAAAAAAATCCCATCCACACATACTGGAATTTGTATCCTTGTGGAGACATTCCTTTGTTCTCGTGTACTAAAGTTTTCGAGTTTGAAAGTGTAGTTTAAAAATGCTCTTATTTTAACCAGAATTAATTTCCTTGGCTGAAATTTTGACTTAATATCCCTTTTCTAAAACTCTTCTATTTGCGACACATCAACATAGCTTGGAAATTCCTAGTTTTCGAGTAAAATCCATATATCTATTTCGTGAAAACCCTTTGGAGACGTATTCATCTATAGAAATTGCCCTGTGGAGACGTATACAATCTTTAGTTCCCTATTGTGTGCATGTCTCTAGAGGGCACGGTGTTTCAGATCACCGTTGCCAGTACCATTCCATTCTGTGTTTATTTGTATGCCAGTATAACAATCTAATTCCATACACGCCTGTATATTCTTTTCTTTCAGACGCTTGTTGTTCAACCCGTTAACTCTCATAGAGGACGGAGCTTTCATGGGCTTGGCCAACCTAGAAATACTGTGAGTATAATCCGTCAATAGACCTTTTTCATGCTGCCACCATTATAGTCATGTTCCCTGTATTCAATAACAGCACTGCCTGGTAATTTTTTTTTTGCAAAAGGAACCAGACTATTTTTCCTTTCGGCCTCGCTTTGGTTTATACGTTGATTTGAATGGAAAAATCAAGATGGTCGTAACATGATAATGGTCTATACTATATGTTTTCCACATTAGTAAGACCTTAACGAACCTATAGTAGGTGAAAAAAAATAATGTCTCACCTTTGTATATTAATTGTGTACGTTGCATGTGCTCGAAGATGGAGTCCATGTGTTAATGTTTTTTAGAATTGTTGGTATACTTCTTTAACACACAATATGTTTAATCCATTTCGTGTTATCTAGGAATATCTACGCCACAGAACCGGAGGAGTTTTCGAATGAAATTTTAATAGATCTGTCGGGACTACAAACGCTGTGAGTATACGCATTCAATTAGTCGCGTATGTGCAGTTCTTGCATTGACATCGTTAAGTATTAATATTTTGACGTTTTTGATTTGCCTTATTATAATTGGTGCCTGGTGATATAATTAACGTTATGTTAACAGACTGTGAAACTTATTATACCCAAGCAAGCAATGGAACTGACTTGAACAATTCCTGGCTTCAACATTGTGATTTTACATTACCAGAATATCAAGTCACCATTAAAGTATACATTAGAACGAAGAACGACAGATAGTCATATACGCTGAGGTAATACCAAACCTAATACTACACCATTGGGACGTCATACAGAAAGGTAATTGACAGGCAAAACAGATGCATAAGTGTCTTTCTCACATTGATTTGCCAATATTGAACAGTAAATATTAACACCGATATTTCAAGTAATATGCAGTGCAAAATAGAAAAGTTTGCCGAAAGTCGGCACCACGGATCCATGAAACCCAATTTTCTAAACAGCTGTGATAATGGTCTCAAGAAACTAAACTACCAGGAAAATGTTTGATTTTGCTTTGACAGGTATGCCGGTAAGTACCTGTTCTGCTGCATTGCCGTGGATACCTTAGGGGAGTGTTTGGCACCTCGGGATCAATTCTCCTCCTGCAAAGACCTGATGAAAAACCCCGTCTTACGAGTCTCCATTTGGATCCTCGGCATCAGTGCTTTCCTTGGTAACTTCCTAGTTGTTGTCTTCCGATCCATGGCTCTGTACAAAGGCCGGGATGGTTCACCCATCCAGACTTTCTTCATCGCCAATTTGGCCGTGTCTGATTTCCTGATGGGAGCTTACATGATCATCATCGGTAGCGCCGATCTCTACTATCGCGAAGTCTACGCCCTACGCGAGGAAGCCTGGAAGGCAAGTTTCACCTGTAAGTTTGGCGGTTTCCTATCCGTGGTCTCAAGTCAAGCCTCGGTGCTGATGGTCACTCTACTTAGCTTGGATCGCTGTGCGCATATTGTCTTCCCCTTCAAGAAAGCATTACATCTGCGTCCGAGATCCTCTCGAATTGCCGTTGGTTTGCTCTGGGTGGTAGCCGTGCTCATCGCGGCGCTACCACTCTTGATAACACCCTACTTCAACGACAACTTCTACGGTCACTCCAGTGTCTGCCTCGCCCTACCTCTGACGGTGGAGCTTCAGCCCGGCTATGAGTACATGTTCTTCATCCTTGGCGTCAACTTTGTTTGTTTCCTCCTCATCTTGTTCACCTACCTGGCCATCTTTGTCACCGTGAAGCGATCGTCCTCCAAGGTGAAGAGCTCCAAGGCAGCTGCAGATGTCAAACTCGCCGGGAAGATGGCCTTGATTATCGGGACAGACTTCGCCTGCTGGATGCCCATCATCATCATGGCTGTGCTTGCTTCGGCCGGAGGCGTCAGTATTCCACCTGAAATCTACGCCTGGACTGCCGTATTCATTCTACCTCTCAATTCCTCCATCAATCCATACCTGTACACAATTTCAACCTACTCTTCTAGTAAAAAGACCAAAGGACCAGGTAAGTTTGTCTTAAATAAAGTCCGATCAAATGTATAAAGCAAAAATGAGATTGGATTTTCATGCACAACTCTCGATTGGAAGAATCAGGCCTTTAAAAGATTCGGGCGTGAAAAAGGCAAATGCAAAGAGCTACAGGCTGATATTATCACGCACGAAACCCGCTGAAAATTCAAATAGATTTTTCTGACGTGAATTTCTTGCGTGTGCCCCTCCTTGATTGTCGTCGTTGTCATCGTCGGGTGTCCCTTTTACATAAAGCCCTATGATCCAGTTCATTATTGTCAATCTACTCCTTAAGTTTCCTCATATTTTTTACAGCGACTTCTAATTCAACGGGAGTGGCATCCGTATCGTCAGCTGTCTCACCCATTACCAAAGTCCAAATGGATCCTGAATATCTCGACCAGAGAAACAATTCCATCATTGCTCTGCCATCGCTACCTCTGCGTCCAACCTCCAACAACAACAACCTTCCACTCCAAGACCATGACAAGGACCAAAACACCGACAACAAAACATCGGGGACTTCATCTGATCCCGCCACTCAACCTCAAGAAGAGAACTTCTACGTTGAAATGCAGGACCTGGTCGAGTGTGAACGCAACAAGTTGACCGCTGGTGATATAAGTGTGATCGGTGCAGACTTGAAGAAGGCCCTCTCTTGGCTGCATTCGAGGAACGTTACTGGAGTTGACATGAGAGAGGAGTTGATCGTTTTGGAAAAGGTAGGTTTTCGTTGCTGTTAATTTATAAACGGTATATTGACAGACTTACAGATTAAAAAAAAATTATTCTGGAGGGCCAGCATATTGTCCTCTGACTTACCGAGTTACTGACTGACTGACTGATTTACTGACTGACTCCCCTAGTCACCGAGTGCTAAACACTGAACTAAATTGATAGTTTTGGGTGAAATTTGGCTCGGCAAGCTCAGTCTAATATTATTGTTTGGCTGAGGCAGTTTAGAAATGCTGTCAATTTATAGGTCTCGAAAGTAATTTCAAATCTACCAGGAGTTGTTCTACATGTACCTTTATCACATTAGGGTTGGAAAAGGAGTTGGTAATTTTGCTTCTGTATACAGGGTTACCAAACATTCAATGGACATTAGTAGGAACTTAATACAATCTCTTGAACCAATTCGAAGGGATGATTGGTGAAGATTTGGCTCAATATTTTCGCTAGCAATTATTTGTTGCTGTTAATCAATACACGTGTGTCTCATCTTTAAATGTTTTCGTCACTTTCTTACAGAAGACAGGTGGTCGAAACAAGGCCTATCTTCTAGTTCCCGAAGCCAAATTGAGAAACAAGGGAGAGAAAGCTACAGATGATGAAAAGGATAAGGATAAGAGGAAGCTGGAAGTGCTCCTGAACAAACTAACAGCAAGTACCTTGGCATGACAGGAATCATGGATCACCCCACCCACACCGAGCAAAGGCGATCATACGATGAAAGATGGAATGATTTTTTTTGATAAAAGTGCACTTTCTTCTCAATTTGCCTTCAAGGTTTATTGGATGATGTTTTAATTCCGTTATTGTAATACTATAGAATTGGTACTTTTCTTGATAGATAAAGCAAATGACTTTTGATTAGGTCTACGATTACATTAAAACATATAGCTATATAGTTTGGTGCAACGGTTATGTCTAAAAAAAACACCGTGTTTCTTGTTAATAACGTCTCGACAAAAAAAATAATTTTTGAGCGTTGTTTGACGTAAAGTCTTTCAATCTAAGAGTCATAACACGATATTGAAGTCAAATAAATTGTTTTAATTGTTTCCAACAACTCTTTTGCGTATTAGAGTACGTCATACTTCTAGGACTATAACTTGAAAATGATAAACTATAGGCTTAACAACATAACAATTTGATTACTGATTGCTTAATTGTAGTATAGTACGGGTATAAATGTTGATATAAAACTGCATACGTGTAATTTTCTTTGTAAATCTGTATATGTTAAATGCAAAATCGGAAAGAATTTAAAGAAGTAATTTGGGAAAAGGGTTAAAAAAAGAAGAAGTGTGAATTGTGACTCGTGTGAATGCAATCGCACTAAAATCAAGTTGTGCGTGCATGACCGAACGCGTATAATTTTGATGCGATTCTAAAGCGCGTCGAGAAAAAAAGGCATTAAAGTCTTTATGACGCAACTCTCCTTTATTTCACGAGCCGAATTTTCCAAAAACATGAAATAAATGGAATTATTATTCTTTTAATTAAGGAATACATGTATCAAGAATATTTATAACTTCGTTTTTTTTTAATTCTTACTGTGATTCACGTATTTATATTAAATCAAATTTTGCACCCGCAGTCAATCGAAAGTAAAGTATTGTTGTGTTGTTATTGTGACGTCATAAACGCGCGGATCGCTACATTAGTAACTTTTTGTTTTGCTGTCAACGAAGTTTTCAAGTTTGTCTGCATTTTCTAACACAACACTAATTAATGCCTCATAATTACTGCTTCGATGAGCGACGACGATATCACGAAATTCCTGCTGCTTATATGAGTTATATAGCTTTACTACAATTTGTTGACATCAAGAAAAGTAAGTTTCATTTTAAACGTTTCCGCTCAAATTTTAATAACCAAAATGATTAAAACTGGTATAGATTTATACTCGAGAAACTAATTCTTGAAATGTAACACAGGCTTATGTACATTTTAACTGCAGATCATGGTGACGTCAACAAATCAACTTTCGCTCTTTGAGAGTGGAATTCGCACCTTAAGTCCCGAATTGGATCCAGGTAACCTATAGCAGAAAAAAAAATCAAATCGATTTGAATATTCCCCATTAATGCCTCTTTCACCCAGGGAATCTTTTTTTGTCTCAGTATAAGCCCTCTTGACTTTATTTTATTTCATTATTTTTTACCCTTACCGTTGTTTCACCCAGGACCCCTTCCTGTTGTCCACCTGCAGACCGACAGGGATTCCCCAACCCCTACGATTGCCGGCCGAGTGCCGATGAGAGCCCCTCCAATTCGTCATGAGCCGATCATCGGCCGACCACCAGGTCTAAAACAATTTCCAGGTGAAAGTGCTACTATAAATTTCATAAAAATGTAATTAATTAGAAATGCATTATTTCCAAAGCAGATAAAGTTATGGACAATGCCAAGTCTCAATGAAATGAGTATACTATCTTTTCGATGGTTATGTTGGCTTCCTCTTTCGCAACCTAAGATTGAGGAGTTTAGGACATCACCAATAAAAACCATGATTTTGAACTCCAATACTTTCTACATGGTTTTGCATTTCGAGTCTAATAACGGTGCCCTTTTTTCCCAGGTAACGGTCAGTCAATGCCGTTCAGAGGGATCTCGCAACCTGGACTTGGAAAGAATACAATAGTCCCCCGGACGTCTCTCGACAAATGGGGAGCCATCCTTCCAGACAAGCCTAGGATTCATCAGTTTACGCCACCGGTCAAAAAGGGCCGACAAGAAAACGCCTTGGCTGAAAGTCCGAGTCAGGAACTTGAAGAAGATGCTGATGACTTGACGCCAGAAAATATAGCAGACCTGTCCATTGATGACATCCTGGCCGCAGCTGGGATTTCATTGGATGATGAGAAAACCACCAAGAGCGCCACCAAGAGTCCTATCAAGGAAAACTCAGTTGGGTGCCTTGCTCCCAGTCAGCTTTTTACCTCAGTTGATGGAGGTGGCACCAGACAAACAAGAGAGAAAGACTCTTTGATGGCAGACAGTCTGCTGCCAAAGATAAACATAACAAGTCAGCAAAATGACTGCAACGACAATCTCGAGGATCAAGATTGTAATACTAAGGAGGCAGAGTTAGGAGAAGACGAGATGATTAGAGATGATGAACTTGATGAGGAAACGGTGGAATCCGATAATCCTGGAAAAGACCTGCTGGTCGTGGACAAGGACCGGCCTCGTTACCCACCTCGCCTGCCCCCGCTTTGCCTCCCGACTGAGGGCAAGGGTTTGTCAAACCACGGCGAGTCCGATGTATTGCTGAAAGGTTCACGTCAACTGCAACCATTTAAAAACTCGGACCCGAACCGACCTGGCCAAAAGCAAAAGCCCAAGAAAACACAGCAGAGAAAAGAGTGTAGGGATGGCTGCATGATGAAAGGCCAACTTATGCCAGATTCGGATTCAGTGTTCATCCAAAAGGAATCGACATTGAACGGCAGAGACTGCTGTCAGTTTTCCTTCAACAACAATGGTTGGACCGAGACGACTAATGGAGAAAGCAAAGACAACGATTTTTTAAAAGATACAAACCAAAATGCAGCGAGAAGTAAAGAAACCCCACAGCACTCTCAAAGCTCACCTCGTAGCATGTTGCAAACAATGATAAATTGGGTCTCGGGTGCAGTTTCAACTTCAAATACAGCAACTAAGGCAACACGTTCCTTCACGATCCCACCTGTAGGCCTACCAGCAGATGACGTCATTAAGCAGACCACAACTACTTTAGGCGTGCCTCCAGGATTGGGCGTGGTTTCCACACCTCAAGATAGCCAGCATGAGTTGAAAACTTCCTTGATAGCTCTTCCTGTTTTGGGGACACATTTAGCCAACCGCGCAATGGATTCGAACCTAGGCACATCTGGTTTTGAGGTAACTGCACTGACTGGATTTGAGACGAATCTTAGATCCTCGGATGAGTCTAGAACCCCACATTCTCTGGGATTCCAAAGACAGAAAATCCCGAGTGGAACCACTATTGCTGAGAGTGTTGAAGCTACCGATATTGATATCGAGCAAAGTCATACATTCCAGACTGACAATGACACCTCGATGGCTCAAGATGATTATGACAGTGAAGACTGGTTCCGTGAGGTGCTCTGGCCAGCCGACTGGAGAGAGACTAACCGTGACGCTTCTCACCTACCAGCTGAGCTACGGGAGGAACTTCGTATTGATCTGAGCGGGTTTCCCCAGGATGATGATAGCAAACCAAAACCGCAATCTCAGAATCTTGAAGAAGACACACATGTGCAAGAAGTATCAACAGTCTATGACGAAACAGCGAAGAGCAATGGAAACAACAACCATCAAATAGACAACGCGAAGATATTCAAAGGTACTCAGGCTCAAACCACAAGGACACCTACCTCGACGAACTCCTCAAGAAATGTAACCTGGAACACGACGAGTACGTCTCTTGAGGACACTGCAGAAAGAAATTCTTCGAAAAAGAAACTTTCTTCTGACGCTTGCTCAAACAATCGAGATTTGGGCTCATACAAAAGCACAATTCACCGCGGTGAATTGTCCTTAAGTAGTGATTCTCTCTGGTCTCAGTCTGTCACAACTTGGGGACTCGATGCCGAGGAACTCATGTTGCTCTTGTCTTATGAACAAAGTGACAACACGTCCGGGTTCGCATCAGATGAGGTGTTTGATGAAGACAGTTTTTTCGACACCATTATGGGCATCGTTGCCGACTCTCAACTCTATTCTGAGTCTGATCCAAGCCTTCTGACCACGCCAGAAATTGTATCTCCATTCTGTTTCACTCTCCCGAATGGTGAACACGATGTGTTGGATCTTCACAAGGTTCATGATAACTGTAAAACAGACTTGAATTTCGAGGAGAAAATCTGTCCGCAATCCTTGACAGATTCACGTGACAGCTTAGATAGTTACCTTACCGAGAGGACGAGGACGGAACTTGAGCTGAAATGCATCTCCAAGACTGTCGTTGCCAAGAAACCAGGCCTTCTGGTGAATCACTCCAAAGATACCAATCATCAAGGTGATCATGAAGTGTCGGAGCAAGGAGAAGTTGATAACGTCACCCATATAATTCCAGTCAAGTCGACCGAAGACAATCAGCTGCATCAGGAGAACGAGAACACGATCTCAACTCTGAACGTTGTTGCATCAGACGCTACACACTCGCTAGAAGTCCAATCTAAGAAATGGGCGAGTCGTTCATCCTCATTAACACCTGATGTTAAAAAGTGGATGCGGCTGAACGACATGCAGATGGAGGAAGCGATACAGGCGGAGAGGCTCACTGGAGGGCGCTCTGTACCTGCGCCACAAGTGACGGCATCCGAGAGCACTTACGATCGGATCGTGAACTGGGTTGAAAAGTCGGATTTTTCGATTACACCTTCGATTGGACAGGACGGTGAGGGCTGAGGACGAATTTCTGCTGTAAAATTTTGAAGTTTAATTATTATTATTTTATGAGGGAAACAATTTATGAAGGAAACCAATAATTGCGAATAATGATTTCACCCGACTTGACATCAACCGCAAACAACTTTAAAAATAATATAAGATCATGACATTATAAAGTATTTGTATTAGTTTAAAAGCGCCTAATATTAGTGAGGATTTGCACCGCCAAAAAATGATGATGTTAAGTACATTTTAGTAATATTTATGCATACTATTGCTAGTTAATTATTCTGAAAATGAAATGTATGATTTGGCGCTTGTAAAACTGAGATGATGCATAAATGAAACTGAAAATCACCTTATATAAGGGGCAACGGCCAAAAGCGAATAGTTAATGTTTTAAAAACTTAAAAGAAAAGCAATATAAATTGTGTTGATGGAATATAAATTATTTGTAACATATGAAAAAAATATGTATGGATGACTGGTCATTCTGCTTAGTGCAGCACAACCCAACAGGAGCCTGTCGTATTAAAAGTACAATAGGCCAAAAGCATGCACATACATCCGATATATGCATGGAGAAGTGCAATGTTTGCCTGCAACACGAAGGGCAGCCATTTTGTGCATTACAGAAACAAATTCTCGCCGGGGGAGTCGCCGCCCCACCATCCACTCAACACAGTTATTACAATCAGCAGCATCCGAGTGTTGGGCGTCCTTAGACCCCCTTTTACATAGGTCTGCGACCTTTGGGCCTCCCTTGTGCGACCATAAAACTGGCCAGGTCGCCGTTGGAGGCTCAAGGAGGCCGAATGGTTGCCTAGGTTTGCTTACAACAATAACCTCCCAGCAAGCTTCAATGAATACTCTGCCTCCATCCTTCTTGCCATTGGCAAGATAATTCATCACCGACGTCTGGAGATCTTCAGGCACCGTCTTCCTGAAATTCAAGACTTGGGTGAGGGAATCCAGCAGCAGGCTGCCTTCTTCTGAGGATTGGTCGAAGCAAACGGTGATGTCGCAGTGAGTGGGCTGGTTGTACCGGGTGTATGGGATGCCTCGGCGGTCCAGCCAGCTTTTAAGGATGGCGGAATCGACACCGGCAAATAATTGGTCATGAAGAGAAGGAAAGTGATTCCAAAAGCGCATCCATCCGCTGTCCTCTGTAAAAAGTCGATTTTTATACCAAAATCAGGAGTTGAATTCTTTGATTATAATTAATAGAGTATAATATAGGCATACCCGATGCTTATTGGTTATAATTTTGGCTGAAGCATGCCATGTGACCTGTAGTCGATTTTGGAGACTTGATTCAGAATACTCATAGTGACCACCCTTTAGATTGATACAAGATTGAAAGGTTTTCGTGACTTTATTTTTTTTTCAAAAAGGTGTAAATAAAATACCTGATATGATTGCTACCAACATGACCCCACCAGGCTCTAAGCGCTCGTACATGTACATCAACGTGCTCTCCGGGTTGTCGACGTAATATAAGCTCTGCACCGCACTGATGAAATGAAACTTGGTCAAATCTCCCGCCTTTTCGTATTGCTCGATCGTCTGCTGCCGCCAGTCACACATTACACCTTGTAGTTTGTGGGCCTTGGATTGAGCCAATGCCCTGTACTGGTCTAGGAATACCGTAGTGGGCTCAACTACACGGTTGATGATGCGTGGGAATCGCTTCATGACTTTCTCCAACATCATATAGTCTGGCTCACCTTAAATAGAAGTTGAAAGGTATAGGCCTACTTGAAATGAATGAAGCAGTCATGCAGGCCTACTTATTAGTTGAATTGATTCAAGTGACGTAGACATATAAACTAGACACACGTGGACATACTAAACAGTATCCTTTACCTCTTTCAACTTCACCCGTATAAAAGTTAAAAATAATAATAATAATAATAATTCAGTGTTCTAGTAATCGAACTCGGTATTTGTACTTTTTTAGAAGACTCGTACTCGCAATCGAATATCAAAATTACTCGAATTCACGGGGCTCGTACTCGAGAAGCAATTAGTACTTGGGCTCGAGTATTCGATATCGTACTCCATCATGTCATCCAATTCTTACTCGATTGTTAAGACTCGGGGGAAATATCGAGTAATTAGTTCTGAATAAATTAATTCTCCTTTACACTTGAACGCACGTGCTCGGCTTTATCGATGGCTCAAAAATAGTCTATAACACCCATATTGCTGAATTGGTGGTTTCATTTCCACTTAGGCCTATTACTTGAGATTGTAATTGTTTTCACTTGACTACTCCATAAAGAACTGATGCTTGTACTGGTCCAATTAGCCTACAAGGAGGCCTACTTGGACCTTGGAATCGGGTACCTTAGGTACTCGTTCTCAAGGGTCGAAGTACTCGGACGCGAAAGGTACTCGTTGCTTGGTATCGACAGTACTCTGTACTTGGTACGCGTCACTGTTTTAAATCACCAACGGTATCACTGTCACTGTGCCCCGACCCCAAAAGCCACAATCATACCCATCACATCTCAGTCGATCACCCACATAGCACCATCGTCTCCATAATGATCCACTGATCTCTATATAAAGTCTTTATATAGAGATCAGTGTGATGATCCCATCCGAGGCATTTTCATCACCACCACCGTCAAGCAAGGCATACACTTAATTCTCAATGATTTAATACCCACCAGCTCCGCTGCCCACTCCCAGGACCCGGAGCTCTTCTTTCCCGTCTAGTTTGGCCTGGATCACACGCACCACCGCTTCGTCAAAAACTCTGTCCACCCATTTAGAGTAGACACCTAACATGTCGATTTTGACGGCGTATATTTTAAAGGACGCTTCAAAGCGGTGCTTGTCTTGGAAGACAGAAGGCAGGTGCTTCGATTCCATCGTTTTGCTTCCGTTTCTGGCCTGTTTCGTGGGCGAGCTATGGTCTATCGTGTGACTGTAGTCTTCAACCGGGCCCCGTAGCGAAAAACTGCGAACTGCATGGAAAACTAAAGAATGGGCCTACTGGTACAAAAGGCCCCCAAAAAGTCTTCGGTTTCTGGTTTGGAGCTTGCCCCAAAAGTGGTGCGGCGACGCGGCCTTTTTTTTTACCGTTTTCTTCCTTCAAATGTCGGCTGATGATTGCAATGGTGCCCGTTTAAATTTAGTGCAAATATATGGGAGTCCAGAGAGGTCACATAAAGCTTATACTCGATCGTAGCCCCATCTAAAACACGTTTTGCAGCAGCAGGATTCCAGTCAAACCAGTGAGTTTGGCGGTTTTGAGACATCTTACATTGAAAAACTTTTTCATTTTGCCGACACACATGGCTACGGCGACGCGCGCGCATACCAGAAACCGGAGACTTTTTTTTTGGCCTAAAGAAAATAACGAACACAATTACTGCAGAATACCCCGCAACTCACGTGAACCTATTGTCGAACGAGACATTAACAATCACTTTGACCTTATTGTTGTTGTACCGGGAATAATAGGTGCAATGGAAAGGGCCCGGATTTAAGTCTTTCGTATGAGGCACCAGTGTTCCGCAGTCCCTATTCTGCCCTATAGGCTCTGGCGCAAAATTCATTCTGATGCTATTAAAAGTAAAAAGCACTGTACAAATCAAGCCAGGCCAAACTGGTATAGCTTCTTAAAAGTGGGGGTGGTACAAACATGTGTATCTTGATCAGAACTAATGAGAGTGCGATGCCTAAACGTCGTGGGCGATTTCTTTTTGGGGGAGGGGATTCTTGACGCTCTGCTGTGGTGCAATCTGAGGCAATTTCTGACCACTTTAAACCTTTTTTTTTTTATTTAAACATCATTTTCGACTTGGTAGTCATCGAATCAGCTTTTCTGAGCTATAGAATAAAATGAAGGCTACAGTATGTTTTTATTCGGGGACGAAAATACTTGGGGGGGGGGAACGACAATTCCCCGTCCCCCACCGATCGACGCCCGTTGGCACAGTGCTTGAGAACGCGACGACAGCCTTGAAATTGAAATTGTATACGTAGGGCCTACGTGTATGCCTACATGCTATTCAGCGTCAGTTGGTGAAATCGAAAATTTGGAGAGAGACCCTGAAAGTTTTACAAAACTTTCCTCTACGCGTGTGTGTGTGTGGGGTAGGCCTATATGCCTTTTATTGGACAATACGGTATTTTGTAGGCCCAAGAATTGTTCGTTAGCCCTAGGCACCGTGCCTACAATGGCGTACGCGTAACACCGTCTGATTTTTTGGGGGGGGGGGATTTTTTTGAAAAGGGCACTTGCACATCCATCGTGAAATGTAAGCACGTTTTTTCCCCGGACACTTTGCCTCTGTAAAATCAAAGAGCGGGGGGGGGGGGGGCTGGTTCAAAAGCGACCATTGTATTCACGATAACGGACAATATATGGACCTTTTAAGGGCGATACGTGGGTGAAATGTAATTAACGAATTAAATTGTATTTGGGCCAATATGTGGATTGGGTTTTCAGTCCCTGCCTGGTCTCGTGGGTTTTCCCCAGAATATTCTTCTCGGCTTTTTCTCCCACCTCTAAAACTGTAACTTTTTCTCATTGTCTTCTCTCCACAGGTTTCTTCAGACTTGCGAGCTACAGTGCCTAGGGCGCTTTTGAGGATTCCCTGGTTTCATTACCAGAAATGATTAATATAGGTTTTCCCGGCCAATTTCACAAAGCTTTCATTCAATTTAACGCCTGGCTCATTCGATTTCAATTGAAATTGAAAGATCACGCAGATCGGCATTCGACAACCAAAAAGAATCATTCAATTTCACTATCCGAGCAATCTCTTGCCTTTTAGCTTCACTCGTCCCTATCAAAGATGCATTCATTTTAAAAGTATCGCGTTGTTCATTCAATTTCGTCTCAACCATTAGTAAGGGGTTGATCGGGCATTCGTTTTCATTAATGGGCAAACATATTTCACATTTTGTCAAACATCTTTTTAGACTTCATAATTCTAGCAACTTTTTTTGCTGAAATAGCCGTGTAACATTAATCATGCCCGGAATGCCATCACAGGTTTTCTAATTCATATAAAACTTTGCATTAGCATAAAAACGGAGAAGGCACCAAAAAACACCCCTCAAAATGGAAAATAAAACTTGCAAATAAGGTTAAATGTGACACACAGATGTATTTTCAAGGTTTGCATTGCAAACTTACTTTGCATGGGCCCTGTGAACACGGTAAGTGTTCGGTCAGACATGCGCAAGAAAACATTTAAGATAACTCAAGAAAAATGTTCCCGATGGTACAACCATTGCCAAACATAGGTGTCCCAATGTCTTGCACGTCAAGAAATCGTCAACGTAAAGATGCCCCTTGCTCAAACGTTTAAACAAGTAGAATAGATAAACAGTGAAAAATAAATTATCTTAGTCCCTTCAATTAATTAATTAATTCATAATTACATCTTGTTTCCCTCATAGGGCCTATCAGTTAATTTGTAACATTGTAAATTTTACAGTCATGAAGTTTTGGGGGGAAATGAACCTCGGAGAAAAATAGGAATATGTGTCGATTAAAATGTTTTACCAATTTAAATTACCAAACGATGAAAGCGATTGCCCATAAACGAATAAGAAATGAAACGCATGGTTATACGTTACAAGCGCACAGATGTTCGCTAATTTGAATGTGCCAACCGTCAAAAGGTTGCAAAGACCTAATTTAAGCCTGCCACAAGTTAAGTCTTAAATGCACCAAAACGAAATAGGATGCCCGAAAATGAAAACGAACATTCAGAGCAAAATCTTGGCTGCCTAAAAATGAAATTGAACGAACCCAAAACGAAAAAGAACCCCAATTTGACCACAAGTGCAAAACTCACGCGAAATTGAATGGCTGATAATGAAACTGATTAGAAAAAATCGGAAATTCGCCGAGAAAACCTATAATAATAATAAAAAAGGCACGAGAACGGCCGATTGTACACAAAAGGGCACCAATTCTTTTTTTTCTTTTTTTAAGGCACTCTGTTCAGAAAAAAGGGCACTCCTTACCAAAGATGGGGGGGGGGGCCTTAATCAATGGTGAAAAAAGGCCTTTCAATGGCAAAGCGCACTATTTAGAAAATACTGGGGGTACTATTTTGGCCCTGCAGTTTTGCGGTCTAAGCAGTTAATTCAAAGGAAAAATCATTGTACTTCGCTTTTATGCAAAAGAGAAGACTTTGTTGTTCAATCGGTAACTGTTATCACATTCACCAATCTTTGTTTTATTTGTACATGCATAACTTTCTTTGATGTTTAGTGCTGTGAACAAAGAAAATCTTGCCGTTGTTTTGGTAAAATAAAGCTCGTTTTTTCCATAAGTTTAAATAAACATATTATTTTCAGGAAGTCTGTTCTTTTTATATATCAGAGAGCATTCTTAATAATCCTCTGGTGCTTCTTCAAAATTGTGTCATCGTTCGGATTGTAACTTCTAGTAAACCAAATAGTGCGAAATAACTTACTTATGAGAAACGAAGAAACGGCGGACATGTTTTTCCATATTCAAAATTCGATTGCTGTCCTTGAGAAATAAATTTATGTGCTGTATAATGTTCTCATAATGTTTCTCACAAAAGCCAAGCATGAACAGTTTTACAATACATGAACATAATTATGTCCAATAGTTTCCTTCTCACAATTACATAAGGCGCATTGGTTATCTGCTACCTTGTTCATCGCCATAAGAACATCCTTAGCCCCCCCCCCCCCCAAAAAAAAGTCTTCGGTTTTGGGTTTTTTTTTTACTTTTTTTTTCTTCAAATGTCGGCTGATGACTGCAAATGGTGCCCGACTAAATGTAGTGCAAAATGTATTGGAGCTGAGACAGGCCACATTAAGCTTATACTCGATCGTAACCCCATCTCAAAAAAACGCTAAACTTGTGCAGCAGCAGGATTCCAGTCAAACCAGTGAGTTCGGCGGTTTTGAGACATCATCTCACATGACAAATTAATTTTTTTAATTTGCCGACGCGCATGGCTACGGCGACGCGCGCGCAGACCAGAAAGCCTTAGTTCAGGCGCGGTAGCCCCCCCCCCCCCCCCCCACACACACACTTTTGTCTACCCCCTCCCCCCCCCCCCCAAAAAAAATTAAAAATCCGTAAAAAAAAATGGCTGTAGCAAATGTTAGAAGGTGACGTCACATGCGAACGCTTTTCCCCTCTCAAATAGCCGTGAGAAGGGGCATTAGTATACTATTAGGTATTTATAGCGTGCATGACTAGACTGTAGGATGAAAATATGGTACGAGCTTCCCCCCCCCCCCCCCCATTGGTTTTTGGAGGCCTAAGTGTCCGGAGAAAAAAAGGTCCACATTTCAGCACGCCTCCCTACAGACATTTCTGGATCCACCCCTGCTAGCCCCCCCCCCCCCCTAAAATATAGGTTCTAGAACCGTGCCTGCCCCAGTGGGATAATCCCGTTTTTAATAAGATACCAAACATCATTATCGTCATGACTCAAATTATGCCGTTTCATCCGTTACACCAACTTTCGTTCTAGTCTAGAGGCCTCGAAGGTTTAGGTTTTTGCTGCCATGTGGTTTGTGCCTTTCTAAGAGTAATGTCTTCGATAACCATACTAAAATAAGTATCTTTGACTTTCATCTGGGAGACCGGATGATGATCGTCATTTTGTCCAGTCATTTTGACATCAAAAATAATAATAATAATAATAATGACATTTATAACGCGCCTTTTCCAAAGGTTACAAAGTGCAACCAAGGACACCTCTGATAGTAGGAAAAAGCAAAAAAGAACATTAACATGAATCAAGTGAACAGGTGGGTCTTAAGTGAGGATTTAAACATATGTATTAAGTTGCAGCATCGAACTGATTGTGGGATGGAGTTCCAGATTCTTGGACCCGCCACAGTGAGGGCCTTATCTCCTGCTTTCCTTGCAGTGCGAGGAATACGTAGGTTGCCCTGAAATGGTTGTTATTATACAGTCAAACCTGCCTTAGCGACCCACTGTACACAAAGACCACCTGTCCGTAACGACCATTTAAAAATCCCCCGCTGACAAATCCCGTTACTTAAGTCCTGTATAGAAAGACCACCTGCTTAACGCGACCAGCGACCGCACATTTTGCTTCCGTAGGAATGCTAAAGTCTGTACAGAACGACCGCAAGCCATGAAAAGCGACCACAAAATTCCCTCTTGTTTCTGTACAATGGTTGATTCCTTACTCAAAAGAAAAAGCAAGAGCCACATAAACCACTTCAGAGGATTAGTAAATCAACCACAGGATTTCCAGGACATTTTCAAGCTTAATCTGGGTCTGTGGTCGCATAAACAATGCCCCTATTGTCAGTGCAGCAGCTTGGATAGCTGAGCTCCATTCAACAAAATGCACTAGGCATGTACATGACTTGTGACCTGTCAGTCTCGTCCACTCACATACTTTTGTTATCATTAAAATAAATTAAATTAAAATTCGTTTACATGTTTTCTGAAAAACAAAAACACACACACATACTCAGGGATTTTTGTTATCAAGTTTATTGATCAACTTTATTTTTAAATCGTGAAAAAAAAAGATTTAATTTTTTTTGTGTGCTCTTAATCGACCTTTGAGCTTTTCAGCAAGTTTGCTAGCATGTGCAATTTTGCACATTGTGTTTACACAACATCGCGTAGATTACATCTGCCCTGTAATGCGAGTTTGTTCCAATATTGCTTTTGAAAAAGAAAGAATATGGCTCCATATTCTTCAAGCCCGAATCCTGGAAGGAATTATTGAAGTTAGCTTTCACTTCAAATGAAAATGGAGGTCATAACTTAAGTTGATCGTGTGATCGTCAAGAATCTTGGAAAGAGAAACTTTCCCTTCGTTGTAGGACCCTACTTTTACTTGTGGTTGTGCAGGTATTGCTGCTCCAGTACAGCTAATTCTCACATAATATTAACATAAAAATAATAAACACTTTTTGAAATCATTCACATTTATGACTTTTAATTTCATTTTTTTTTAAGGAATAGTTATGTTTTAAACAAACAACTAAAAGAACGAAGAACATACATGTACGTTTGGATAAGGCAAGTTTAGACTGTAATGACCCCCGCATTAAGTTAGGGAAGCCAAAGGGAGGGTAAATATTTCCAACCTGTACAGAGAGACCACCTGTCTATAAAGACCGCTTTTATTGTTTCCCTTTAGTGGTCTTTCTGTACAGGTTTGACTGTAGTTACACCTGTTAATAGTACGTTAAGGAGACATTTTGTCGTCAATAATAACACCTTAAAAATGTCACAGCTATATTTAGAGGCAAAATGTTACCGTCGCAAATAGGCAAGTTAAAAACATAAATTTATCAACATTAGTGGGGGAAGGATAGGGTAAAATTGGGGTTAGGAGACAATAAGTACACAGTAAGTATCTTTTGTTTTTATAAAAATGGGGAATGATACGAACAATGTACAATGTTGTCCTTAAAATGAATTTTGTTTCACTAAAATTAGAAAACAGAGCTGGAACGGCTAATCTTTGAAGCAAACCTGGCACATAAATTAGAAACTTTATGGTGGATTAAAAGAACAAATAAACATAAATTAAGAGAAGTGCCAAATAAATAGAACAGAAAAAGGAGTAAATTTGATGTAACAATCAAATTTGAATGTCAATATCAGTTTTCAAATAAACATATAGCAATTTGAGCTACAATGAACAGTAATGTAAACTTTTATTTCGCTGATTTCAGACCAAAAAACAACATAAAATTGGGCTTTAATGTGAAATCATTCTTTTCCTCCCACTTTTGGAAACTTTAGTTTGCGCTTAACAACAATGACAAACCAATTAAAATTGCTTAGAAACAATAATGGGCTTTACATGTTTGCTTATTTAATGTCAAACAAAATATCAAAATTTGGGTTAGATTGTTGGTTTTTTGTTCAATTGCAAGATGTGCCCCTTTTATTGATACACTTGTGACACGCCCCCAAAGGGGAAACAAATACGATTTGGCATGTAAATATTCTTTTCACCCCCGTGTACTATACTGGATGAAAAAACGCCAAAATTAACCGTTGCAGCTAGATTTCTGTTATTGCCCCCCCCCCCCACCCCCGAAAGAGGCAACATTCTGGAATGTTTTTATTCTCGTGATGCAGCACTCGGGTGAGCGTCCAAATGCGAAAAAGAAAAGTGACATTATGTGAATCGGTTTTTTGGGGGGCGCGCGATGCGATGCTATAGGACCGCTCATAATCCCACACCACAAGCCCACTGACTATTAGAGTAAGAATTTTGCCTGTATAGAGCCATGCCATTCACGGTACATTAGTGACAAGGTCAAAGTGACTGGTTATGAAAGACAGGGTCTCGTTCGGCAAATAGGTTCGCATGAGTTGGGGGTATTCTGCAATTGTGTCTGTCCTTTTTCTTTATGGACCATTGGGGCCAAACAGGTTGTTTTTTTCAGTTCGCAGTTTGTAACTATGTACGGGGGTGCACACACACGATACACATTAGCTCACACACGAGAGCTATAGGGAACTTCAAGGCCTCGTTATTTAAAGAACGGGTTTATATTCCCGTGACGCCTGGGAACTCCGCATTTTGTACAGGAAAGAGTCAACATTAATTTTGTGGTATCTGTTGCAATTTGACAGGTGGAATCAAAGAGATGGAATCGAAGCACCTGCCTCGTCTCTTCCAAGACCAGCACCGCTTCGACGCGGCATACAAAATCTACCACACCCATTGGGACATGTTAGGTGTCTACTCTCAATTGGTGGACAGAGTTTTTGACGAAGCGGTGGTGCGTTCGATCCAGGCCAAACTAGACGGGAAAGAAGAGCTACGGGTCCTGGGAGTGGGCAGCGGAGCTGGTGGGTATTAGATAGCAGTGTTGTAGGTCTCGAGACCGGTCTCGGTCTCGAGACCGGTCTCGAGACCACTTTTTGCTGGTCTCGGTCTCGGTCTCGGTCTCGGAAGCTGTGGTCTCGGTCTTGGTCTCGGTCTCGGTCCCCTTTGGTCTCGATATTTTGGCTGGTCTCGGGTCGAGACCGGCAATATTGTAGCTTTTACAGCTCGATCGATAACTTGTGTTCACTTCGTTCAGTACCGTTGTTATTTAAAACATTTGCTAGCCCGTAGATCAAGCTTGTTATATATCGCGGTCGGTTTGGACTCGCCTGCACGTTGGAAAGTCCCCAAAGTACATGTTAAGCTGCAGCAGTACCAGTTACTGAACGATTTGGAACAAGTTCGGCATTTATCTGTTGAATCGGCACATAAAGCAAAGTATAAACTTGTACATGTAACAATTTATGCAATAAGTGTCAACCATTTTCGGGGATTGTGTAGTTTAGCCCACCCCTGTGGGCGTAATCACTTGCATTTTGTATTCTGATATTAAATGAGGTGCTTCAAATTAGTTATATTTTCGACCCCACACAATGTTCTCTTAAATTTGGGACAGTATTTTGACAGTATTTTTAAAAGTAAATTTTTCTACCTGATTTTCCAGCTTTGAACTCATACACTCTTAGGGGCCATTCAGAATTTTCAGTGTTTTAAAATTTCGATCTTTTTTCCAAATTGTGGGTGGGTGGGTCAAGCTAAATAATTGAAAATCGAAATTCACTTTCCATGGAAAAAAAGATACAAAAACAAAGAAAGATAGATCTTTTGACTTGCAAACGCGCAAACGTTCCGATATCGCGATGCGTGTTTCTTTTCCAACTTCGTCCCCTGTATGTACTGTCAGTGGCATAGCCAGGAATTTTTCAGTGTGTGTGTGTGTGTGTGGGGGGGGGGGGGGAGGCTTGAACATTTAATGGGGGGGGGGGGGTGGCGTCATGTAGATCAATGATATTTTTTTTCGAAACTCAAAATCTCAGTGGGGGAGGCGATTGGGGGGTGGGCGACAAGGTTTCATGGAGGGGGGGGATGGCGCCTCCCACGCCCCCCCCCCCCCGTGGCTACGCCACTGCAGGTCATACAGTTAAAGTTTATGTAAACTTGTATGAAAAGTCAAAGAAAAGTAACTCTCATGATCTATTTGACACCAAGTTTGTGTTAACTTTCCGGTAACGCCCTAAAAAAATTATCCAGACAAATATGTTTATTTTGTAACATTTTATGTTCGTCTGTCGGTCTTCTATGGTGTTATGTTTACTTTTAGGTACCTTCAATGGTACTATGTTTAATTAACCTGTTCATTTGTTTAATTAAACTAATAACGCACATATAGTTGCCAAATATGGCACTAACAAGTTTGAGGTCGGCAATTTCGTCTTTAAAAATCTTGGTACGTCGGGTTACCGTACACACAATTGTCCTGGAAATAACAGTACCAAAGTACAGAAAGTCGTACGCAAGAGCTCCCCAGCAAGTATCGCTGACGCCATTAGGCCTATGATTCCAAAATTTTTCACTGTGTCACACAGTGAAATAACTAAAAAGCGTCGTTGTATTGTGGACACATAAAGCATTCAAGTCGCGTTCTTGCACACTTTCTGCAGGTCGACTGGATATCCTTGAACCACTGCCCCTGCTTTGCATAACAAGTGCACATGAATGAACGATTCGACTTTTATTCAAAGAAATTTCTATGTACAGTCACCAGACTCTATTCAGTAAAGTCCCCGTCAAAACGAAAGTTAACAATCCACGTGCATAACGCACGGCTACACCATCGTACAGTGTGGCAGGGACACCAACAAGTAAAACAACAATTAAACATTTAAAAAAAAAAATGGATAAATATTCTGATTGAATTTCGTTAAAAGATACTTTTTGGTGAGGTATCACATATTTTATCACATAAAAGAGGATGACCAACAACTTCACGCCGTCACTGAACTAGACACACATGTACATGTACATGGTGTTCAAGTACATGTACATGCAAGTGCATGTACATGTACAGTCATGTTCAGTTTTTTTATTAATCGAAATTAGGGGTGGGTGGGTGGGTCAAAATAATTTGGAAAAAAAGTCGAAATTTTAAAACATTGAACATTCTGAATGGCCCCTTACATGTGCAAGTTACCACCCACTGTTGCCATGAGAGTGTATGATGAGACCCCATTTTCTGGCTGCTCATTTTAAAGTACCCCATTATTCCTCAAAAATTAAAAATCCCGTTCAGAAAAAATTAAAAATCCATATCTGGCACATTCTGGCTACCACCTCGCAACTTGTGGGTCTACATGTACAAGTCCACATTCTATGACAAAAATTAAAAATTAATTCAACATTTTCTAGCTCCCATTTTTTAAAATCAAGTACACAAGTCTTGTTAGAAGTTAAGTCCTAAATTTATTTTAGGAAAAAAGAGGCAATGTAAAATTAAAATTGCATCTTTAAATATCCGTTAGAAGTCATAGCTGAACCAAGGGGGTGAATGTGGAGTTTAGGATCCGAGTTCCTATAACAGATGAAACATCTACCCTTAACTTTTTACTTTTGTCACGATTGGGTGTAGACAACATGTCAAAGCCCATGTTTCTTAAGTGTAACTACTTTTTGCTCAAGTAAGGTGTCATGTATCAATTTGTCAACACTGCCACTGGTCGAAATTTTGGTCTGTATTCTTTGTGAATAGAAAGGTAAATTTTTCAACTATAATAACGTGTCTTGTTTTTTTTAATTTCGACTTTTGTTATTCATTATCAGCGGTCTCGGTCTCGGTCTCGGTCTCGGTCTCGGTCTCGGACCATATTGGTCTCGGTCTCGGTCCGCCTTGAAGGGGCTGGTCTCGGTCTCGGTCTCGGTCTCGAATCTTCAGGTCTCGGTCTTGGTCTCGGTCTCGGACTATCCGGTCTCGACTACAACACTGTTAGATAGTCACTGAATATTAAGTCATTTGCCTTGCTGGACGGTACAAAAGTGGTGACGATGATGCCGAGTACCAAACTGTCGAGTACTACTCGCCTCCAAGTACTTTGACCCTTGAGAACGAGTACATCAGGTACCCGAATCCATGTAGGCCTACTTGAACCTTCGAGTACAAATGTGGGGAGTTAGGTTGGTGTAGCGGTACTTTCCTCGCCTTCCACCGCTGTGATCCGGGTTTGAACCCCATCTGGGCCAGTATATGTGGATTGGGTTTTCAGTCCCTGCCTGATTCCGTGGGTTTTCCTCAGAATGTTCCTCTGGGCTTGTCCTCCCACCTCTAAAACTGTAATTTCTTCTCTCTACAGGTTTCTTTAGGCTTTCGAGCTACAGTACCTAAGGCACTTTTGAGGAATCTTTGGTTTCATTACCAGAAAGAAATAAAATAAATAAAATAAATAAACTAAAAATGACAACAACTGTCAATACTTTTCTCGATCTTGTTGGCGGATCAGTCCAAGGAACAGCTCAAAGGAATTCAAAATAAATAAATATAAAATAAAATAGTCGGGCCCAAGTACTAATTTCTGAGTACGAGTACTGTGAATTTCAGTCCGAGTATTTTTATATTCGAGTGCGAGTACGAGTATTCTCAAAAAGTACGTCAGTACCGAGTACGAGTACTATAAGTACGAGTACTATTACTTACACTAAATTAAAATTATTATTTACTTTTATACGGGTGAAGTTGAACGAGGTGAAGGATATTTTTAGTACGCCAACGTGGCCACGTGATCTAGTTTACTGTCTACGTCACCTGAATCAGTTCAAAATAAGTCGACTTACATTCTACATTCAACTGCGTCATTCAGTTACAGTATACCTTTCAACTTTCATGGTCTTCTATTTTAAGGTGAGCCAGACTATATGATGTTGGAGAAAGTCAGGAAGCGATTCCCACGCATCAACAACCGTGTAGTTGAGCCCACTCCAGTACTCCTAGACCAGTACAAGGCATTGGCGCAATCCAAGGCCCACGAACTACAAGGTGTAATGTGTGACTGGCGGCAGCAGACGATCGAGCAATACGAAAAGGCGGGAGATTTGACCAAGTTTCATTTCATCAGTGCGGTGCAGAGCTTATATTACGTCGACAACCCGGAGAGCACGTTGATGTACATGTACGAGCGCTTAGAGCCTGGTGGGGTCATGTTGGTAGCAATCATATCAGGTATTTTCTTTACACCTTTTCGAGAAAAAAAATAAAGTAACGAACAGCTTTCAATTTTGTATCAATCTACAGGCCTGTCCGAGTACATGTATTCTGATTCGTCTCTAAAATCAACTACAGGTCATGATGACATGCGTAGGCCAAAATTACAACAAAATGTATCAGGTACCCTATTAGGTATAATTCTACCCCTCATTTTGGTAAAAAAAAACCCGATATTTTACAGAGGACAGCGGATGGATGCGCTATTGGAACCACTTTCCATCTTTTCATGACCAATTATTTGCCGGTGTCAACTCTGCCATCATTCGAAGCTGGCTGGACCGCCGAGGCATCCTGTACACTCGGTACAACCAACCCGCTCCTTTCGACATCACCGATTGCTTTGACCAAGCCTCAGAAGAAGGCAGCCTGCTCCTGGATGCCCTCACCATGGTCTTGAATTTCAGGAAGACGGCGCCTGAGGATCTTCAGACGTCGCTGCTGGATTATTTTGCCAACGAGAAAAAGGATGGAGGCAAAGTATTCATTGACGCTGACTGGGATGCTATTGTTGTGAGCAAGCCAATGACCGAGTAGGCTAAAAGGTTTTATTTTGACCGATTGGGGTGCAGTGTGTTAACAGGTTTTTTTAATGATTTGAACATTACCGATTTACTAGGTTTTATTTTTAGATTGAAGTAAAACTACTCATTGGTCCAATAAACATGCTATAATTTCGATTATAAAAATTGTAAACAGAAATGGCGTAGGTACAGCGCCCTCCATCGCTCAGAAATGGTCAATTTATTACTGGAGGGTGCACGCCTGTAAATAGACCAAAAATCCGTCCGCCGAGCTCATGAATAAAAGTTATGCCCTCAAAATATTCTATATTAGAGAGTTCTGAGAACCATGGAATTGGGGAATTGAAGACATGTGGCACTGAACCTCTGGCCTGGACTTGGAGCTTCCAATTCTGAGCATTTTGGATGCAATCTGGCCCGAAAGTGGCGCTATTTAGCCATGTTGTGGAGGGATTCTTTTTCAAAATGGCTACTTTTCCAGTTCGGGAAACATCATTCGTTTTAGGGGTGTTCTTATTTGGGTGAGAATATCTCAAAAAGTCAATGGTCAACCCACCCAAAATTGAAAAGAAAATGAAAGATGACATGTTGATCATCATTTTTCTGTGCAGCTTGAATACCTGTGAGAGTTCTGAGTATTTTTAAATGAATTTTGAAGTATGGACATTTAGCACTAGTGTCTATGGGATTTTTTTTGCAGGCGCGCAACCTGGAGTAAACAGGTTGAGGTTCAGGTTTATTTTCCATACTATAAGGCAAGTAAAATACAAGGGAAAACACTTTAACAGAACTTAAAATAATAGTATGGGGAGATCAGACAAGAAGCCGAAGCTTGTACTAGGTCTTCCCCTTCACACAAAATACATATACATGTAGTTATAATAATTCATGATTAATATAAATAATAATTAATAAACATTATTACATTAAATTAATCAATTCATGCTGACCTAACAAAACCAATAAATGCATGTACTAAATTACCATCCTTAACTTACAGTGTGTTATTTATGTCGTTAATTTTCAATTAAAGTAATAATTATTCCTACAAATTTCCATTAGGGAGACACGTTAGCGTAGAAATTTCGATATTAGGGAGACACGGGCTTAATAGGGAGACACCTAGGTGTCTCCCTATTGGCGCAGCCCCCCTTTAGAGGAAAAATTTTGTTGTCGAAATTAGGTTATATTTGTTGCTCGTGGTCTAATTAGTAAAAATACCGAAATTTGTGGAAAAAGGACAAGGGAATATTGGGTTAGGGCACATTTAATTCGGAAATTTTTTGTGCACAAGTCTATGGGAAAGTCTCCCTATTACCCCATTGCCGGTAATTATTATTCTCTTAATTACATCAACCGCAGAGAAGATTTTGTTTTCTTTTATAAATACCGCGTTCCGAAGTCAGTGGGCAGGAAGATCGACTTTGTTCCAAAGGAGGAGTCCCTGGAGTATATCAGTTGAAAGGTGTAGGGATGCTCTAACTTAATGTCGTAATTATGAATATTAGTGTTCGTCCCTTACCCCCAAAACCTGATTTTATATTCAAAGGTAGTGTATCTTTTTCAGACTTGAATGTTCAAGTCTGCCCGGACTAGACTGTACTTTATCAACTAAATCAATCAAGGCAAATTGAGTCGAATATTTGGCCCTGAAGCCATATTGAGATTGTGACAGTATGTTAGATTTAGCGACACTATGTTAATACTGTTATAATAGTCAGTAGTTTCCTTCTCACAATTACATAAGACACATTTGTTATCTGCCACCCTGTTCATCGTCATAAGAACATCCTTAGTTGGAATAATCCTGTTTTTAATACGATACCAAAAAATCCTTACCGTCATGATTCATTATGCTGTTTCATGCGTTAACCTTCGTTCCAGTCTATACATGAAGAGGACTCGAAATGTTAGGTTTCTGCTGCCATGAGGTATGTGCCTTTCTAAGAGTAACGTCTTCGATAACCATACTAAAATAAGTATCTTGGACTTTCATCTGAGAGACCGGATGATGATCGTCATTTTTGTCCAGTCATTTTGACATCAAAAAGTTACTGAAATGGTTGTTATTATAGTTACACCTGTACGTTAAGGAGACATTGTGTCGTCATTAATTATACCTTAAAATGTCACAGTTCCTATTTAGAGGCAAAATGTTAGCGTCGCAAATAGGCTATAGATCGGTTGCTCGTTGCCCAAAACATAAAATTATCAACATTCGTGGTAGGATCACTTAAAGCTATAGTCCATCATTTGCAGCCATCCGAAAAGTAACTGGCGTAATTATTGTTGAAAAACAAACTTAGTTGAAAGATAGTAAGGGAACTAAACTCCCTGTGAAATTATTCTTTCTGGGAAGCTCTCATTTTGAAGTAATCAACGAAAGAAGGTATTTCCAACGGTGATTCTTAAGAAGCACCGTAGGAAAATTTAAATTAGTAGTTCGTTTTGTTATTCAGCGCAGCACGCGCAAGTATTGGAACGACGCACACTCGTGCGCGGTTGTTATAATTCGTCGGATCAGTGCGCGACGTCGCGTAAAGCTGCAATTCAAAACATGATTCAGTAACTTTTGATTTGAAATTGAGATCTTAGAATGCTGTTTTTCTCGGAATGTACAGCTGAAGCTTAGCTGAAACTTTATCAGGTTAGTTGCTTAGTATCCTTTATTAGATTTTGAACTCTTTTGTTGCTTCAGACGAACAAAATGCACAAATTACAAATGATGGACTATAGCTTTAAAGATAAAATTGGGGTTAGGAGACATTAAGTATGTACAGTTTTGTTTCGTTTTTATAAAAATGGGGAATGATAAGAAAAAATTACAATGTTGTCCTTAAAATCAATTTTGTTTCACTAAAATTATAGAACAGAGCTGGAACGGCTATTCTTTGAAGCAAACCTGGCACATAAATGAGAAACTTTAGGGTGGTTTGAAAATATATATATATATAAAAAATTAAGAAAAGTGCCAAACAAAAAGAACAGAAAATTAGTAAACTTGATATAACAATCAAATTTGAATGTTGATATCAGTTGTCAAATGAACATATAGCAATTTCAGATACATTTATAGATGAATAGTAGTGTAAACTTTTATTTCGCTGATTTCAGAAAAAACACAGAAATTTAGCCTTTAATGTGAAATCATTCTTTTCCTACCACTTTTTGAAATCTTAGTTTTACGCCTAAAAATGTGACACACCAGCTAAAATTTCACAGAAACAATAATGAGCTTTATATGTTTGTTTTATTTAATCTCTTAAAAAAATATATCTAAATTTGGGTTAGATTGTTGGTCTTTTGTTCAATTGCAAGATGTGCCCCCTTTTTAATGAAAACAATTGTGACACGCCCCCAAAGGAAAGCAAAAGTTTATGATTTGGCATGTGAACATTCTGTTCAACCCCGTTCACTAAACTGGATGGGAAAAAAACACACCAAGATTGCCCGTTACAGCTAGATTTTCTGTTAACACCATTTGCTCCCCCCACTTTTATAACCTGTGCCCCACCCCCGAAAGAGGCAAAATTCCGGAATGTTTTTATTCTCGTGATGTAGCACTTGGGTGAGCTGTCCAAATGCGCAAAAGAAAAGTGAAATTATGTGAATGTATTTTTGGGGGTTTTTTTTTGGTGCGCGCGAAGTCCCCCACTTTTTGATGTTATGGGACCGCACAAAAGTGGGTCAGAAACAAATTGCATCAAGTGGTGTGAACTTGTTATGGTATCCTGAGAGTTACAAATATATTGTACCCAAAATACATATGGGCACCCCACAAGCCCACTGACTATTAGCTTGCACATACGTCGTATTATTCATTCGGTGGCATTGATAGCGTATAGGTTTGGGTTGCCACCTTTGTACTGTATATCTTTTGCTTGCTCTATATAAAAAAAAAAGGCGACGTTTTGGTGTATACAACACGGCACAACAGTGATAAGGTCAAAGTGACTGTTCATGAAAGACAGAATCTCGTTCAGACAATATAGGTTCATATGAGTTGCGGGGTATTCTGCAATTTTCTATATGCATCAGTACTTTTCAGTTCGCAGTTTCTGTACAGGGGTGAAGGTAAGTTCAAGGCCTCGTTATTTAAAGAACAGGTTTATGCTGAAGCGGCGCCTGCATGGAACTCCGCATTTTGTGAAGAAAGAGTCGACATTAATTTTGTGGTATCTGTTGCAATTTGACAGGTGGAATCAAAAAGATGGAATCGAAGCACCTGCCTCGTCTCTTCCAAGACCAGCACCGCTTCGACGCGGCGTACAAAATCTACCACGCGCATTGGGACATGCTAGGTGTCTATTCTAAATGGGTGGACAGAGTTTTTGATGAAGCGGTGGTGCGATCGATCCAGGCCAAACTAGACGAGAAAGAAGAGCTACGGGTCCTGGGAGTGGGCAGCGGAGCTGGTGGGTATTAGATAGTCACTGAAAATTAAGTATTATGCCTTGCTGGACCTTACAAAAATGGTAATGATGATGCCGTGTACCGCTGAGTACCACTCGCATCCGAGTACTTTGACCCTTGAGAGCGAGTACATCAGGTACCCGAGTCCACGTAGCCGGCCTACTTGAACCTTCGAGTACAAATTTTGTGAGCCCACTTGGACCTCCGAGTACGATTACTTTATGGAGGAGTCAAGTGAAAACTGAATTTCCAGTCATGAGTGGAAATTAATGAAACTACCAATGCAGCAACATGGCCTATATGAATGGCATGGGCTATTTTTGAGCCATACATAAAACCGAGCATGTGCGTCCAAGTGAGGAGAATTAATTTATTGAAAACTAATTACTCGATAATTCCCCGAGTCCTAACGATCGAGTACGCATACGTTGATGACATGATGGAGTGCGATATCGAATATAGTCGAGCCCAAGTACTAATTGCCGAGTACGAGTACTCCGAGTATTTTGTTATTCGAGTGCGAGTACGAGTATTCTCATAAAGTACGTCAGTACCGAGTACGAGTACTATAGTACTTGCACTAAATTAAAATTATTGTTAATTTTATTCGCGTGAAGTTGAAAGATCATTTTAGTAGGCCCACGTGTATGTAGTTTCTACGTACGTCACTTGAATCAGCTCAAAATAAGTAGGCCTACATTCTACGTTCAACTGCGTCATTCACTTACAGTATATCTTTCAACTTTCATGGTTTCTGTTTAAGGTGAGCCAGACTATATGATGTTGGAGAAAGTCACGAAGCGATTCCTGCGCATCAACAACCGTGTAGTTGAGCCCACTCCATTACTCCTAGACCAGTACAGGGCATTGGCTCAATCCAAGGCCCACGAACTACAAGGTGTAATGTGTGACTGGCGGCAGCAGACGATCGAGCAATACGAAAAGGCGGGAGATTTGACCAAGTTTCATTTCATCAGTGCGGTGCAGAGCTTATATTACGTCGACAACCCGGAGAGCACGTTGATGTACATGTACGAGCGCTTAGAGCCTGGTGGGGTCATGTTGGTAGCAATCATATCAGGTATTTTATTCACACATTTTCGAGAAAAACAAATTAAAGTCACAAAAACCCCTCAATTTTGTATCAATCTGAAAGGGTGGTCAGTTTTAGAATCTGATTAAAGTCTCCAAATTCGACTACAAGTCACACGGCATGCTTCATCCAAATTACAAAAAATAACTGCAATAAGTTTGGAGCACCCTATTATAGTATTAATTATTATCGAAGAATATTATTCAACCCCTTATTTTGGTATAAAAATCGACATTTTACAGAGGACAGCGGATGTGTGCGCTATTGGAATCACTTTCCATCTCTTCATGACCAATCATTTACTGTTGTCAACTCTGCCATCATTCGAAGCTGGCTGGACCGCCGAGGCATCCTGTACACTCGGTACAACCAACCCGCTCCTTTCGACATCACCGATTGCTTCGACCAAGCCTCAGAAGAAGGCAGCCTGCTGCTGGATTCCCTCACCATGGTCTTGAATTTCAGGAAGACGGCGCCTGAGGATCTTCAGACGTCGCTGCTGGATTATTTTGCCAACGAGAAAAAGGATGGAGGCAAAGTATTCATTGACGCTGACTGGGATGCTATTGTTGTGAGCAAACCCCTGACCCAGTAGGTTTTAACAGCTTCCACAATCAAGATGAAAATATCCTCATCCTGAGAGCCAAATTGTCTTATTTCCCCCGATTTCTTAATTGTTTTAACCCCCCCCCCCCAATATACTACATGTACTTTCCGTGTTTGCTAGAGGGTAAGCAGAGGTACAGGACAGTGCTCAATAAAATAACCGTTCTCTTTTGATGAGATCATAGTTTTGAGCAGCACAATGTCCTTTGGTTTTGTCGTTCCCTTTGAAATTCCTTCGAAAGTACACATTTCCTGGAAAATCAGTGATATCTTATTCATCCATGGTGATACCTATAGATTCTGGCTTTTACTGTTGAAAAAAAAATGCGAGAATTCAGCGTTTTGGTATTCATGTATAGATTTGTAAATGCTTTATTCACAATTATTGATACCACACAATTCTTTGATATTTCTAATTTCAAAACATTTAAGAAAATAAAAAATACAGATCTAAATCGAATACTCTGTGCTTATCATTCTCTGCAGCAACATTTACTAATAAGTGACACAGAAATATAAACACAGAGGACATACCGCCAGTATTCTAAAATTTCCGGAAACTTTGACATCCAATAATATAACTACAATTTATTGCAATAGCTATCGGTAAAATGTTTTATATGGTTTATCGTCCAAATGAAAAAGTACTAAGTATATATATTTTTTGATATCCTACAATATCTCATTTACTTTCGAAGTCACAAAATAATCTTTTATTCTTAAATTATACTGGGCTTCAGTTAATGCCCTTACTTATTTAATCTGGCATATGTAAATATTGGGACAATGTGATTAAAAATATTGTGTATTTGCCTTGCGTATAATCTCTGTTCAAGGACAAAATGAAATGAATACATGATTTGGGAAAAAAATGGTAAGATGGTTCTGCATATCACTACTACATGAAATTAATTATTCTGTCAATCGTTTAAAGATATAGTCCTTTAATGCCACATAAAGAATTCTAAAGCATTTTAGTATAGGACATGTCAATAAATAGCTTATAGATCATTTATCACTGGCTAAATTATGTTAAGATTGTAAACCGTGAAATCTTTTTAATGCTATATATACTTTATTTTTAATATATTTCAAAACTCAACATTTAAAAAGATCAACACTTAAAAAATTATGGCATGAAATAAGTAATTTCTAACTGGCCATCACTTTACTATAACAAGACGCTTTTAATGTTAAGCCATACTGCTTTGTTATAAATGTTTAAATCAAAATCCATTATTTAACTCATCACAAGTTGGAGGGACACCTTTCATCTTTTGCAAAAAAAATATAGACTTTTAAAAGCTGTGACACGGATAAAAACAAAAGTGCTAATTGGCCTCCTAAAGACTCCTTCAACTAGAGACTTGTAGTGACTTCAGAACATATTTCAAACACGCTTGATTATTCACGTCTTAAAAGAAAGCTAGCCGAAACACAGGATGAAAACACTGCATTTAATCGTCACTTTGAAATGTACAATTGATACTATAATTTTACTGCAACACACTTGAACACACCTATTCTCAAATTTGTATCCTTGTGGAGACATTTCTTTGTTCTCGTGTAGTAAAGTGTTCAATTTTGAAAGTGAAGTTTCAAAATGCTCTTATTTTAACCAGAATTAGTTTCCTTGGCTGAAATTTGGACTTGATATCCCTTTTCTAAAACTCTTCCATTTGCGACAAATCAACCCACCTTGGAAATTCCTAGTTTTTGAGTAAAACCCATATATCTATTTCGTGAAAACCTTGTGGAGACCTATTCATCTATAGAAATTGCCCTGTGGAGACCTTTACAATGTTTTGTTCCCTATTGTGTGTGTGTGTCTCCACAAGGATACGAATTTGTAGTCAGAAGCACTCGAACACAACAACTAAGTTAATCTTCAAGCTCAATAGGAAACTTTTGTAGCTTTGTCTCAGACTTTTCTGATGAGGTAATGGAACAGCGGTGTCGGAGGAATGCGGGGGTCGTTGGATTCTCTTCCTACGATAGAGAATCGGTAGTATCCATATCCTTGCAGAGGGAGGATGTAAGTGACACTCTGTCCTTCAAATTGTGGGCGGACTCGGGATGAGGAGTTGAACGGGGCTTGTCCGCCGTAGAAGATCAATTCGTGAGCAGCGCTCAGCTTTAATGACAGCCCCATGACGATTTGGACGCTGCTGTCGGGTGTCACAATGTAAGGGTCTGGGTGGGTGAAGGCTGACATCCCGAGGGACTGGCAGGCTGCAGTTGGACCCCACTGGTCACCCCTATTTAGTAATGGAATGGCCGAGACTGTCCTGACACATGTACATACAAGTAGGTAGCTGCACACGTGGACGGGGGTGTTCATTCCGGGGTACTGGGCGAAGACGTGCAACCCGTATCGCCCAACTTTCGGCGGCGAGACTAAAAAGATCAGTTTGTCGCCAACTTCTCGTTGCATGCTGAACACCGATAACTGCTCAGGCTTTATGCCCCAAGATGTCAAGGTGTGGGTGAAGCGAAGGTCCTCCTGTGTCGACTCGAAACAAACCTCAATATCTGCGGCATCCTGGGGCATGATCACGGCCGTCCGGTGGGTCAAGGGTGTCAGTCCAACGTTCATGACCCCGATCGGACCCCAGTGGTCGGCAGGAGATGACGGAAGCGGAAGCTGGTCACTACAGGGGGCGTTATTGTGAACCAAGAAACGACAGATTTCTGTCTCGGTCTCCAGGTTAATTTCTCCGTCGAGGTACTGGCGTTTCGCATACAGAGTGAGATAATAGTCACCTACAGCACAAAGTAAAGAAACAATAGTATGATTGAGGTTCAGGCCTGGTAACATTGGACTAGGATCAAACCAACAAGCAAGCAACTTACAGATAAACAAATGGGCAAGATTGAATGACGATCCATGGTATTTGGAAAAGAAAAGAAAAATCTGAACAAAAACTGAAGGCTTTTCCGCAACAACGCAGAAAAGCTAACCAGCATATAAAGAAATTAAAAACAAATCACAAAGCTACACCATAAGTACACCTATAAAAGAAAAACAAAATGCCCAAACAAACAAATCAAATGCAACCGACAAACTATGACCAACTGACCTGGTTCCGGGATGCGGATGTAACAAGCCATGATATTCTCCGCAATCTGATGGATGAAATCAAACTGGTCGTAAGGTACCCCAGCTCTACTGAACTCTCTCCCTCCCTGCACGGTGGACAGACGGGAGGACAGGATCAGGCCTGGGGGGCACTGGACTCGGATGTCCAACTCACCGTTTGGACAGCCTATCACCTGGATAAAATAACATATAAAAAGGAGTTTTAACTAGTTGGGCAATTCCATGGTTACTCACGTTACGAAAATGTAACGTGAGTAATCGATTTTGTGCGTCTTGTTTATCATACATAACACATTTTTCTGGATGTCATCTTTGGTGCTTAGGTAGGTCTAGGTCTACTCTATCTACCATGGGGATAACAGTTATTAAACCTTTTCAGTAAGGTTATTACAGCCCAGGGAAACTAGTACATCAAAAATGTAAGCCAAAAATGGCATCCAGACAGCAAGTCAAGACGTCGGCTCAAATGTCATTTGGGATTGTTTTAATTCCGACTAATTGAGACAATTAACTCTGTACTCTGTTAATTAAAGGGTCATTACGACCTGAAATCCCTGAAAGCTTAATGTTTTGGATTGTTTACTCATCTATTTCAAAGGTCTGGTTGAAAGGAAACTACCGTTCCAGAGAAAAGGAAAAAAACAAATGAAGTTTGCATCTGACACGGCAGACATTTTGTGGCATACGCAAATTGTCCATCAAATTTACGGTACACGTTGTGTGTGTACTTAACTGACAACACTCATTTTTCAAAATTATTTTGGTACAAATAACAACTTTGGCAGTCACAAATCAACCACTAGAGTAGTTGACCAATTGTCCTCAATTGAATTTGTTCATTACTTGAGAAATCTGAGTTGCGAGATCTGAAGATGTCGACATAACCTTGGACATACATAGTTGGTACAAAAACTGACAATGGTCAGTTTGATGATAGATGAAACTTAAGCCCTTTTCACACTAGAGCCTCTCAACCCGGGTCGAACTCAACCCTGGACGAACCCAGTACCGCCCCGTGTTGAGTTTTGATTTTTCAACCCTGCGTTCAACACTTGTTTCATGCAAATCAAGCTTATCATGCTCAGTTACTACTGTTTTGAACCCTAGCAAGACTTTCAACCTGGCTTGAAAATCTCAACCCTGGTCTGGAGCAGGGTTGAGTTCAACCCGGGGCGAAATCAATCTCAGGGTTGACGCAGGGTTGAAATTTTTTAAGTGTGAAACGATGGATGTTTTCAACCCTGCGTCAACCCTGCATCAACCCCCATATTTACGAACAACTTACTGCTGATTTGTGGCTGAGAAGTTCAAAGCCAAACTTGAAGAAGTCCGGTTTGAGTGGGACACAAGCGTTGAAATCCTGCAACGAGAACTGCTGGTTCAGCAACTGCCAGGCGGGGTCGTTTGGAAAGTGACTCCGGATGATCACGTCGGGATCGGCCAGGAAGTAATGCTCGTCGTATTCGAATCGGAAGGGGTCAAAGGCCACGGAGCCCTGGATGTGAGACACTCCCCAGTTGCAGTCGATGAAGTGCCAGTAGCCATCGATACGGACAGCGTTCCAGGTGTGCTGGTAGGGTGGGTCGCTGGGCGTGATGTACTGGCCGGGGTTGTAGCCTTTGTTCTTGGCACAGCCGTTGATTTCCACACAGCGGAGGCCGACAAATCTGAGGTAAGATTGACAATCGTAAAAGGATGTTGAACTGGAGACATGTCCTCATATCATACGTGCATGTGAGGACAGGCAAAAACTTTAAAGTTTCTGAAATGTGGTTTGAGAAAGCTGCCTTCCCTGCTGTCTGTTTGAAGAAAATTCCAGTTGAAACCAGTTCAATTGGAAATTGGTGACTGGTTTTGAACTGGTTTCACTGGTTTCAAACTGGTTTAAAACCAGTTAAACCAGTTTGTACCAGTTTAAACACCAGTTAAATCAGTTCAAAACCAGTCACCAATTTCCAGTATAACTGCTACCAGTTGAAACCAGTTGAACTGGAACCAAAGTAAGATGAGATTTGAAAGTTTGCATGGTGGAAAGATACTAAGACAAGATAAGCTTGCGGTAGCACCAGGTGAATAAATCTCTTTTGTGAGCATTCTCCTGACGACGGGCAGAGCATACTGTTCGAAACGTGAGTCCCTCCGGTTCTTTTCAGAACCACACATACTCACAAAAGAGATTTATTCACATGGTGCTACCGCAAACTTATCTTGTATTTGAACTGGAACCAGTTGAAACCAGTTGAACTGGTACCAGTTGAAACCAGTTGAATCAGTTGAACTCGTTTTAACTGGAATTTTCACCTAGGAATTGGAATGCCGTGCATTTTTTTAATGCATGTTGCTATTCATATGACTATTGAGTTTAAACTCTATAGGATGTTTGTTTACTACATGTAAGGTCATGTCAAAAGTGGGTACTTTGGTATTTACCAACTACAACTTCTTGAATTTCTCAAAAGCATCAATATGAAAGTGGCATATACATGCTTTGCATTCAGCGGCCATCTTTGAGGCATTTTTTTAAATTCAGGAATAATGTATACACAAGGGGTCTACCCATGTGTATCCAGTGGACCAAAATTAAAAAAAGTAAAGTCTGTCACGAGTTAATGGGGCCCATCAGGCCGGCGTTTATCTCCAGTTTCAGCAGCATGAAACGACCAATATATTTATGCTCCCCCTGGATGGGATGCTAGTCCATCGCAGGTTACTCCCCAGCTAATGCCGGTACCCATTTATACTCCTGGGTGGAGAGAGGCAAGTGGGGTGAAGAGGCTTGCCCAAGGACACAACATATGACAAGCAGCTGGATGCGAACCCCTGACCCTCTGATCATGAGTCGTGAAGCCTAACCACAAGGCCAAACTCCCAGTGGACCAAAATCACACACTCCAAACATGTTAGCGACGTATAAGAGACTTTACCTGCACATGCGCATGAACAGTGTAGAGAACGTAATCTTCTTGTGGTACAACCCTTTCAGCACACCGAGTGGCGTGTCATCGATGATGTCATTGAGGTCCATCTCGTCGCAGTTCTGCGCCGTGATCCATCGGCAGATCAGCCGGACTTTCTCTAGCTCCGTGCCGCCGATACTGACCAGCTCGTTGACCAGGGAGGAGAAGGTGGGCTGGGTGACCAGACTGACCGTCTGTGCAAGCTAGCAACAGGCCAACACGGAGAAGATTAACATCTTCATTTCTTTCATTCAAACTTTAAAAAAAATGTGTTGTATTGCCATCGTTTAGTATGTGACCAAATCCCTTATAAAAAATTAGTACTAAGAACATTTGTCATCTGATTATTTGCTAATTTTTTTATGCATATTCGCCCTGAACAAGGCTTAAAGCCACTCCAGGTAGACACTGGCATACACCACCATCTTTTTCTCACAAAAATTTGGTTATAAGTGGTCAGAAATTGCCTCAGATCGCACCACAAAGCATCTAGAATTCAACCAATTTTTGGGGCCCTTAAGCGGGCCCCGAGCACAATTGCCGTAAATGGTAGGACCCACTTTTTGGGGGACCAAACTTTTTTTTGCCCCCCCCCCAAAAAAATTGTGCTCTGGACCCCCCCCCCCCCCCCCCTTGCCAGTTTTCAAAACCAGGCAATTTCTAGCTTTCGGTCTTACATATGTATAAAGTAAGATAGATTCAAAATTCATCCAAAGAAAACAAGAAGAAATATTGGACAAGAGTTGGATGTGATGATGATTCTCTTCATTTTTGTTGCACCTGCTGAAACCCATTTTCCTGATTTTGAAAACACCTTGATTTGCCACGGGGCATCAAATAGAAGACCGCATCCAAATTAAGTGACTATGACTTGCATTAACACATGCACCTATTTAAGCGGCTGAAGCCACTTTCCATAGACCTGGGCCCAATTTCACGGCGCTGCTTAGCACAAAAATTTGCTTAGCACTAAAAAAGTCTGGCTTATAAAAGCAGGTTAACGGCCAAAACCCCATGTGATTTTCAATGCTAAGCAAACAACAGCTGAATACTAATCACGAGAAATCTACATCACGTGGAGCTTTGGCTGGTAACCTGCTTTTATAAGCCAGCCTTTTTTTGTGCTAAGCAAATTTTTGTGCTTAGTTGCTGCTAGCCGTAGCCACATCATTTGGAAGCAGCCTTATAATCCACAACGTTCGCAAGTCTACCTTGATGGCGTGAGCATCCAGGGTCCTGAAGATGTCCGGGTTGGTGTACAGCTCTCTCTTTCTCTTGACTGGATACTCCTCCTTGAGAGGCACCACGACGAGGGAGGTGGACTGAGTAGGCGTGGTCCAGAGCTGGGTCACCTCGTTGGGAATCGCAACGGCATCCGTATCTAATTCATCCACCTTGATACAAATGAATCGATAAAGTGAGGCTCAGGTTCAAATTAGCCATCCAACCCTAGCAGTCTTTGTAGTGAAGTGGTCGAGTCATCGACAGGAGGTCATGGCTTCGAGTCCTGCCGCGCCTCAGAAAGCCTGTTGAAATGTTTTCCCAAGTTGTCAAAAAATCATTTATTGTGGACTAATTCAGAGTTGTAACGAGTCACTGATTTTTGTGACTCGAGTCGAGTCGAGTCATTTTAAAGAAGTGACTCGAGTCGAGTCGAGTCATTAGGTCAACAAGGTCGAGTCGAGTCGAGTCGAGTCACAGAGTGTGGTCGAGTCGAGTCGAGTCGAGTCACAAATATTTGAACACTAAATTACAATAAAAAGCAACAAACACAAGAGAGAAAGAATACAAGGCACCAGTCTATTACGGAAATCCAAAGACATAAAGTATGCTGTATGGTACCCAACCAACAGTTTCCATTGCTAGCTCACGTCACAGATAAGAAGATGTGAAACTTCGGTCTTGTAACTGGTTTGGCTTCGGGTCTAGATTTTGTTGTTCGCTGATCGCTGACAACGTTAAAACCTAATTGCATTATACAAAACTGTTTCTGATTATTTAAAGGTGGGCCCGTCCGTATCCATTTTTGTGTGTGAAATCGGGACATGAATTTAGCCAGCGTTTCACCAAGAACTTCAAAATCGCCCGAAACCAATGATGAAACCACGGATTGAGAAATGCGTTTTAAGTCTGGTTCCGGGTTTAGCATTACATGCTATAGAACCACAAGGTGGGAGTCCGCGACACGGTGTATGTTTGTTGTTTCATTATGGAGGAAGGAAACAGACTGCCGCTGTATATAAACGTACATTATTCGCGAACATTAACGTGACGTGAACAAAAACTGGCAACGCGAACGGCGCAGCGTAAGTCATTGCAAATATTTTTCGCAAGTAAGCTTTGCTTTTATTTTGGGACTCGAGTCTTATTAGCCTTCCTCGAGTCGAGTCGAGTCATTCTGATGAGGGACTCGAGTCGAGTCGAGTCATTTGCTCGCAGTGACTCGAGTCGAGTCGAGTCATTTACCCGTCGGGACTCGAGTCGAGTCGAGTCGCCAAAAAATGTGACTCGAGTCGGACTCGAGTCGAGTCATTGACTCGAGTCATTACAACTCTGTGGACTATCGTGATATGAGTATTACAAGCATGATTGTAAATCTATTTATAAATTTGGGCTTCCTGGCACAAAGTTCAGTAGATGTGTCGATATCTCAAACACTGGACTAAATTTTCACAGGTATTGTGGAATTTGAGGTAGGTGATTTTTTTATTGGTTTTGCTGTTGACCAACTTAATTTCATGAACACATATGTACTCAAGCTCTGTAAACAAGAGCTTGCAGGAAAACATGTACAAGCTTGCACTGTGGGAATGAAAACCCATGACCTCCTGCTTACTATACAGATGTCTCACCTCTAGACCACCAAGCTTGGCAGGGTCGACCGGCTGGCCAGGTTCATCATGCAAAATGGGTGATACATTTTAAGGTTTAAAATTCGGTTATTATTATCTCTACATTTTTATTCTTGTAAGGTAAGATTGAATAGATGTACCCCTTCGTCAGAGTCGTACATGTCTTCTTGGGTCTCGGCGAGCTGAGTTGCCACAACTGCTACACCAGACGCCTTCTGACCTCGCTCTATTCTCTTGGCCTCAAGCACCTTCCAAAACCAATCAAGAAACAGGAAAACAATATATAAGAGAACCCGGTAATTGAGGTATGGGAAATTTCAAAGTTGATACAGTTCAATTTCTCCGAACCTTAGAAAGTTTAAAATGGGGCCAGAAATTACTTTGAGCCAGCTGAGTAAGCCTTGGCCTGATAGGGCAGGGTGGCATGGGTGGCTGGTGCGTAAAGCGATCGCCTCTCACCAATATGGCCCGGGTTTGAATCCCGGCTCAGACCATGTGAGTAGAGTTGTTTGTTGATTCTCTCCTGCGCCACGAGGGTTTTTCTCTGGTTTTTCTCCCGCAAAAATCAACAGTTTCGATATGTGGCTGTGCTCCGTGGTCATACATGGGTGGTAAGGCGGCTGCCTAAGGCACCTTTACATGCCTGCGGCTCAACCATGTTGTAGCTGATCCTTCGCAATTTAGCTTCTCAGCTGCGAGTAAGGATGAGCAGCCCCCAAAATCTTTTCTTTTTATCAGTCTATTAACTTGAGATTTCACTTGTGATTTATCTTGTGATTGAATCAGTTACAAATCTGTTCTTTGATGAGTTTTGATCTACGGTAGAGAAGTGCACTCTGAATCATTTACGGGTGAGACGTACACTGCATGCATACAACATGTCTCTCCTTGGTGTCCCCCGAGTTGGCCACACTGTGTAATCTACAGTACCTCCAGCATTCTCCTGCATATATAATAAACTATGGGCAAGTTTGAGCAAGGATCAGTGGTTAACTAGTGCTTGGTTCATGACGTACCTAGCGCATGCGCACTCAAGTTGAAGTGTGAACGACTCTAGTCGAACTATTGTCATGTCAACGACCGTCAAAAAATGGCGGTCGCACAATTATTCAACACTTGTTGTTTCTCTTTATTTACACAATAAACAGTGATTGTGTATAGTTTAGGACATCTTACATAATCGCCAATATTACTGTACAATGGTGACACAAGTGACAAAATCGAAAACTAACATTTATGTTTCGTTATTTTTGCCATTTTTGTTGATGGTCCCCTCTGCACTATGCTATGAAAATTGCTATTGATAACCAGCTATAAATCATGGCATGACCAGCCGCGGTAGGCTGGTCCTGAATAGTTGACTAGGGTAGTCAAGCATCGTCGACTAGACAGACTTCGGGCTAACTTAGTCGAACTATGGTTAACAATAGTTCTTGCGCGAACTTGGCCTAGGAGGACCTATACTTACCTGGCGCATGCGTTCTCTCTCCCTGTCCAATTTACTCTGGAATATCCCCATATTCTTCTCATGCTCCTCAATCATCTTCTTGTATTCAGACTCCGACACCTTGCCCTTGCGACTGTTGATATTGGACCGGATGTCGCTGTCATAGCGTGAAATGTCCTCCTGCAGATTGGACAGGTCTGCTTCGGTGTTGTGAGATTCACTGTCCTCCTGAAGAAAAAAATGGGTTTCAATGACGATCTCATGATCTCAGAGTATGATCTCAGAGTAACAATTATAGAAATCATCGATCAAATGACTTCTGTAGAATCTAATAGATCTTGAGCTTAGAGAAATGGCATTCCCCCATACCAACACTAGTAACCACTCTAAGGCCAAAAAAAAAAGTCTCCGGTTTCTGGTATGGAGCTTGCCCAAAAAGTGGTGCGGCGACGCGGCTTTTTTTTTTTTTTAACCTGTTTTTTTTTTTTTTTGGCTTCAAATGTCTGCTGATGACTGCAAATGGTGCCCGACTTAACTTATTGCAAATATATGGGAGTCCAGAGAGGCCACATAAAGCTTATTCTCGATCATAACCCCATCTAAAAACACGTTAAAATTGTGCAGCAGCAGGATTCCAGTCAAACCAGTGAGTTTGGCGGTTTTGAGACATCATCTTGTATTGAAAAAAAAACTTTTTCATTTTGCCGACACGCATGGCTGCGGCGACGCGCGCACATACCAGAAACTGGAGACTTTTTTTTGGGCCTAATTGTTGGATTCTATAAATTTTGCACGTATAATTGCTTTCTCAATGTGATAAATGCTCACGTCATAAATACGTGAAGTCATAAATACGTGAAGTCATAAATACGTGAGACAGTTTACCAATTCCTATTGGTCGAGTTGGTCGAGAGCCCGTCATGTGGGTGGTTTTAAACCGCCGGTAAAGCACTGCTGCGTTCTGCGCCACATCGGGCAGTATGCAACGCGCACCCCAATTTCCATTTACATTTTTAGCACTACTCGCATGAGGTACATACCATAGACATGGCCAGAGGGGTGTTTCACAAAATATGAAGTAAAAATCATTGGAAATTTGTTTATTTTGACTTTTGAATTTTTTTCTGAAAGGTATTTCGGTGAGGGTCATTATCCACGTCCAGGCCCCTAGCCAGTTTTAAACATACTTGTTTAAAACCGGCCAAGCACATATTTTATTCCCTTATGAATAATCACAAGTAATTTTAAAATTGCACGATCAGCCAACTTAAGTGGAGCTGCCAACAAGCACAACAATTGGCTTGGTTCAGATATTGTATGCTAAGTACAATTGGGTTCCAGTCAAAATTGCATACAATGTATACAATGTATACAATGTATCAAATGTATACAATGTTTACAGTGTATACAATGTATACAAGGTATACAGTGTATACAATGTATACAGTGTATACAATGTATACAGTGCATACAATGTATACAGTGTATACAATCTATACAATGTATACAATGTATACAACGTATACTACTTGTCACTGCTTCCAAGCCACATTTTGCTTACCAGTTTTGCCATGAGTCTCATTCTCTCCTCCTCCTCGGCCTTCCACTGCGACTTCCGTCGCTGTCTTGCCGACAGCTTGTCCGAGAAGTTCCTCTTCTGTCTCTCCATGGCCATGGATAGTCTTCCCTTCAGCCGCTCCATGTCGCGCTCGTGCTGGGCTAGGAGTCGCTGGTACTCCGCATCGGACATCTCTGATTTTCTCTTGGTGACCTCATTGGCGAAGGTCGCCTCTTTCTGAAGGATCTCCTGCTCCAGTTTGGAAACTTCCTGAGAATTCAAGAAGATTTGGGGCAGTTAGGGAAAACTTCTTAGAAGACGTACCTCATGGATTTTATGTTAAGTTAAACCAAAAAGGCTGCGTTGGATTTGAATTCATTTTTTTCTTTCTAGTAATGAGACTACTCTGCAGACCTGCAGAGAAGATGTTGACGAAATCTTCAGTCTTACATTGGGAAGAAAACTTGAGAAAATCTACAGAATAAGCCGGGAGGAATTAAACCCACATCACATGTCAGCCTTGGTGGATTCAATCCCGGGTCACAGAGCTGACAGGTAACACTGCGTCCACCTGACCCTCCTTTTGAGACCACACTTGTTCTAATCCTACCTGAGATTTGTCCGCATTCCGCTCCTTAGCACTTGGTTGCCTGAACCTCCTCGCCTCCAACTTATCCTTCAACCTTTTGTCCATCCTCTCTCTCTCAGCAGCCAGCATCACCGCAAGCTCCTCTTGCTCCTTCTTGTGCTCCTCCATGAGACGCTTGTACTCCTTGTCCGACATCTTGGATTTCTTGGCTTTCATCTCCTCCTTGAACTTGGCATCGTTGAGGTCAAGGGTGAGCTGGAGCTGCTTGATGTCTTCGGCGGAGAGCGACGGTGATTCCTCATCTTGCTCCTTGTTGCCCTTCCTCCTCCTGGCCTCCAGTTTATCCATCAGCACCCGCCTCATCCGTTCCTTCTCCGCATCCAGTTGCTCCTGAAGGAGATCCATCTCGCGTTTGTGCTCATCGATGAGTCGCTGGGTATCGTCTGCAGACATCGTTCCTTTCGCATCCTTCGATCGCTTCTTGAAGTCCATGGCCTTCTGGTTCAGGGCAAGCTGCAGATCCTTGACCTCATCCGCTGATAAGGGGTCACTGACCTGTACAGGATGCATTAACCATAGTAAACAAAGACATGAGTGTATTCATTGGGACTGGACCGGCAATATATAGGGTGATAATAATTTTAGGGACCATATTGTCAATTTAAGAAAAGGACTGAAAATTGGGCAATGGGTGTAAAAGATGCATTTCTCTCAATACTGAAAATGTGTTTCTTTGATACTCAAAAGGTCTGAATTCCGACAAAAGTCTGAAAAATCTTATGCCTGATAATTGCTAACGGGGAGACTTGTAGCTGTGCTGTGATCGAGCCAATCATAAGTCATGCTACAAGTGAGGTCACGAGAAAGCGGGGACGACAATGAGAAAGGAATGTCTGAATTGTAATATAGCTAAAGAGGCATATAGGATCATTTGCATTTATCCCAGAAGTAACCTACTGAGTTATTATCCAAAAGCTACTTGGATTAAAGATCGTACTGGTACTAAACACCCCGTGAAATTATTCTGTCTGGCTTGCTGTCATTTAGAAGAAATCAAGAAATGTAGGTGATTTCCGACGATCAGTCAATTGCCTGGTTTTTGCGAATAACGAGTGCAACAGACGAATCGTGTTTCGTGATGAAAAGGTTGTGCATGGTTTTTTTCCACTATTTTCTCGAAAAGTGTAATATCCACTGAGCTGAAACGCCAACAGGTTAGGTTTTGAGCATTCCTTTTTGGATGTTTAAGTGGTGTTATTATTGGAAACGAACCAACTGTTTGAAAAGCAAATGATCCTGAACGATTTGAATAGTTTTGGAAAGATTTTATGTTCCTGACCTCCACATTCCCCTTCTTGCCCTTCAGTTCTCTCCTAGCAGCGAGCTTATCCAACAGCGACTGTCGCTGTCTCTCTCGCTGCAGGTCCAGTTTCTGCTGCAGCTTGTTCAGCTCCTCCTTGTGCACAGCAATCAGTTTCTTGTACTCCTCTTCCGACAGCTGTGATTTCTTGTCTCGTAGCTCGGCCTCAAATTGGACCTGGCGACGTTTCAGGTCCGCTTCTAGCTGCTGGATCTCCTCAGGCGACATTACTTGCTGGATGCATTAAAAACCAAAATACAATAGTTATACTGAATAAAGAAACAAACCTAACTTTCAGAATGGTATTGGAAAGTCGTGTCGAACTAAATCTTTCCTAAGATCTGCACTGAATACATGAAAGTTCGACGTTTGGAGCAACGTACTGCACAAGACTACACTGCACATGCAGTCAATTGGATCAACTCCAAAATGTCCCGATTTCAGACATTGTTTTTATTCAAAGAAAACGAATGCATATGTGACGAGTGTAAAAATACCCCCCCCCCCCCGCCCATTATTTTTTTGGTTTATCCCTATTGGGTTTGACTCTTTAGGCTATTTATATTCAAATTAGCTGAGCGCCCTCAACGTCAGGTTTCGGGCACTCCTTGCTGCGTCATTCACTCATTGTCGAAGACCAGCTAACATTGTCTTGTCATTTTCTGTCTTCGCCAATACAGAATAAATTTGTTGCCGATATCTACTCAAGAACATTGTCCGGTTCCTCATTTTAAAAGTGCCACACATAAAATTTGAATGTATAAAACAAAAGTCTTTTTCAGTCAACGTTAGTCTTTCTTTATGCTTTTGGATTTGGTGTTATTTTGGAATTCCATTCTGATATGGGTATAAGAATCCATAAGTAGGAGGCTGAGGGTTCGAACCCCACCTGAGCAAGCTAGATTGTAAATATATTTTCTCACAAATTCTTAAACAGCACTGAGTATAAGTTTATAACATTGACCCTAACCCATTCTACGAGCCTTCCTCACTCTTGCAAAATCCAACACCATAAGGTAACGTAACACCCAAACTGTTGGACTCTGTAATGGTGGTATGCCTGACCCATGTAAAGCATAATCAGTTTACTAGTGCAGTCCTCACTCCAACAGAATCTAACAAACATGCAGATGGATTTTGAAGGGTTGGGGTGGTTAGGGTTAAGACGGTGATGGGGAAAAGTTAATAGTGCAACTAATTCGGCTCCTTGGCCAAACCACTCTGAAGTGACATTCCTTGCCTACCTGATCAATCCACCCCTCTCCAAGTTGCTTTCTCCGCCTCCGCTCTTCCAGTTTATCAGCCAAAGATTGCTTCTGTCGGTCCGTCTCTCTGTCTAATCTCCGTCGCAATTTCTCCATCTCGGCCTTGTGCTGAGCAACGAGTCGCTGGTATTCCGCCTCTGATAGCTGCTCCCCCTTCAGTTTCATCTCGCGCTCAAAGGCGGCGTTTCTCTGCTGAATCTCATTTTCAACATTTTCAACGTCATCGATGGCCCCATTGTTGCTTGAGGTTATGCCAGCCTACCAATATTCAGACAATTTTGATGATACATATAATTAATAAGTTCAAAAATAAATGGATAACAAATTTTTAGCGCCTCAAGTAATCCAATTTGATAATCTTCGGACTCTTTTTCACAAGGTTTTCACAAATATTTTCACTGAAATGTTTTTTTATTTCAAGTTTTCCGGTTTCACTTACCTTGTTTTCATGTTCAACTTCTTTTTTGCTTTCTTCAATTTCCTGAAAGTAAAAATGGGAAAATAATTTACTCTCAAAATGAAAAAATAAGTTGTAACTGAATTCACAAAGCAGGCTTTAGTATAAGCAGAGATCTGTGTTGTTAAGTGAAAATGAAATCTACCTTCTCTTTGGCAATCCTCTCTCGTTCCTTTTTCTCGGCCTGTCTTGCTTTGCGTCTCTGCTGACGCTTCGCAACTTTTGACTCCAGCGTGTACTTCTGTCGTTCTCGTTCTTTATCGCGTAGCATCGCCATGAGCTCCGCCTCCTGCTTGTGATTGGCTATCATCTGCTCGTACTCCTGCTGTGTGAGCTGAGTGCGTTTCTCCTGCAGAGCTTGCTTTAAACGAGCCTGGGCGGAAAATTCACAGATTCAAATATATGAGTGCAATCTTGGACCAAAGTGTAGCTTGAAACTCTGCAAGCAGATATGATGTCCCTGAGCAAGATTCTTTACTACAATAATCTAAACACTGCCTCAATATCTCTGTACAAAATCAGCGAACTCACATGCTGTAATCCAGTCTACAAAGTGTACCCTGGAACTGTGCCAGAGGATACGGTACATCTGTCCTTGAGCAGGCTACTCTACTGCAATAATCCAAACACTGCCTCAAATCTCAGATACAGAGTCAGAGAATGGCCAGTGGTTTTTGTCTGAATGACCTCTGAGGCTGGGTCAACTTCATTAAATGTTTACATTTATTGTCAACTTGACAACTAGTCACAATTTGAAGTTCAGAATCATGAACGTGTATTGCCTAAGAAAGATCAAAAAGAACTGTTTACAACGAGGGCTCACCTTGCGCTCTTGAGCGCCCTCGCTAAAAGTCGGCTTGTTCTCTTTTGCGTCCAGATCGTGAATCACTTCGTCCCAATCCTCGTCATCACTGTAGTGGTTGCTTGATTGACTGGTGTCCTGCATGTAAATAAGTATTAACTTGTAAGGGTTACCAACTTCAGCATTGGGCTAAGAACTACAGCCATAAAACAAATCCTCCATTTAGGAGGATTTGACTGCTGATCTTGTTAAAAACAAGTCTGCTTTTAAGAAGTTCGATTTGAATCTTAAAACACTGCACAAAAAATTACATTTCTCATTGTCATTTCTCACCTGACTGAGCTGAATCTGGAATGACTGGCCAATGTGTTCCGATTGGTTGCCATTAGGGTCGTTGTCATCGTCATCTGCGATCATCTCAATGTTGGTGACTGTCATCTGTGCAGCGTTGGTCAGATGGGAGGCGAAGTCACTGTCCCCTTGGGTCACGTCAAAAGTCTGTGGAATAATAAGCAAAAGTTGTGGTTTAAAGGTAGAGTCCATCATTTGCAGCCATCCGAAAAGTAACTGGCGTAATTATTGTTGAAAAACACACTTGGTTGAAAGATAGTAAGGGGACTAAACTCCCTGTGAAATTATTCTTTCTGGGAAGCTGTCATTTTGAAGTAATCAACGAAAGAAGGCATTTCCAACGGTGATTCTTAAGAAGCACCGTAGGAAAATTTAAATTAGTAGTTCGTTTTGTTATTCAGCGAAGCGCGCACAAGTATTCGAACGATGCACACGCGCGCGCGGTTGTTATAATTCGTCGGATCAGTGCGCGACGTCGCGTATAGTTGCAATTCAAAACAATTCAAAACATGATTCAGCAACTTTTGATTTGAAATTGAGATCTTAGAATGCTGTTTTTTCTCGGAATGTACAGCTGAAGCTTAGCTGAAACTTCATCAGGTTAGTTGCTCAGTATGCTTCATTAGATTTTGAACTCTTTTGTTGCTTCAAACGAACAAAATGCAAAAATTACAAATGATGGACTGTAGCTTTAATATCATTGTATGCACACGTATGAACTATTTGCTCAAGTAAACTCTCAGCTGTAATGAAGACAGTAGGGATGTAGTCGAGTCTTTCACAAGTCCCTGCAAGTCCATCACAAGTCCTCCAGTCCCAATTCAACTCACTAGCTCTTCAACCGAGCTTAGACAAAGGCATTCCTTTGTTATTGTTCATCCACTGTTACTTGTGACTGGACTTGTGATTGATTTGTGATGGACTTGTGATGGACTTGACTACATGCGTCCCTGGAAGAGAGAGTTAAGCAGAACTCTTGGACACAAGTACTGCCTGTGCTCAAGAAAAGACGATACGGGTTCACTGCACCTCTGAAATCAATAATTTAAAAAAAAAATTTTGGATCCAACTCACCCCGAGACTTTGACTGCCCATTTGCAAGCTGAACTTGTTGGAAGCCACCTGCTTGACCGTGGCCGGCCCCGACATTTGACCTCCGACCTTCTCATTGTCCTTGAGGTTGACCTGACCTTTGATCTTTACTGGCTGAGACTGGCCGGGCACGACTACTTCTGCAGCCACAACCACTTTGCCTTTGGCTTTGGTCTTGGACGACCCTGATCCCATGGCTAGGACTGAAATTAACTACAAATCATGTCAATATTAAATTCTGATTACAAATTCCTATTTGACAGACTGATGAACAGTTATGAACAACCAAATGATCAAACCTCCATATAGCCTACAAATAATAGTTTCCTTTTAATTTAGAGTCTAGATCAAGCAGGAAGTATTTCCTAACAAAATTGGAAATGTTACTCAGTCCCATATTCATGTCTTATCATCATTTTTGCAATGAATGACCTTCATTGAGATGATAGGCCTATATGAAGAAAAAAGTGGCGTCAGGTTGCAACATTTCTTCCCGGGATAAATCGCTTTGGGCTTGGCAAAGACTGTGTAGCTGTATCGATTTGTTACGTTTCGCTAGAGGGTGTTCTTTTTGGTCCACCTAGGAGCTCTTTTGGAAAAAATGTTGCAACCTGATGCCACTTTTTTTCTTCATAGGCCCTATATCCTCAATGAAGGTCGTTTATCATGTTCATTGCAAAAATGATGATAAGACATGAATCTGGGACTGAGAAAACATTTCAGATTTTGTTGGGAAATACTTAGAAAATTTTCTTGACTCTCCATAGACTTTGTACACAATTGCGGAAGTGGCGTCAGATTGCTACAAGTACATTTTTTCCGCTCTTTCTATAATGACGTAGTTTACGTATTCTTCCACCTCGTTTTCGAATTTTCTGAATTCGACAACAACTACGCTAGAACTAAGTTAACTTTAGAAGTTTTAAAATGTGGGGTTTGTTCTTACTCATCAATTAAAACCATCGACAATTTACCCAAAGGTGATTAAAATACTTTCTCAAACCACAATAATAATTTTTCTTCATTTGTTTTCTAACTTTTGGCCAATTTTAACGGGGATTGGACGATTCCCAGTTACAATTTGTTTTATTCCCAAACATCAATATCACCGACGCCATTGAACATGTTGAACGATCGTCTTAATAATTTTAGGATTTTTTTGGAAAGCTCACCTTTTCATTTACAGCCCGATATAACCATCTAGTGAAAATCAATTCGGGAGTGTCACGAACTTCAACCCCTTAAAATCATGAGTTTGACACAAAATGTAATTAATGATTAACTAACTTGACTAAATCATGTAATGATAAAAAAAAAGATAATCATCGGACGGGTTTGTCTGGCATTTTACTGCGCAGTGGCATTTTTGGGTCAGGTGGCCATAGCAATTACACATACATTCAGGTGCCTTGTTCGAACCAGCTTATTTTAACAGTAAGAATACAGGGAACCAGTCCGGTATCGCATATCATCATGCGACGACTGTTTTATGTGTCGAAAACAGGACCGCTCAATCAGAATAGCCCCCTCTGTTGACAAAAATGATCCATAACGTCTTGCCCATTCCTCCTCCATTACCCTTGGGGAAAAGCGAAGAAGCGGATAGTGTGGCGGAACCAGACTGAACTAGCCGAGCAGCACGCCCGCGCCGCACTTCGCGTATATTATGCGCACGCCTTCGCACTTCCGGTATTTTCGCCATCTTTCCAATCGATCATAATCGCTTCGGGGAATCCTGCCGATTGACTCATAAATTCTTTTCGTTTAAAGCCGCTTCCGCTGTGCCGACGCAATTTTTAGATACCACTAGGAACAGTGAATTCCTTCGAATTGTTCTGGACGCTCAGAAAGATCGAGGAAAAAGTATTGACAATTGTTAGAATTTTTACTGAGTTGAGTCGTCGTCTCGGAAATTTCACCCGACTGTGTAGCGGTAAACAGCGTGACCGTACGTAGGCCTACTTTGTGCCGGTCAACAGCCCCACCGTATTGCAGAGTGGACACGCTACTGAGACCAGTGCTCGGACTTCGAGAATAAAGACGTTATATTTACAGTAAGTATTAAGTAGGCTACTGTTATTGTTGGACGTTTAGAATGCATGATGGAAAGAATGAAGTGTCAAGACGCCACTTCAGCGGTTGTGTACAAAGTCTATGGAGAGTCAAGGAAATTTTCTCTTAAGTCCCGGCCCGCCCTACGCATGTGTGTTTTTCTTAAAAAAAAAAAAAATGTTTTGCAATAACTGATGATAATATATGTATGAAGAAAAAAAGTGGCATCAGGTATTACCGTAGTTGCAATTTTTTTCCCGAAAACTCCTTTTGAGCTTCAGATTTTGTTAGTAAAGGTTTAAATTAATCAGATTTTACTTGACCAACCTTGGATAAGTGGTATCTTAGAAATAATGCCTATTTTGTTTTAAAAAGTTATTCTTTACTTAAATACTAACAGATTTGGCGTATAAAATGCCTTTTTTTCCTTCCTAATCCTAGGTCTTTGCTCCTGTGATGTTTGGTACATATTCCTATTGAGTTCAAACCAGAAGCATGTTATTATTTATTAATTTACAATAGTAGTACTAAAGTTCATGCTGCAGACTACTAAAAAAAAAATGAGTATATTGTACTGTGAAAAAAAAAATTATTCATTTTGTGTTTACATTGGCAACAGGGTGTTTAAAACTACATTGGTCTTTGTTTATAGTCACCAGAAAAAAATAGCTATTTGAAAGTGAAACTGTGAAAGTGTTTGTCATCACTGACATGACTGATAGATTGTTTGACAATAAACTACATTGTACACTGTATGTGAAACTGGATCGTGGATAGTCATATATCAGTATATAATTTTTGAAAATATTTACATAATGAGGATTAAATTCCAAGATAATGTGTCACACATACATTTCAAGAAGATATATACAATAAACTTGTATAAGTTTCCACTGTCTTCTCAAAAAGATAAAAACCATAAAAAAAAAGGATTTTACATTTTTTGGGGGGGTAAATTTTCATGTAGCTAAAAAAATACAGTTGGGTAAAGCTGTTTTTGTTGGAAAAAGTTTTCTGTTCTTTCAACTTTTTTTTTTCTAATTCAAACATCTGTTAAATTAATTTGTAATGTTTTGGGAAATTGATTTAGTGAAAAACTAATAATCAAAATGCAACAATTCGCTAACAACAGAAACATTTTGCTCAACAAGAACAGCTTTACCCAACTGTATTTTTGGGTGTACATGTTCATGTAAATCTGCAAAAAAATTGCCAAATAGTTTTTTTTTCTGGCTTTCCTTTTTCTTTTTTTCAAAAAAGAAAACTCATTTTTATTTGTTTCATCATCAAATTGTGATAATGGAAACAATAGTACTACCCGTAGTTTGATGGTTCGTGAATATGATTTATGGTGTTTTAAAGCATGACCCAGCATTCCAACATAGTTAGACACGTACAACATTTGTAGCAGACTTTTACTTTAATATCAATTTCAGTTCCATCTGCAAAACATAACTGATGTGGATGAGTTATCTTCCAAAAATATGGTTTTGCAATCATATCTAAGATATGATGGATGACTGGTGTGGTACAGACTTCTTCCTCTCAGTATCAGTCGCTCGACTGTGACTTCATATAAATTCATTTTTAGAGACTGTGCAAGGGAATGAAGGATAATAACCAGTTTTTAGCGAAAAAAGTTATTCCAGGGTTTCCTTCCTAATCAGAATGTTACTTTTGAAAAGGAATTCTATGAAGTCTGTCCAATTTGTGCTAAAACAGGAAATGTCAAATTTATGAGTGTTGACTGTGAAATTTCTCTGACTTTCTAATCCTGACCACATACATGTACATGTACTGTAGCAATCATTCATGTGTGGATTCTCTGTGAGTAATGAAGGAAAGCCAGTCAGATTTTGTTTCTCTCTGAAGCTGATTCCAGGAAAATCAACACTCAAAATGTTAAACAGGATGTTTTCAAATTGCAGTTCAAAATGATCCCTTTTTTTTCCTGAGAAAAACTGTGAAAACCAACTGAGAGTAATTTCTTTGTTCAAGTGTGGAACCCGTACAGCTTGATTGATGAAACATTGAATGCATGTACGTTACTTTAGTACATGTAGGCAATGCAAGTGCCCACAGTACAGTCTGTCAATGCAGCATCAATTTTATGCCATTTGACACCTGTCTTTGTAAAAGACTTGCTGTGAGGTTCAGGCAATTGCAATGGGGTGTGAAGAATGCACCCATGTCATTATTTGGAGGCAGAATATTTCAGTGACATGGAAGATGGATTGAAACAACTTGGAAGACTTGGCTTACTTTCCATTATGGTTGCTCTTTCATCCAGCTATTTACGACCAATAGTACCTCCTCAGGCCCACCTTTCCACCATTACACAGCTGTGTCTAGATTGCGTTCCCCATGCTATTCTCAAGTTTCCAGGCATGCAACTTTTCCTCGGATCTGCTGATTTCCTCGGTTTTTACTTCTCGTGAATGCCATTACAAATTGAAAAAGCTGCACAAAGTCTTGCGTCGTTTGGAATTTCCTTGTTTTTCCCCTAAACTCCCAGTTGCATGCCTGAGTTTCATCCAGAAAGATGGATTCCTTTTGTAAATTGCTATTTTTCTAGCAGCACAAAGTTTTTCACTTTTGAATGAGAAATCAACCAGAAAAATCAACCCGCTTATTGAATTACATGTAGTACTTCATAATTTCAAAATTATTGGCTACAAGACAATTATTCCGTTCTCTCTCGGGGTAGGCTGGTTCCCATCCCACAATCAGTATCAATAATGTACGGACCGGGCGCCAGTCTGCTCGCAAAGGGGATCTGTCTGTGATCAAAACAAAAACCTTGTTTTATTTAAAATTCAGACTAAATTAGAGGGTTGCAGAAGTTCCCCCCCCCCCCAAAAAAAGGGGGGAAAATAGGTTTTTCGGTTGGAATGAAATGTACAAGTTGAAAATGTATTACTAGAAAGAAAAAAAAGAGTTTGTTGAAGAGCAGGGAACCATGGAGGAATGAGGGAACGTAGCTTTTATGAAAATGTATTATCACTGTGTTTGCCCATATACACACTATGCTCTGTACAGGCCTGCCTTGGGAGGTATGATGTTCTTTATGAATTGTTAATAACATGACCATTCATGAATGTGAGGAGCCAACTTTCTTCAAGGCCATCTTGCATGTCTTGCAGCCTTGTCTGATAGTGGTGATGAGAAGGACAACTAGATTAGCCACAACAATAACAGTCTTTGGAATACAGCTGCTGCACATAATGATCTCTGTGTTGACTTATTCAGTGTGACTAAACAACTGGAAGTCTGTAGAAGACATAATTTTTTTCCGGTTTGTTTGACTGATAAATTTTCACTTTGCTTTAAGATTTACCGGTAACTTTAAAATTCAAGATCAGGCTAAGAGCAAAGAGGTTTTTGTTTCTTCAAAAATTAAAATGAGTTGTACACCCCCATGTACAGAATAAGTAACTAAACATGTACGTGTATGGTACATGTACGTACATTTTTATCGGTCCATCAGATGACTGTCGATGTCTAAATGAAAAAAATTCTCTTGAAATACTTTAAAAGCTTATTAATTAATTAATTGTATTTCTTTGAAAAGGAACTTACACTCTTTTAAAATAGAAAAAGGAACTTCACAATTTAAAATGTCTAAATGAAAAAATTTCTCTTGAAATACTTTAAAAGCTTATTAATTGTATTTCTTTGAAAAGGAACTAACACTTTAAAAAAAAAGAGAAAAAAGGAACTTCACCAATTAAAAAAATTAATGCATTGCTTTGTTTACATAGTGTAATTTGAACACACATGCAGCTACATACATACGTATAATCTTAAGCTTTGTGCAGGACTTGGTATATTACATGAAGTACTTGGTATGTTTGCATGGAGCACATGAACATGTATGTTAATCCCAGAGGATGCAGGGGTCAATTCTTAATATCACGCACCACACTGAGTGTGAAATTGAATCAATTAAAACGATACTTTCTCCTCCAGCCAAACCCTCTTGGGGCATCTGTTCTTCCGCCTTTCCCTCCCCTGATTCCCCCTTGCCAGCCCCTCTGAGCTCCTGCTGGTGTTTCTGGGCGTCATGCTGGCACAAACGCCTCCAAGAAGTCACCGGATAGCCCTCAGGAATTCGGTTTTGTGACACGGCTTTTAACCCTACTTTATTTTTTTGGTTTTTTTTCTTTGGCTCGTCTTGGCATATTATTAGATAAACGAGATCTATGTTAAAATAGTCTGTGAAAGTAGTGTAGTCTTGATAGTTCATAGTTGATTGTCGTTATACAAGCATTCTGGTTTAGTGAACATCAAGCCTCGGTCCTGACCATACATTTGCACGATGAATGGGATTGACTTTCCTCTTTTAAAGCTAAGTCCATCATTTGCAGCTATCCAAAAAGTAACTGGCGTAATTATTGTTGAAAAACATACTTGGTTGAAAGATAAAGGGGACTAAGCTCCCTGTGAAATTAATCTTTCTGGCATGCTGTCATTTTGAAGGAATCAACGAAAAAAGGCCTTTCCAACGGTGCGTCTTAAGACACACTGTTGGAAATTTCCGTTAGTACTTCATATGTTTTATTCGGCGAAGCGCGCACCAGCGTTGACACAACGCACACACGCACGCGGTTGCTATAATTCGTCGGATCAGTGCGCCACGTTGCGTAGCTGCAATCGGCTCAGCAATCGGCTCAGTGAGAACGTGTCTCGGACGCTGAATTCAGGCCCAATTCAAAACATGATTCAGCAACTTTTGATTTGAAAATCGAGATCCCAGATCGTTGTTTGTCTCGAAATATACAGCTGAAGCTGAGCTGAAACTTCATCAGGTTAGTTGTTCAGTACCCTTCTTTAGATTTTGTGCACTTTTGCTGCCTCAAACGAGCAAAATGCACCAATTACAAATGATGGACTATACCTTTAATACAAAATTTGGATATAACATTCTGAATATCTGGTTAGGTCCTCAGTTTGGAGCTGTTTTTTTCTGTCTACAAAATTATCCCTGTGAAATGGGCAAGGA